AAAAAAAAAAAAAAGAAAAAAAAAGAAAAAAGAAAAAAAAGGCCTGCCCCTGCCTCGACTGTAGTGAAGCTCAAACATGGCGAGGGCAAATCCCCTCTCACTCCGGAGGATTTTATTACATCTCACTGGACCTCCCCTCTCCAGTGGTTTCGAACCCATGGTGAGCAAGCATTCCGCTGGACAGACCACCGCTTCACCATCGGGTTCTGGGTCACTCTTACTATAAGTCGCACAAAAACTATGCGTGAAGATAGGTTACCGGTTTAGGAAGGCGCGGGTGTCGAGGGAAGATAGCTGCCATTTTGGACTGGCTGGACCTATACCTCGCATAATATCTGGATGGGTAATATCTCTCTTTGCTATCTAAGTGTGTGATGGACTGTGGTTCCTACCGCCAAAGCTGCATCTTGAGGGCCTGAGGATGTGTCGTTCAGCCTACAAAGTAGATTCCGGAGAGTGGGCCGGCTAGCTCTCATCAAGAACGCAGTACTGGTCACGACATACCGCAATATCTATTCTGGAAATTGCATATAAATTGCATCTACTGGATCGTTCTTACTTTGCAGCTTATAGACCTTGGGAGTGACTATAAAACGCTTAATAAGGCCAGTGATTTAATTAACCGCTTCGGCGGATATTTCAAGACACAATGAGATAGTAGAATACCTGGTAGTGTCTGATAAATAGACAACCTAGGTTACGTATCAAGGATTCTTAGGCCAAGAAAGAACAAAAAAGGTCCAACTTGTCCAATCAAGAGATAAGGGCACAGGGCTAGGGCTAGTCACCAAGCACTAATCTCAATAAGGACAACCTTGAGAGAAACTACCTGAATGCCTCGGCAACGACTATGGGGTACGGTCAAGATGTGGGGAGAGAACAGAACTCCACATTTTACTCCAGCTTTAAGGTGGGGATGGTCGTATCCTACCACTACTACTAGTATACTAGTGCCCTTTCGCGTGTTATCATGTGCTTTTCCTGCCGAAGGAGCCCCTTCGTATTGGTCATCTCGGCAAATTTCTACAGGTAAAGAAGCTCTGCGGTACGTGTATGTTACTAACAAGTCTCCAGCTAGTGCTCAATATGTCACTAGTAAGGACGACTAAGCTAGTGGTACTAAAACCCCCCCTTTGCCCCATGTCGAACCTGTTAGGCAGGTAGAGCCCTTGCCCACTCGACTCCCGATCCTTCCGGAAATTTCGTATATATTTTGCGTTCTGGTTCGACTCTCGGAAGTACTGAGCAAAAATCCCCGACCATCTTGAGATCTGCGCATTGTTGCCCTTTGGCTCATTTCAAAATGCAGCTGCAGACTCTCGCAGGTTTTCTGCTCTTCTGCTCGCCAGCGTTGGCAGCTCCGACCACTACAGGCCCTCCAAGTACGAGCTCACTGGGGACCCTTCGAGCCTTGAACTACAATAACCTGGGCCCGGAGAATAACGGAACTGCGGTTGTGCTCGTATATGATGAGCTGTCTAAGTCAGAGGCTCAGGCACGCTGTGCCGCGATTGGCGAGGATCTCTACCCACTGGGGTCGGCTCCTCAAACTGATCGCTCGGAATTGGACTACCAGCTTGCCTACCTCGTCTTTTCCGGTGATGTTGGACCAAATAGCCGTTTCTGGATAGCCACCGATAGTTCGTCGAAAGAGTGCTTAGCATATTCTCAAAGACAGAAGCTAGCCATATCTGCACCGTGCAGCTCCAAGCTCCCCGCCATTTGCACATCCCGTGTGCCTCCTACCACCGACAAGAATAGAGCTGTCGTTGAGACATCAAAGATCGTCGTCGCAGCGGAGAACTACACTCTTACTGGTTATCGTGACGCGCGATCATTTCGGTTCCTTGGTGTTCCTTTCGCAGATCCCCCAGTAAACGAGTTGCGCTTCGCTCCTCCGAAGCCCTTCTCTGGCCCTAAGAAACGCGATGCAACCAAAGTAGCCGAGAGCTGTGTTCAATCTCAGTCGGCCTTTGGGACATTGGGCAATGGAGGTATCTCTGAAGATTGTTTATACCTCAATGTGTTCACACCCATCCTGCCTGCAGGGTCAAGCAAGAACTCAACTCGCAGGCCAGTCGCCGTGTATTTCTACGGTGGTGCGTTTGTCAGTGGCAGCGCATCTATGATTGACTATGATGGTGGGAACTTTGCCAGCCGCAATGATGTCGTGGTTGTCACAGTCAACTACCGGGTGGGAGCTCTGGGGTGGCTGACTACCGGAAATCTGACATCCGGAAACTATGGCACAAGAGACCAGATACTCGCACTAAAATGGGTCAACAAACATATCGCAGCTTTTGGCGGAGATCCATCTCAAGTTTCCATTTTCGGTCAGTCAGCGGGAGGCCAGAGTGTTGTCGCATTGCTATCCTCAACTGCCGCCCGTGGTCTTTTCTCCGCTGCTATTGCTCAGTCCGCACCTGTAGATCTGCCGTGGTTTACGCGCGAGGTATATTCCAATGTCATTGCCCCCGAAGTAGCCAAGGCTGTCGGCTGCAATCAAACCACCACCGAGAAGGAACTTGTATCCTGCCTGAGATCCGTTCCAGCAACTAAGTTCCTAGGTAACACAACGGACTTCAAAAAGGCCACGGCCGCTTGGACTCAAGTCCTCGCCTCGGACTACCTCCATGTTAGCCAGTTGCTCGCATCCATCGAACCCCTAATGCCCATAGTTGATCCCCGCTCTGGTGTAATCGACGACCAGTTCTACAAGCTACTCGCCAACGAACGCCTTCCAAACCGCGTACCCACCATGTTCTCAACTGTCGCGGATGAAGCTTCCCTCTACGTCGCCCAATACGTGCCAGCCCTCGGCGCAAGTCAAGGGACTCTCAACACGCTCTTCAAAACCGCCTTTCCACCCAAACTCGCCGAATCCCTCACACGTACCAATGTTTTCCCGATCAACCTCACGGACCCAGACAGCACCCGCAATGTCGCAGCTGATGCCCTAACTTACAGCGAATGGAGCTGCCCACAATCCTACCTCCTCCGCAACGGTGGTCAACGCGTCTTCCCCCAACTCTATGAAGTTGAGATCACCCAAGGCCACAGCCAGACCAACGTCACCGTGCCGGAGGTCTGCCTTCCAAACAAAAACTTCAACGCCAGTTGCCACACAGCAGACGTCCTTCCAGTCTGGGGAACCCTCAACAGCAAGACCAAAAATGTAGACCCCTACTTCGACCAGAATGATATCCTCCATTCGCAGCTGCTGAACGATATATGGGGCTCTTTCTTCCGCTCTCATAACCCGAACCCAGATCAGGCCTTCTTGAAGGTCCGTGGCCCTGCCTATGCGTCTACGTACGATATCTTCGTGAAGAACGGGTACCGCGTGCCGGAGTATCGGCCTGAAGATCGGAATGTCAGCTTGTTGGGCATGCCGCCTTCTTGGACTGACAATCCCGGTTTGTCGAGGAAGTGTGCCGTCTTTGAGGACTACGGGTTTACGTTTCAGAACGCCAACTTTACAGCTTAATATTCATACAGTGGGTACAAAGGTGGTCCGAAGGTAAGGGTCGGACGTAATGACGTTGTGACTTACGATTGTACATGTACCTAGATATAGTATACTTATTCTTGTATCATTTATGTATTTAATTAACCGAAAAGAATGGAGATCCTAGCCTCTAGTGGGTCATAAGTCGTAATCATGAAAAATAACTCGAGATATCGTAAGTCATGCTCGAAAAAGATGAAAGTAAAGAATGAGAAAAAGCCTCCCAGAGATAGAGTCACAGTACCATCACATAGTCATGTGAAGTCTATACTCCACGAATGATAAATTATAAATCATAATTTTGAAACAGGCCAACTCAACTGCAAGGGTCAGATGCCAGTAGTACTTGCAAGGATGGCCATGCTCGGTCAGTAACGTTCAAGTCACGTTTCGACTCTCGTTAGTCAGAAAAACTGTCGTTAGCAGTGCTGTTAGTATTTGATAAGCTTCTATTTATTCAAATAATGCATTAAGCATTACTGTCGTGATGGCGGTGCCCCTTTTCTTCTTCTTCATCTCTTTCTTTTTTGTACCTTTTTCAGCGATCATACATAGCTGCTCTTCTGCCCCGGGTATATTCAACATCTGCTGTTTGAATTGGTATGCCTCTTTTTGATGAACTTTGGACGGGTGCCACCCATCTGGGATCACGGGGATCAATATAACGTGCACGTTCGGGCGTACAGGTGTTATTTCCAGTTGAGGGGAGACTTGAACTAGTAGGCCGGTGGTAACTACTATGTCGGTCGCTCATCGGCTCAAGGTCCGGACGGGGATGGACAATGTAGGTATCCCCGGTGCCGTAGCGAGGATGCATGCGTGTAAATATGGGCACTTCGCGGGTAGGCGGAAAAATGGGCGGGTCACTAACAACACGCTCGCGGAACCCAGTGCCTGATGATCTGTGTTGGGTCGGTTCGTCGTTGTATGCTCTGGAGGGGCGTGCTCTTCGCGCGCCATCGGAGTCGTATGGTCTTCCCGGGTTGGTATGGTATGGATCATGATATGCGTAGTGTTTGTGGGGATCCGGAGATAATTCCTTGCGAGGTCTACGAGCGTATGCTTCGTGAGAATGGCGACGAGCATGAGAGACACGCGGTGGTGATAGATTGCGGTGATGGCTATGCCGACTTGACCTTGGAGGCTCTGGGGCTGCAGACCCGGAGTCTTCGGAAGATGCATCTGATGCTCCGTTCCCTGGTACTGTTCCTGGACTCACGGGCCGTGTGAATACCTGGGGGCGCTCGCGCGTCCTCGGTTTGGTAGACTCTCGGGCCCACATTGGTGGAGAAGATGGTCGAGATGTGTATCCGGTGTTGAAGTGTTCGGACTGTCGCGGGAAGTATGTAGATTGCACCCTACGAGTAGTAGATGGAGGTCGTTCATCGCTCCGCCGTTGACGATGTCTATTTGGAGGTCGACGTTCACTTGGTGTATGAGGTTCTTGGTGGTGAGAGCTTTTTCGACGCGGAGACCTGGGCACTTCATCTTCTTTATTGGGTGGCGTATCTTTCTGGCTGAAGTAAGAATAGTAAGGAGCGAAATTCGGAGGGGAGGAACGCAAGATATTCTTTTTCCAATAATCGAGCTCGAACCGTCGGCTGACTTCTTCATGCCATCGGACCATCTCCGGGTCAGGTTCTGCGGGGAACGCACTCCTAGGGATCAACTTAGGAAAGATTCCACCGTTGGGTGTCTCGATATCCCACAATTCGACCGCATTTTGTAACCACCTCGAGTGCTCGTCGGGGTCAAGAAGAATCTGAATTGTTTGCCATCGCACAAAGCCATTCGGCTGCAGGGCAGGGATGGAAGGGGGTTTGTAGGGTTCATCAGTAGGCTGAATGCTGTGAAAGCACCCTAAACGCTGGTAAATGAACGAAAGCGCGGAGGGTCTGGTTTCGAGGAACAGGACGTCGTAATTGCCGCCAACTTTGCGATAAAACGCAGCCAGGCGATCTGGAGTAAGGTCGGTGGTCGCAAACTCGTCAAAGGAGGTCTAGACAGAGTTCAGCACTTGAGACATTGTGTCACCTCCTGCGGTCGCGGAAAACTTTTTTTTTTGGCATACCATTACTTGCGCGATCCCCAGGCACAACTGTTCGAGTAGCGGGGTGGGGCTCTTGTCGGGGTTGATAAGGACTCCCCAAAAGTCGGCACCATCATTGTGGACGGAGGACATGGCCGGGCAAAAATCTGGGCCACGGCAAAGTCATTTGAAAGCAGCGACCGTGGTCGTTGCATTGATGAAGCCGGAGTGGGCAAGACGAATAAAGCTGGAAAAGCGGGCAGAGTAATACTGCAGTTACTGATCAGCGTATCCAGTCATCGACAAAAACAGGCCACACACTGGGCGGTTAGGCATCCATCGTTATCGCTCCACTGTGGGGGAGCCCAAATGATGATGCTGTTTGCTGGCAGGTGGACAACCCGATCCGCCTCATTTATGAGAGAGACGAATCAAAAGATGGGCGAGAATGGAACCTGAGGGATGGAAGGTTGAAGGACACAGCAGTGACCTGCAGGAATCCCTTTTGGTGCCTTTTCAACGCAGGGATGGCGCCCCGAGTGCCCGGGTGCCTGAAAAGGCGAACAAACAACCCCTCATGTGCCTGCCTGCCTGAAAAGTATGGCCAACAAGCCACCAGTCGAGTTTATTCATCTTAATTATCCCCCATACATTCTGTATCTGGCTTATGAATGGCCTGTATCTATTCAAAACTCAATATAATTCCTCTGGAATTCCTACTAAGACATACCTTACTAGCTGTTATGTGTCGTCAGGGGGAAGTACATGTACGAATAGTGTTAATCCGCATAGATATATTTCCATACTTCCTGGAATACTGTTATTGTTACTCCCCACTTGCTATAATCAACCTCGAGTCTTCTTCATCCACAACTATACTAATTAAACCTACTCCTTTGTCAACTATATCTAAGCTTCTGTGAGCAAAACTTTCATTTTGTTTCATTTCTACTTCACATATTATATTTCTTTCAATGAACCTTAGATATCTGTAATGTTTCTCGCGGGCCTGTCATCTCTTACCTGACTAGAAACATATTTCCTAATAGATTGGAAAGTCTTCAGGAAGACTTGGGTACATCTGATGCCGCTCTATAGACCGGGCCTTCCCTAAAAAGGGCCACAGGTGTCAAAGCAATGGCAATGAGTTGACATGATAGTGATTCACCGCCTTGTGTATCTCAGGCCATCGTTTGACAAGAATGCAAACATTCCCCCATAAACTATTGAACACATTGCACGTGGTCAGGAATTGGGAATGTCTCTGGCAACATAACGCCCATCTCGAGGTAAAATACCAGTTAGTATATACACACTTGGTATGTGGAATAAATGAACAGCAGACTTTAATGCTACCTTCAGCCCATAGAAAAACCCCGAATTTGTTCTCCGCGCAGTTCAATCATTGTACAGCTTCGATATGTATCTAAATCGACACTTTCCGAATGAAATTCAATGAAAGGGGGTTTTTGTTTTCATTTTCAACGGCTCCCGTCTCAGGGCTTCTGTATTAAATAGCTTTCTTCTAGCCCATAAGGCGGCGAAGTGATCTACCTCATAGTTAACTATAACGTCACCGAAAATTTCACTAAAACAGAAGTTACTAAAACTAGTTCTAGATGCCCCCCAATAGGACTGTATGGTATAAATAATCAATGGGATGCTTGTTGATTTTCGAAGGGTGTAATTGGTCTGCATGCTGCCGATCCGAGATTCCACAGCGGGCCTTAGACCGGTCCTGTCATTCCAATGGGCTTGCACCTGGAATTTCAAAGCCCCAATCTGCTACATTCAACTGGATGGAAGAATGGGTAAAGATGGCTGAGGTGCGTAACAATGTTACTGGGGCGTGCGCAGCCGGCCTCCCTTCCCCCAAGTCTCATCTCTGTCCGTGTATCTTTCCTGTCCTATTCCTCCCTCCATGTTGCAGCTTGATTCTAGTCTATATCACTCACAGGCTGATCGAATGGAGAACTGTTTTTTCTTTATCACGTCTCTCGCTTGAGCTTCCCTATCTTCTGTGTGCCTCCCTTGAGAACAAGAAGAAGGGCCCGGGGAGTGTTCGCACCCATACCAAAGATAATTCACTACGCGCAGGATCACCTCGACTGATTTCATATTGACGGCTCGTGTCATTTAAACCAATCACACCTTTTGAGCTCTAAAAGACACACCTGTTTGATGGGCCGATTGGAAGCGGCCCCCATGTCTTCCAACGCGTAAACATCACTCCTGCAGAATGGCTCTTGTTCGAGACCCAGCGTTCTGGAGGCGCTTTTCTCGCGCCATTCACTTGGACGAGGAAGCAAAGGCTTCGGCGGCAGAAAACAAGGGCGACAACATCTACTCGTACGTTAAAATCGTCCTGTTCGGGGGTTCTCATTCTAGGACAGCGATCTCCAGGTATCTAAAACATGCTCACTGACAACTATACAAAAGGGATGACTGGATTCAGGGTCAGCGCAAGAAACGGCATCGAACGATTCTTTGCGGATTTTTGATTTTTGCCTCGTTTTCTATCGTGCTTGCTGCCGTGGTGGTGGTTATCTGGTGGTTCCACGCCCACAACTGGTTGCGAAATTCATAACATCCTGAGGAGACCGAAGCTGTCGACATATCGAGTTGACTACGTGCCACCACAGCCTGGCCCATATTCGCGAAACGATGGTTTGGGGGATAAATGGACAGACCGCCAAGTACGACAAGGGGCCGCAACGTGAACAATAGCAAACTCATGCTTGCTACCAGCATCCATAAACAACTCAGCACCTAAAACAAACATTTAAAATTGGAGTTTAAATCATAAAATTGAGCAGGTCTCATCGGCGGTGTTTTTGATTTTTGAAGCTTTTGATGGCGTTCTGACTCGATAGGAAATACCCAGCATGTTTCGATTCCATGATGCCACAATGTTTTGTGTTAGCCTGTTCGTCAATGAAAATATATGAGTATGCTGACATCAATGTATGTTTGCAGATTGTGATGTACTTAGTTAGATAGCTTTAGTGCCTGGATCGTCAAGCACCATTCTCACATAGTGGCGAGTTGAACGGTATAGGCCTCGACCTATTAGAGGGCATGTCATGAGTTAGTGAGTGCCTATGTAAAAGTACATTGTACGTTATCTTTGCTCGGAAAGAACAGATAAGGGTGGTTTTGATTCTCCCCAATTCGATCACCTATCCGCATGGACTTGCCTGAAAGGGTTGTTTGATACCCGGCAAGTCGGCACAATACCAGTCACGTGAAACCTGGTTGAAGCTGTTCAAGGACTTTCTGTTCGTCTCTTACAACTATAGCAATAGCGAATAATAAGATCTAAGACTGAATATTATCTCTCGCCGATATCGATGTCTGCCCGTTACACTTATACCCCGTTTACAGGAGCTTTGCCATGCAAGTTGAGGTGACATCGGCTCACATCTCCGGCGACAGCGCTTATCAGCGGGTCTTATCGCACTTGTCTCCGCACTGTTTCCCCCGCAAATAAATGGAGCTCCAAATCCGCTTCGTATTGCGGTATTTTGTTTCTTCCTTCCTGCAGGCTTCTCTTCAGGTAAGCTGTCACTCACAATGCTTCCTCCGTTTGATTATTTTACATACCGTAGCGTCCGGTAAGTCTTCAATGCTTATTCCTTCTAGCTTTTATAGCTACTGTGTGTAGCTACTGCTACAGTACTACTACTGCTCAATTGGCGGTATAAAACCAATTAACAATCTACAGGGATTTCAAGAGAAGGGAACGGGCTGCCCGCTTTGCTTCTCTTCCCGCAGCCTATCACGCCCCTTTCACGGATTTTGACAAGCTCGTCATTAACAAACCCATTGAAGAGCTGGTCCAGGAAGTCCACTCTTCCTCGCTTTCGGCAGCTGACGTACTCCAAACTTACGGCAAGGTAGCCGTCAATGCTCAAGAAAAGACCAACTGTGTAACAGAGCTCCTCCTTCCTGAGGCAGAGTCATGGCTGCAGTCAGAGGTCAACCTCAAGGGCCCATTGGCAGGTGTGCCTGTCTCCTTGAAGGACTCGGTGCAGGTCAAGGGGTTCGATATCAGTCTTGGGTACACAAAGCTGGCTAAGAAGCCGTATACTGAAGATGGCCCTATGGCGAAGTTGTTGAAGGATGCTGGTTAGTGTACAGAAGAGCTTCCCCCATTGGAAACATGTTCTTACCGATCCTAGGTGCTGTGCCCTATGTAAAGACGGCCCTGCCAGTGACCCTTTTGTCCTTCGAATCTGCGAATGCGCTTTGGGGTCACTGCTGCAACCCACATGTTCCAGAGTACTCCCCTGGAGGATCGACTGGTGGTGAGGGTGCGATACTCGCTCTGGGTGGCCGTATTGGCATTGGCTCAGATGTCGCGGGCTCTGTTCGCGTCCCGGCTGCCTGGAGCGGTATCTACTCTCTGCGTTGTAGTACTGGCCGCTGGCCCAAGGTTGGTGTCAACACCAGCATGGCTGGCCAAGAGGGCATCCCAAGTGTCTTCAGCCCCATGGCTCGTACCTTGAATGACCTCACCTATTTCACCCAGGCCATTATTAGCATGAAACCCTGGAAGTACGACTACACGGTTCATCCCATTTCCTGGCGCGATGAAGAGCAATCCGAAGCCAAGAGCAAACGTCTGCGTATTGGACTGATGTCTAGTGATGGTGAGATTGTCTAACCCACCCGCTAGATAAACTACTCTAACTAAACTTCTACAGGAGTCGTACCGCCCACCCCAGCAATTAAGCGCGCCCTCTCTACCACCATCGCTGCTCTTACCGCAGCCGGCCATACCGTCTCCGAGATCACACCCCCAGCAACTGCCGACCCATTCACAGGTCTCCAACTTGCCTCCCAGCTCCTCAACTCTGACGGCTGCGTCACGTTCAATTCTCACCGGTACAACTTCGAGCCCTCGGACCCAGGCGCAGACCAACTCACCCGCATCTGCAACCTGCCCCGTCCCCTCCGCTACCTGTACTACCTCTACGTCCGTTACATCAGAAGGGACTTCAAATGGGCTAGCCTGATTCGCACCTTCTCTCCCAAATCCTCCGCCGAAACCTGGAAGCTTGTTGCCAAGCGCGAATCCTTCCGGGCTACCTGGCATGCCTGGTGGGATGCCCAACCCCAGCAGTACGATTTCATCTTGTGTCCCGTTAATGCCACTCCCGCCCTTCCGCACAAGGCCATGCGCGACGCCGTCTCCTCCTGCGGGTACACCTTCCTCTGGAACCTCCTCGACTACACAGCTGGTGTGCTCCCTGTGTCTCACGTTGACCCCAAGAAGGACGCGCTCTCCGCGCCCTACAAGAAGATCCTCAAGGGACTCGGTGCCAACAACGCCATCGCAAAGGGCGCCTGGATGCACTATGACGCGGTAAAGATGGCCGGCCTGCCCACGGCGGTGCAGGTGGTGGGCAGAAGATGGCAGGAAGAAAAGGTCCTTGGATACATGGATGTCGTTGAGAGGGCGTTGGAACAATACGGGGAGGACGGCAAGTATACCTTGATTGAGCTTGACTGATTTAATTAGCTTCGGTGGAGTCGCATTGAAATATCCCTGGTTAAGCTTCTGGGGGTCTGTGCTTTTGCGCCTATCACTTGTCAGATATCCAGATGTGGTGACATCATTGGATCGGAGATAGAACACAATTAGGAAAGAGTCGGATGGCGGAAGTCCAGATTTTCAAGGCCAAACTATATCTCTCTCTACAGTGTAACCTCTACCCGCTTTTCTCTCTCTGAGATCCATGGATGCTTTAATTAATAAACCGTAGAAATCCAGCAAACACATACCATCCTTAGAATATATGTATCATTTAATTCATAAACACCACACTCTCCCAATGACCCAGCTTCAGTTACCCATGTGTCGCAAAGCAGACATGAAGAACTACAAAGAAGCCTCGCTCTCAGGGCAGAGTGCCGTCCTTCCTCTGGGTTTAATTTAAATTAATCGATCTGCAGGACACCATGCGAGACCTCTTCCGGGCCAGCCTTTGGTGGCTTTCGCCAGAGTTTAGCGCCTCAAACATAGTTAAAAAAGACTATCGGATTGGCGGGCGGCCTAACTTTTAGTCAGGGTTGGGAGATTACAAGCTTGTTGACGAATTGCTGGTCGCCTTAAAGTGGGAATGCAGTCTGTGCCCTACTTTGAAGTCTGGAACAGTGGGCTGGCCTTGTGGCTGCGGGGGAGTGTTACACCAGGGGGAAGAAAGGCCAGGTACATTTTGGGGTGGGTAGTGTGGATCATCCATGTCAGATACTAATGCAGTGAAGGAATGCAATGGCGATGACAGCACGCGCTGTCTTCTCTTAGCGCGACCCGCGATGCGGGGGTACGAAGGGTGTGGATCAGCTGCGGATGGCGTCCTGTAAGGGGGCTGCGAAGCGCCCGTTGGCATTGCAGTAGTCGATACTAAAGTGGTTCAATGGCGTGCTGACAAGCAGTGTGGACTCGAGATGGAGGAATATGTGAGATTTGTCCCGAGCTATTGGCTTCGTATCGGATGGGATACCGGGGTCCCGCCAATAGACCCGAGGTGGGTTCCGTCATTCAGCGTAACTCCAGACGACGAAAAGGTCTGACTCGGCGCGTGGATGCAAGGAGAGAAGCCTCGTGTTGCCTACTGAATGGTTCTTGGCAGGCGCCAAAAGGGTGTTTGCTGTAATAAGAACCATAGTCATTCTGTCGTAACCGTGGGTGTGGACAGGACAGTGAGGGTTAGGATGAAAATGACGTGGGATGTGAAACGGTGGTGAGCGATATTATGTAAATGGCGGTTGGGTTAGAGTGAAAATGTCGGGTCACTCAAGCTTTCCCTGTTCGAAGGCCTTATTCGACACCACTGTCGTCACCGTGATTATCATATGCAGTTCAGTTCAATATCACACTGCTTCTTGTGAGATGTCACCCTTTCCCGCATATTATATCCAAGGTTGCCTATTGCTGGAATTTCAATAGTTAGCAATGGACAAGAGAGCAAGGGATGACCTGAACCCTCACCCTCAAAATCGACAAATAGTTCATTTGGCTGGTTGATAGTTAGGTAGATGATAGATAAAAAAGGGTGAGGGATCGCACTCAAGGGATGGAAAAGAAAAAGCAAAAAGAGATAGTTATTGATCCTAAACAAACCCTAGGGAAAGTTGATTGGCACTTCAGCGATCCACACGAAGATGAGCCAGAATGATTCATCTAAGCTTCCTACAATTGGCGTATACTGGTCCACAAAGCTCTTGTCAGACCGAAGTTAATTTGACGTGTTGGATTGATTGGGAGCCAATAAAGTGGGTAGGTAGAAGGGAACCAAGGAAAGCAGAGCAGAGAAGAAAGAGAGAGAGCAAAAAAAAAGGGTTCTTCAGCTCGGAACCCACTAACTGGCACTCCAACCACTGAAGGGAGCCGGTCACGGGGATGAGTGGGCACCTTCCCACTTTCTTCAGCGTCGATCTGATCTCTCTTATCCCCTCCCCCTTCCTCTACTTTCTCACCCCCACTAGGCTAGGATAACTAACACTAGTCCGTGAACTAGTCAATCAATTCATCCAAACCCTCAGCCTCACTCTGAAAGATTTAATACCCTCGTTCCTCTCCTCCACGCCGTCTCGTGCGCAGTAATTATTACCTCCCTTTTTGACGCATGGCGACATGGTCGCCGGTGACTATGGCCGCTTAATTGCATGTTCCCCGCTGCCCTAGCTGCTGCATTGGCCTTCATTTTGAGCACTCAATCCGCGTGCCACTACGATCACCCAACAGGTTAATATACTGTCCTACGGGTGAAGGAAGCACCTAGCGCGCCGAACCGGCTGGTCAGCAGCATAATACTGGTTGTGACATCCGATACACTTAAAGGCTCCTTTCAATAAATGTGATGGGCTCTGTCCGATCAAACGGTGGAAATGCCTCCAAGCAAAGGCGCCCCGGCGCGCAAAAAGGACGCCATTCATTTCGTCAATGCTCGGCCGTCCTCGGAGAGAGAACGGTTAAAGATACAGCGCCTGGTTAGGGCCCATGTAGGCAAATGGATCTCCGACCAAACCAAGGATCGCTCGATAGAATCAGAGCCCTCAGAAAGAAGAACAAACACGGTCCAGGATGCTCCTCGTGATAACGCGTCACGCGCCGTTGATCCTGATGGGGATGAGAGGATGCTGGACTTTTACCCCCCTTCACTGTCCTCTCAATCCGCCGATTCGTCTTGTTCGCCTGAATCGGCTTTATCCAACAATAGTTTGACGGCCAGACAAACCGCCCCTTCCAGTGCCTGGGAGGCACAGCCAACGATGTCTCTTGTCCCCGCTTCCCAGGTATACCTTGACAACACGAATAGTCAGTATGAAAACGACTACGAATATGACTATGGTCATGACTCCGAAGGATCAAGCGTTGAAAGTTCCAGTCCTCCTGGCCCCCCAGACCACATCGAGACCATAGGTGCCCACTTCATCGATCCTTTCCAGACCTACCCGTGGCGTCATTCCCCAGAAATTGCCAACGCATGCCAGGCATACTGTGAGTAGGAGCATCGTTAGATGATCCCTTGCGGCAGTTAAGAGAAGCAATCGTTAACAGACGCCTTCAGGCACGTCCGTCCTTTGGCCGACTCTTACCCCCGGCTCCAGTAGATCGGAAGTCTCAGCCTTAAATTGGTTTCCCCTGATGATGTCCGAACCGACCTTGATGACGGCCATCACGTTCGGCTCACTGTCGCACCAACGGGTGCAGTGGCTGAACCGTTGGATCCCAGACGGCGCGTTTCGGGAGCGAGAGCAGCAGCTTCTGAGAGTCTGCGAGATGGAGACAATCGAGCTGATCAACCAGGAAATGAAAAAGCCTGGCCGGGCGATTAGCAATGCGGTCATTCTGAGTGTGATGTGCATGGCCCATAATGCCACTGATATTAGTGAAGAACGACAGTTTCGACACATTCCATTCACCGCACCCATGCGTCGGCTGCAATGGATCGACGTCTATGGTAGCCTGCGGCCAAACTTGGTCCATGTCCAAGGTTTGATCTCGATGATTAACCTACGGGGTGGCCTTGAAGCCATCGATCTTCCTGGCCTGGCTCCAGTAGTGTCTCTGTAAGCCAACCTACAACATGGAGACCTCGAGATCTAGCTGACAGTCCTTCCTAGGTCGGATATTGTAACTTCAAGTGCATATCATACACCTCCAGTATTTCCTTTCTTCCCTCTTCGGGGGGACCGGAAAAACATTCCCTTACAAGAGATGCTTGGGTATACCATGGCCGAAGTTGAGCGCCATTACGGCCGACTACGACAGATCGGCTTCACTGAAAAATTGATGGAGGTGTTCCACGCTATGGACGTATACATGGCTCTAGTCGATACTTACCTCAGGGGAACATACATCAAACCGGATTACTCCTTGCTCGCCGACCAGCGCAATTTAGTCCAATACACTCTGTTATCTCTACCCGCTGCCAGTCAACTGAGTGGTTTCACTGGCTATCATCAACACCACGAAATCATATATGAGGCCTGTCGCCTCGCAGGTTGTATCTACGGCGCTGGTGTGGTCTTTCCTCTACCCCCTCAAAGCACCCCGCTGGCTAAACTTTCTGGCCTTCTCAGGGGTGTCCTTGAGGTTCCCGACTGTTTGGCTGTCTGGGAGCACCCGCAAGCTCGCGTGACCCTCCTCTGGGTCTTGACGCTAGGTGGCATCGCGGCGGAAGGCACCGTGGACCGAGAGTGGTATGTGTCGATACTCACAAAAGTCGCACGGTACAGCCACATCACCTGCTGGGCCGACCTCCGAGCAATCGTCGTGCTGCTACCTTGGTACGATGCTGCATGTGACGACGCGGGAAATAGCCTCTGGCTTGAGATGGAAAGATTATCCGCTCGTCCGTCAAATTCAGATTGATCATGTCAGATACCCTATACTACCGGTTTGGGCAAATAGTGCATTTAGATCTGGGACATTGGCTGTGTTTGCTTTTTGTTGGTGTACTATACATTCCCTCCCCACCCTTTTCCCCCTGTTCTTTTATTTCCTTTTTTTGCACGAACCACCACAAAAGTTGAGGCGGGCTACGACTTATGATATTCACGAAGGTTTTCGGCAGGAGTATTGGATATGCGAGGAGTTGGTTTAGAGATCAAATCGTTGCAATACCTCGGCTATAATCGACTTCGTTGCGTGATACGTTGTGATATTTATATATATATCTAATCAGTTTTAGTTAATGCTCCATTGGAGGGAACAAGTAGTGACAGAACCAAAAGAATGTCAATATATCAATTCTGACCGGGTGCAGTACATACGAAGAACGCCGATTGACTCGTGTCTGTTACCGTAGGTCATAAATAATATATATAGATACATATCTCTCTACTGGAACGAATAGAAAATGAAACTAAGCTACGCTACAAGCTAATGCTATGAAGGACTGGAAATGCCATATGAGGGCGACTCCGCATGCCGAGCCACATTTGATGGTGGCCGATATAACAACGGCTCCCGTTCCCAATCTCTACTTGCGATACCATCATGGTCATTGGGGACTGCAAGTTCCCCATTTTCTTCAGTCGCTATTGCTGAGACTTTAGTCACGGTGCCTGCTTTCCACCAAACAAAACCAACCAATCCGACCCCAACCAGAAAGGTCACAAGAGTAAGGATGAAATTGACCGGAATAGGGTTCCGATGGAATACCTTGAAGGTGATGGCATCGAGACCTGCTTGGGCGAAATTGCCTAATCCCGACAGACAGATGATGAGTCCGTAGACCTTGCCGAACGTCTGGAAGCCGAATACTTTAGCGGCATAATCTGAAACTGCGGTATAGTAGAACGGGCGGTAGATCACGAAGATGGCGATGTTAGTGTATCCTGCTTCCACGCTATGTGGTATGCACCCGAGAGTACCGATCACCGTTGCGGTTGTCACGAGCACGAGAAGGACGAAGGGCGTACTCGCATTGTCGAGGATGGCGCCAATGAACGGTACGGAAACGAGACCACCAAGGGGGAGTAAGAAATCAAACACTTCGTTGATCTTGCGGGCTTTTTCGGGTGATCCGAACAGGAATTCATACTGTTGGCGCATAGAGGCCACGAAGTAGTTGATTCGGAGCATTTGGAGGACGGTAAAAATTGTGATGAGGATGAACCACGGGGACCGTACTTGTTGCAAAGCTGAAAATCCGTGCATTGTACCCCAAACGCCGCCTGTAGTGTTCGGGGATTTGGTTGATTGGGTGTCCGGCTCGTAGCGGTTGGCTCTGAGTGCAGGATCTTCCACCCTAGGTGGTTGGTCAGGGGCTCCGTCCGTGAGGAGGTCCTGGATCTTGTTGACAATATCTTGGCGCTGGACGCGACGGTCATTCCGCTGACGTTCGCCTTCATTCCGATCTTGAATGTCGTCGTCGACCCTGTCATTTACCTCAGCGGTGATTTCGGCTTCTGCTTGCTGGACTAGCTCTCCAGCAGTCTTATAAGACGTTGTTGGCATGACGGTAAGCTGTGCAGCTAATATGAGTACTGGGACAATTAGATAAGCTAGGAAAAATTTCCCGGTTGTAAACCGGCCATTTGTGTTCTGGTTAATCAGACGGAAGATTAAGAACAGTGCGCTGGAGGCATCGAATGCGCCTGTCAGCATGGAAAGTATTAATCCCGAGCGGGTAGGAAATGTGTTCGAAAGTTGGAATGATGAGATGAAAATGAACGGTCCGCCCAAAGACAAGAAAAAATACCCTGGGATGTATCCGTCGAAGCCAATACTGCCAGAGAGCCCAAAAAGTAGAGCGCCGAGAGAAAGAAAACCACTGCCGATGATGCCACAAACACGCGGACCGTATGTGTCTAGAATAGTTCCAACTGGAAGGGCAGAGACGTTGGTCGCAACAGCAGCTATGGTAAACATGAGGTTGAGGCTAACCGTGGGCGTTAGTTGCCACACCAAGCGAGAGAGTTGCTGGAGCACTCACCGAAGTTCCTGCAAGTAGCACACATCTTGGCTTTTATTGAGCTCCTCTTTCGAGCACATGCTGTGGTAAACTCCTTCTCTAATCAAGACCGGCTTGAGCGCCGCGAAGCCAAAGACAATACCCGCAGCCAGGAAACAGTAGATTACTGCAATACAGACCTGCACTTTTAGGAAGGTCAGTAACCATTGGGGGGAAATACGAGGGGCCCCCGGCTTACAGATCCGTCTAGTCCGACCAACCTCAAAAGCGCCGGTTGTCTCCAGTAGTGACGCTTCCTGCGGTTTCACGAAACCGTTGTGTGCCACCCCATCTACCCCCTCTACTTCACGGGGGGATGACTGGGAGGGCACTCTCCTGAGAGAGCCTTGCTCATCTGCCGCATCATCAACCGATGCCTCATTCCAACCTGGTCCGGCATAGGGGTTGAAATTCAGGCGCTGCCTCGAGATCGGAAAGCTGAATGTTGATGGGAACGAGGACGATAGCGACTCTTCGGGGAGGTCTTGGTATGCCGCATCGTCATCCGAGTCAGCTGCTGACAATTGATCTTGGCGCCGGATTGAAGCGGGACCATGTTCCCATGACTCCAGATAGGTAACTCGAGGCAGGGACATTACTAGACGCTTGCTTTATCTAAATCAGATCGGACCATGATGAGGAGGTCTGCCAGGAAAATACCTCGTATAGGTAAAACGGAAAAGCTATTCTCTCTTTGAAATGAGTACAAATAGTTTGAATTCTAGCTCACATAAAGAATGTTTGCTCCTTGCAGCATCCCAGCTGCTATGAGAGTCCGTTGCGGGTCAAAGTAATCGCAGCGAAGCACTGTTCTAGCTGACTGATACGGGGAAGATAATAGGATAGAATAGTTAAACCACTCAAGATAAAATAAAAAGCCAACAACTACTACTGGGAGGGGTATTTTGGAGTTTAATGGAGTTCAGATTAGGGAAGATGGAGGAAATATTGGCAGACGAAGGTCATGATGATCATATCGATGATGATGATGATATTCAGCGTGACTTGCCCCAATTGTCATAGCTCCAATGTCACCTGAGATGATCTCTATCCCCGATCAGGTAAGGGTACCATGACTAAATGATTAGTCATATATGAACGCATGTGATCCCCCACGTGATGCAGAATGGACTGTTGTCGGTGCCAAGCAATACTGCATTCCTTCTTGGCACAACACACTGGCGGAATTGAGATCGTGGAACCGGTACTGATCGTTATTCGGAGAGCCCTACCACCAAGGATCCAAACGGTTGGTATGATTCGGCCGGGTACCTAAGCCTGGAACTATACATCTACTCCGTACTATGCCAAATTAACACATTTCGTCCGGTGCCTCACGGACGGGAAGATTCACCATTTGTCGGTGGGCCGTCATGCCCTAACTGACTCGTATCGTCTCTAGTGCGCCGGCCTAGCCTGTTAATCGAAAGCCTGGGCCATGATCGGTTTGAATTGACAATTCCACAATTCGCCCATGTGACAGCAATCAAGAGGGGCTAGGGTAATAGCATCAAGTCCCTGATAAAGTTTGCCTGTATAGTACTAGATATGCGCGTTGGATGGAGCTGACGCAAAAGGCGGCGCAATCCGTCGATGAACATGTCTAATGGTCCCCTGGATCTTATGCACTATACTATGCTCCAGAACAATTACATTGTCTGAATCCAGCACTCTCAGAAAGCCTACGCTGCAGATCGTGGAAGTTCAGAACCCACTGGTGTTAAACTATGCGGAGAATGAACCAATGGCCAAAACACATTTCGCATACAATCAGGGTTCAACCCATGAGGGTTTTCCATGATTCATTAGAGCCACCCATCCCTCCATCCAAGTCAAAAAAAAAAAAGCCATGGTCCATGTATGTGAGTTTCACTTGGTAACTACCCGCAACTTGAAATTAGGCCCGCTGGAAGGACTCGACGTCTTTCCCGTGGAAAGCTGAAGGATGGTTTAAACAGTTCTAGAAACTCAGTGCTCCACTATGAGATATGGTGAGGCTACTGACACTATCCGAAAGTCTTAAATGGTTATGATAGACAAGGACCGGTGGATGGGGCTCGGGACTATCCACCGAAGTCGGTTAAGCGTGGATAACCGTTCCAATAACCTACTCCAGGGGTCAAGGATTGGCTGGACCCTCAGCAAAACCCATGCGGTTTGAAATGCCGAAACGCTGTTCATTAACCTAAATGAAATTCTCCGGCACGCAGTGCTTTCCCAATACTAACCTGAGGATTTCTCCTTTAGGAAGGGATCAGAGGCGGCGCGTCAACCGCCATACATTTCCCGGTGGAAGACTATAGAGGGCCCGGCTTTTTTGATGCCAGAGTCTGTTGTGGGCATCCCATCTAGAGAAGACTACCGAAAACTATTGTCTGTGTTGCTGGTACTCAGGGTCTCCAGCTATACGGCCTATAAGTGGCCCGGCAGTTGTGCTTTTCTTATTTATGCTGAGTTTGCGCCAAAGACAACCTTCTGTAACTTCACCCTAACTCTGTCTATCAACTACCTGTTACACTAGTATTCTCTCTTTTTCTGTCTCTCGCTTGTTCTCCTTCCATTATTGCTACCTGAGGTGGTCCTTTGCCTCCACTCCAAAAGATGCGTTGAGTTGTTTAATATTAATTAAGATTTCACTGTTCCCACTCCTTACTATTCCTATTTCTGGCGTGGTCACATTTAGCTCATATTAGCGTCTCTGGCTTTCCGTGCTTGCTTCCCTTCTTATTTCCGCCTTATATGACTCGTTTCCGGTACCCTCTTTGGTGTTGATGCGCTTGTTCCCTGATTCATGGCTGTTGCGGGTATCTCTAGCCGAGAGCCAGCTTTGACGATATCGTAATGAGGGGATGGTGAGTACTAATCTGACTTGTTCCTTTTCGCCGCGCCAGCCGCTCATCTAACGCTTGTGTCCTGCTTACAGTCTTACTTGCCGCCAGCGTCATCTCAAATGTAATCATTAGCGGGACTTGACTATACTGGATGCTTTTTTCTGATTCCGAAAATCTAACTTTAGGCTATAGGTGACAAAACTGGGGCCGTGTGCTTACGTTGTCAGCGATCGGGGCGACAGTGTATTCCTGCACCATCGAAACCAGAGGAGGTTACTTTTCGCCACGGCCAGAATCCTTCTCTGCGTCCCAGAGGGCCTCCTCGTTATGGAGAGAGCGACCTAGCATTTCCAGATAATCAAATTTGGGTTGAAACGCCCCCCGAAGGTGTGTTCTATCGGTGGCGTGGGTGGAGATCTGCTGGGAAGCCGGCACATACTAACCGCATCTCTAGTTACTTTTGAAGACGAGACGGGCCGTACAGCAGCTGACTACCACGTTGTATCGGCTGGAGAGTCTCAATTGTATTTGAGGAAAATGTCTGAAAGTCGATCTTCCACCTCCGTGTCGACATTACCACCACCATCAACGTCTTCCCTCCTTTCCCCTGCTCTGTCTGCGCGTGCTCTAGAGTCGGCCCGATCTCAACTGGACTCCCCTCTTGGACTAATCAATAACCTCTTGCCAGCAGACATTATGGCAGGTCAACAAAAGTTGGGCAATTTAAATGAGGCTTTCCTCCTTCGGCACTTCCGAAGAACGATTGGTGCATGGGTGCTGAACTCTTCTGTCAAGTTGGAAATGGGAGCAGATCGCTAACATTTACTATATATCCAGCTGGACGTATGCGACCATGAAAGGCACTTCTCAGTGCATGCGGTGGAACGGGCGCCTTCTTGCTCGCTCCTATTGTATGCCTGCCTGGCCACAGCCGCCTGCCACCTCTCTCATACGAACAACTCAGTTCCTCCTAATACTGCGGACCAATACCACGAGCAATGCATTGCAATTTTACTGCCGGTGGTGGAAAACACCGACTTCAAAACTAGCATCGAAATACTTCTCGCCTCGACGGTCATACTACGCTTTTTCGAACAAATCTCTTGTGCGTGGAGTTGATCAGAATATTTAACGACTGTAGTGCTTACTGACATTTCCCAATAGCCCGTGCCCTGTCGCAAGACCTGCAACGACACCTCCTGGCTGGTTCTGTGTACATCGGCTCTCACATCGATTGTGCGTTTTCTGGAGGTCTTGCAGAGGCCTCGTTCTGGGCCTATGTTATGCAGGATGTCCAGATTGCGTTGGCCACGCGAAGCCCTCTGCGGTTGACCATCGGCCCGTTTGAGGAAAAACTACGTCTTGCCTGGGAGCATCGTACCGCCCAAACCGACCGGGACTGGGCCCATCGGGCCCTATGGCTACTAGCCGAAACTATAAACTATTGCTACCAGCCAAATAGCCGGGCTCATATAAGTTCCACTACATGGGAGATTCTAAAAACAAAGATCTGCGATTGGGAGATACTGAAACCGGATAGTTTTCGACCCTTACATTATTCTCCTGCCAATACAAGCCTTGGCCGACCCTTCCCTGTTGTGTGGTTCACCAGCGCATCTCATGGTATGCTCGGTATCCGTTACGACTGGTGCATGATAATATTAAAAAACTAATGCTCAAGCAGCTATGGCGACGCAGCATATTTGCATAGCAAAAGCTCTGATACATGAGTTGAGAACTCTGCATTTCGTGACCAATGCAAATCAAGATGCACGGATAATTGAGGTCGGTTTAGTATATCCACAATGGGAAGCGCTCCGCTGACTTGGGGTATAGAACGATGTCGTGAGCAATCTGAGTACAGTTTTAGGCATTTCCCTCTCGACCGATGATGACCTCCCCGTTCGCATCATGGCATGCCATGCGCTGTCTGCTTGTAAGAACCTCCTCCACAGATCTCAGGACCTCATTGCCGCTTTGATAGGAGACTACTCTTCGGCACTTCTTCGGGGTCCATACACCGTCAGGCCGCTACGGAATACTAACGCAGTGCTAGGTGGCTCATGGATTCGTGACCCTCTGTCACAAACATGTCTGTTAGACCTACTCCGAATTACCGAGGCAGAGAGCGGATGGCCATTAGCATCTCTGGCGGAAGCACTAAGTCAAGACTGGCAAATGGTTACGGATTAATATCCACTACCATGGTTCCTACATCACGTCGCGCGCCCTCCAACAACAAACTCCCTTTTCCGTGGTGAACACCCACAGATACATGTAACGGCGACTGCGACGCCTAGTGAGGCAAGATCCACCGAGCCCAAAACTCGCGACTTCGGTAGGTTGTCCACTCAATGGCAGGCGGTCGAACTGACAGACCCGGGCTAAAAATCCTTAGCATTAAACCAATTCGGCCGGACTCCCGCCATTACTTCTGCATCCCCACCTCGTGGGAGCCGTGTGGGGACTCTTCTATATGCCGATAACACTTCATCCAGCTGAGTTTGTACACACCTGTGGGGCGTCATTCATTTCCTTCTTTGAATGCTGAGCGCTGATTGCACATCTAGACGTTTGCAGACTGCAGTTTATATTAGCCAAAGAAACGGGTGGGATCGATTTTGTTTGTATTTTTCCGGACGAGGCACCTTGTACATGCGATTTCCGAAAAGAGTAAAACGATAGAAACAGTAATAGATAGATAATTGACCATGAATCATCTAGAGGCTCAACACCGCCTCAAGTATATGTTCTTGCCCTTATTAGCGTCCTCTTCAGCATTGGAAACGTTGCCAACATATCTCAAACGAGGTATAACACCTCGATCTATAAGCTTATGCCCCCTTGTCCGAGGATCCTTCGAATCGCAGACCCCAACGTCATCATCTTCACACCTTTTTCTTCACTGCAGGATCGCTTATAGTATCCAGCTGGACGCATGGAGATGCTCGCACAGATTCCTAAAAACTGGATCAGCAACACGCCATGTTCAACAGAAATCACTACTACAACAACTAGCGACTATATATGTCCCTCCCGTCTCGGCAGCTAATTACCGCCCGATCCAAGAGAGGAAAAAAAGTACTAGGTATCCCCCATCCTGTACGGACTTTAATACCGCAACCCTAGAAGTGAACCCCCCAGAAGGATCAGACCGAAGCTACGGAGTACATACATTCGCCATATGTATATGGACACGTGATGTACGTATGTATGTATGTATCAGTACCCTCGGAAGGATCCCCAACCTGTGTCGTATCCTAGATTCAATTATACTTCACTGCCGGTCCCGCATTACCATATTTTTTTACTAGACTCGTTATAGACCATCTTATTTTATTTAACTTCCCTTTCCCATCAACCTGACGCTCGGATCGTTTCATCATGCATGCTTAAGTTTCTGTATTAGACTCTATTATATCCAAGTCTTAATATTAGATGTGATTAATTAACTATGGCTGCGTATACTTACCTGCCTCATTTGGCCATCCCAACTAAGTACGCACCGGACATAGCCTTAAACCCGAAATCCAACCCCATCCATCGTACCCGATAAGAACAAAAATAAAAAGAAAAAAAATAAAAATAAAAAAGGAAAAAGAAAAGAAAAGGGGTAAATCTCAGAATTTTTGAGATAAAAACTACACAAACTCTTAGCCATGCACCACAAATCAAGTTACATTGCAACAACCCAAGAAAACGGACCGTAAAAGCCCCACGCCCATTTCTGGAAAAGGTGATCAACTCCGACCCCAACCCAAGATGAAATGAACCCTGTGACCTTCAAGTAGTAATGCAGGACCGGACAAGGGTAAATCCGTTGTCGCGGATTTTACCTAAACTTTAACTAAGGGCAGAGTTCCAAACTAACTTAAATTGAACACGCTATCCTCAGGCTCGATTCCCACGCTATCTACAGTTTGACACGGGCGAGGTTAGGTTCCAAACAACTTTGTTTCTTTCATTTTTGTTGTTCAGTTTCCCGCTTACATAAGACAAAGTATGGGCTGGTGGTTGGTGGGAAATTTGGTTAAGGTTTTGGGATACGCGTGGTTCTCTTTAGTTTTAATCTTATTTTGTTTGGTTGTATTGTCCTTTTTTTTTCTTTTTTTTTTTTTGAACCTCAAATCGTAGAGTTTGAGTTTGGGGCTGACAGGAAAGGAAGTCATTTTGAGTCTTCACTTGTTGGTACTGTTCTCCTTTTTCTGGGTTTTCTTGGTTTTATAAAAAGGATCTTAGGGTTAATTAGGATACATGTATCTCTACTTGTATCGCTTTTGTATGGTTTGCCCTATTGGTTTATTGAATGTTGTTATCTATGTACATAGTTCTATGTATTTCTCGTTTTTATTCACAGTAGAGAAGAGGGTATCATATCATATTGGTCGTATGTACAGATAAAGAGTTGGATATATTCACCTGACTCGAGATAGATTTACCTGACTCGAGTATCCTGTCTGTAACTCCACTTTTCGTAGGGTATGGAAAAGACACGGGAGTTAACTCCGTGCGACCCTCTTCAACTCCCGCGTCGGGAAATTACAAAGGGTATAAATAAACGAGCATGACACCTGATACGCAAACGTATCCACCCTAATAATACCCAGTCCCCTCAGTCGGCAGAGGCAGATTGAAAAACCCGTCTCCCACCATGTTCTCCAGCGCGTACAAGTTCTCCGGCTCAAATCCTACCTGCATTCCCAATTCCGGTACAAAGAATCCTGGCACCGGCCACGGCATCACCATGCTACTGTTAGCCCCGGGTTCCGGATACCCAGAGGCTGGTATATCTTGGTACGTCGATGTCAAAGGAGGGTAGAATTGCCGGTTGGGTGGTGGATACTGGCCCCAGGGGTCGGACTCGGCGGCCGGGGCAGGACTCGGCCCTAAGGAGGGTTGCGGTTGCGACACGAGGTCTGAAGCGGAAGTTTGGCTGACTAGTTCAGATGACTGGGGAGTGTAGCCTGCTGTCCGTGGAGGGCATGGACCTGAGCTAGGGAGGTTCTGAGGCTCGCCCATGGCGACTTCGCTCAACAGATGTAGAGGAGTTGTGCCCGTTTTCGTCTGAGGTCGTCAGTCAAGGGTCGAAAGTTTTCACACAGACAACGCGGAGGCAATGGATGAAGGTGTGAGCAAACTTACCGTTTGGTGTTTCTCCTCTGAGGCCGGTTGACTGGAGTGGCCGTTGTTAGTGTTCATTGGGCGCAGTCCACCTCCGAAAGCATCTCTTAAGGCCAACCCATGGTCTTTGCGTTTCATAAACCAACTGCGAAGCATGCTCAACACCACTGAGAACTTTGCCGGGGTCCGGCCACCAGCCTGTTCGCCTGCTCTCGTGTAGTGCTCGATCACTCGGTCTAGGTAGTATTCTGTTTTCAGACTAGTAGCATCAATCACCTGTCCTATATGAGTCTCTGGAGCAGACACAATGGAGTAAAGCTTAATCAAGGCGACAACAGTGAAGGATGTCCGAGCCAGGGCAAAGACGGGAAGAGAGATGAGATCCTTGATGTCAATGGAGCAAATAGTATCGATGGCTTGGTGAATCGAAGTAAGACAGGTGCTTAGCGCATTCATGTGCGCTGCGCTAGTCCGACTGGAGTGGTCATCACTAGGGCTTTTCTGATCTTCGATGTAGTCCACATGCATAGCACCCTCGTGCAGGTAGAGGTTGACAATATGTTCCGCTTGTGTAAATATAGCTGGCAGCTCGTCAGTAGACGATCGGGAGGGAACAGCGCGCGAACTTACGAAACTCCTCTGGTCCTCGTTCCCTCTGGAGCTGTTCCAATTGTTTTTCAAACACCTTGAGGGTATATTGGATCTTGGGCTCTGAGAAAGTAACAATGGAGCTGGAATCGTCGGGGCAAAATTGCTGATGAATCTCCTCTATAATATGCACAAGTTTGGCCCATTGTATCATTACTCTGTCCGAGGGTAATGCATCGGCTGATTTCTCCAATATCTCTACACACTCATCCATGTACGGAGTCCAGCGTACGAGAAGGGTCCGTCTCAAGGAAGCAGCAACCCTAGAAAGGTCAAATACTGATTCCCACGGCCAGTCCAGAAGGGAGGTACGTACTGCACAGCTAGAAAATAACAACCCAACCACGCGCGCCTAGCCTCTGCCGAATCGGGGTCCTGAGAGGGCGATCTTTTCAATATAAGATCTTTCACCAAGTTCCACGGACGGCTCTTTGGCATCGGTCTACGGTACATTCCAATATCCATCGCCAACGTCACAGCCATATGGGTCAACTGGTAAAACTTGAGTTCCTCAAAGTGGTCCGGCGGTATGTACCAGTTACAAGTCACGAGAAGCCCTTGAATCAATTCTAGCGACTTTTCACCTTTCACAACGATGCGCTCCGCGATGGCTTTGTAGAAGTCTTCGATAAGCGGAATCTGTAATTCAGGCTGAATGGGCCCCACGGCTACAGCGATGATGGCATGGAGTAGTACCGGTTTGGTCTTCCGAATGTCGTTCATCGTGGTTCCTGTAGGGAAGACTACCATGGGGATATGAGGAGCCATATGATGCACGTATCTAGTGAAAGCTTCCGATGCTACTGCCGTGCTCACAAGGCCTCGGTCAATCACATCTACAGGCTCATTTGGCTTCGGCGCCGTACTACCTGAGCCTGGGCTTGGACGGGTTTGCCATTGCCTAGACGTATTATCCAAGATCTGCTCTGAACCAGGGCTTGAAGCGCGATAGAATGAGGGTCCCACGAGACCACTGTCCCTTAAACCCTTGATCTCTCCACTATGTCGCCGTTTATTCCCTGCCAGTACGGTGGGAGAATCCAGTGGCACAGAGCCAGTCGAGGCGCTGTGACTTGGCCCCAACCATCGTCTTCCAATATGCTCCTCACGCGCCGGGCCCGGATATCCTGCCTGTAATGTTGGTCCACTGCCCTGCGAGGCCTGCAAGCTTGCGGTCAGCGCGTCGATCTTCCGCTCCAACTCCGCGACTCGACTATCCGTCTTCTTTTGGCGCCTACGGGTTGGCGCCGTGACAACACAGGACCTGCCGGCCTTCGCGCACCGCTTACATGATGCATTTGGGTTGCTAATGTCTGGTTCACACCGGACTTTCAACTGGCGACATGATTCACAAGCACGTGGTCGTTTCAGCTCAGAGTATGGATCATTCGGATCGACTGAGTCGAGCCTATGCACGCCAGAAATTATGCCTCCAGGGCTGGTTTGGTACAAAGCCTGATTGGACTGAGATTGCGCGGTTGAGGCACCGTAGTAGCTGGGGCCGCTAGAGGTCGAGGTCGCAGAATGCAGATGCTCACTGGGCGAGATATGGGAAGGAGGGTCAGGATAGTCGCTCGTCGGATGCGAAGACAAGACACTAGTATCTGCTTGTCGAGTGGTAGGGGAGGGGAGGTAAGAATGGCTTGTGCCGGCACGCTCTGGAGGGCTATTACCGCTGCCCGGACGCAGGCGCGGATCGATCTCCATCAGTTGCGGGGACTGGAGTGGATATGTGACCGTCAGCACGTAGTTCTCTTGACTGAGGGGACATCATGACGAGGCTTCCGATGCAGACTATCCCTCAAGTCTTGGAGAAAATGCAACCGAGGATGGAATTCCCAAGGCAGATAAAGCGAAACAGAAAGAACTCTGGCTTACCTGAGTGCAGTTAGACTGTGGAACAAACGTCTGTCTGTTGATGGAGCTGCTGGCGTGCAGTCGGCAGAGTCGGCGACCGATGCCCGACAGCGGCTGATCGGTTCCACTAGGCGATTTTGGGACTTCTCTCCGCGTGAACCAAACTATACCACTTTAGTACGTCCATCAATATCCATTAACATGGATATAAATGATTGAACTTCCATGGATATGCTAGACACTCTTTCGTAAGGATGTAGTGATAGTTTCTTGCACACATCTACTTAAGTTGGTCTACCGACTGCACTGGGCGTATATCTGTAGGATGTGGAGATATAGATTTGAGGTAACATGTCAAAAGTGGCCACTCATGTCTCGGTATATTAAGTAAAAAGCCATTCGCAGACTGCCAACCAAGAAGATGGAAAAGAACGCCCGCTCAAACGGTTGCCAAATCAATATCCACCAGGGAGCTCGTGCCACAAATACCGTGACCAACGCCATATTGTCGATTATAGTTGATGAGAAGAGAAGGAAGCATGAAAAGACGAAGCTGTGAAACAAACTAAAGAGTGAGGATCAAAAAAGAGAGGAATATAGACAGAAAGAGAAATCGCTCAAGACACTTTATGCACAGGACACTCTCTCTTCCGTTCAAACCATTCAACAATGCATCTTTTGTGGAATTTGCAGAGGCACTCCAGTCGGACCAACGGCTGACTAACCTCATATTCCTCCATGCAAATAGTGCACTCCTGTACACTGCCATCGTGTCCAATGCAATCCTTCTCTGTGGCAGTAAAGGCGATCATTCGCACAGGAAGAGAAGACTGGGCCGCCGGACTACTACTGCTGCTGTGAGAGGAGGAGCGTGCTCGAGGTCCATGACTTTCAATACAGTGCCTGATATGTGCCTCCCTAGCATCCTCAGCCCCATTCATATCCAAAGGTGGAAGAACATGATCACAAATAGGGCAAAGGTCTCGCTCATCCACACGACGACGGGGAGCAGAGATAGGTAATCGCAGCTCCTGATCAGCAGATGTAGCGAATGACGGACCAGCCGATAACATAGCACTGCCTGGTGCCAGTGGAAGAGGCCGACCCGATGAAACCATAGACGGGGCGAAACGGGCTGCCGATAAAGAACCGTACTCCATCGGTCGTTCTTGAAATCGCGAGCCCAAGGACCCTCCGGAACCACCATACATGTGGTATTCATTCGACCCCACTGCCCTGCGTGGTGATCGAGCAGAAAAGCTCTCAGGCTACAAATGAGTGATTCAGTCAGTCACAAAACCTTTATTAAAAGACTGGGAGACTCACAATCGCAGCGTATGGTGGGTGTCGGGTCGGTGATGAGAGAGAATGATAGGGTCGATGCCGAGATTGGTTAGACGCGCTGTAACCTCCCTGGATACAGCCTGAACCTGATTGGGGCTCACCCGGAGCCCGAATGGTTGTATAGCCACGCAGCGGTTCTGGGTTTGGGTCTGGAACGCAAGGGTTGCATAAGCGCACCACCTCTCCACCTCCCAGGGCTGGGTTAAGGGCAGTGGGTGATTGAGCCGAGTCGTCACTTTCCAGATCGACGATTGGAGCCACACGCGGTGGAATCAGTGTAGACGCACGAGAGCGATTTGTGTCCGGAGGATGAACAATGAATTGTCGCGGAATTGTGATCCGGTGAGGAGAGCATGACGCGCAAACAACCCGTCCACATTTGCGGCAGTGATGTTTCCGGTACCAAAAACTAAAGGCTGTCTCACAGATCGGACAATTCGTCACCTCCGAATCAGGCTGCCACCGTGGCCGTGTGTACTCCAAATAGTCATTCCCCGCTCGTGACCATGAGCTTCGGCGGTCGTTCGTCCGCCGAGGACGCTGGTCTGGCGGCGACAATGACAACTCAATCGGTGTCAAGTAGGAAGCACCAGGTGCAGAGCTCTCAGGTCGCATCGGCGACGCACTTGGGATAGACCTGCTATCCATCTCTGCTATTGTACGCCCTTCAGGTTCAGTCACGCTCCCGGATACTGACTGTCTCGACCAAACATCCCCCTCCGCATTGACCAATCTTCTTTTTCGATCGGAGCCAGTCACAGTAGATCGTCTTCTCCCGGAGCGTCTATCAAGAGCAGGACCAGCCTCGCTTGCCATGGTAATCTCGGAAGTCGCATGGGGTCTAGCGCTAGCAGGATGCCCCAGGGTGGCGGAGTATACGGTCGAAGCACCGACAGGTGCAGAAGAAGCTGGGGTAGAACTCGACGAGGACGACATCAACCAAGGGTGTCGATTGAGTAACGAATACAACGCTGGCTGTGTTCCTATCGCTGGAGAAATCAACCTCCGCCGTTTGGATGACGGGCCGTCATGGGCTGAGTGGCGCGACGATTCCAGCGGAGAACACAAAGTACAGAAAAGGGGAACACACAAACACGGGAAATCAAGCTCGGATTGTTAGATCTGGTCTTTGTAGAAGCACACGACGATGAGGAGAAGGTATAGTGAAAGCGAGAGGGAAAGGGGACGACCAGGGGCCAAGGGGCCAGCAATGAAGGGCTTATCAATACGAGTAAAGTCAGGGCGGCGGAATCGGAGTCGATGGCAAATAAAACACAAAAAGTAAAGCGACTCGAGGGTTGTCTCGTGACGACGCCAAACACGCACGCTAAAAGGAATAAGAAAATGCACAATGTGTTCACGGTCGAATAAGGTATGCTAAGGACAGAAAGAAAGAAGAGAAGAAAATAGTGATCGAAAGAAAGGTGGAAAAGGTAAAAGAAGAGTAAAGGCGATTTGCAAATGCAAGTGTGCCTTACCTTACGATTAAATACCCCCTACTATCGTTCGCCGCGGGGCAACTGAATATTAAGCAAGATAAAAAGTAAAACCTAAGGCACCCAACAGCCACAAGACTTTCAGTACCGCATGATCTCCGAGAAAAGTAACCTGACCAGAGAAATTACATATACCCTCTCTCTTCATGTCAAATCCATTCCGTGCCTGAGAGTTCTGTCCACGCATTGGAGAAACTCTGATATCGGCATCGTTTGCCACTTGGGCTTACATATCATCATCGGATATTGATACCGTTGATAACCACTTTAAATTTTTGAAATTTCGTCTCCTAGTGCTTAGGCTATATAAGTTAGAGTTCATTATTCCAGTCGGCCTCGATCAACCCTAATTCCACAGTAGTTAAAAGGAACTATTCCCAAATGCTTTCATACATGAATTGAACGCTTCAAATATACAAGACGTAGGGCTTCTGGATTAGAAGGCTTTCCCGAACACAATCAGCTGTTCTTACAGGCAATTTTGTGTGCCATCAAATTAAGGTAAAAGAAACATAGAGAGAAAAGAAAAATTGGGGAAGGCCCCTGGTGTATATGTAACGAAGATCCAAACGTATATCGCAACGCCAGGTACAGCTATTTTTCCGATGACACAAATGAAAAGGGCAAAAGAAAATTCGTCACCTTGATATCAGGGTACAGTACATATAGAATAGCAGAGTGACACGCTATCAGATCGACTGATATATCATTAGGATATAAGTGCAACTTGGTGCACTAAAGGAGGTGCTTCAAATGGAACACAGGGCTTAATGATTCCCTTCGGGGTGGTGTGGCTCATCTACAAGCTCGGCAGCACTCCCAGTGAAAGACGGTTCGTCCGGGCTGGCTTCGTGGATATAGTCTCGAGTGCGATGTTGGGCAACGTACCCCATGCTTGAGGGCCGCTCAGTGCGGCTCCCGTCGTTCCCGTGGCGCCGGCTTGAGGAAGTTGACGGCGTTGTTGAAGCTATGGAAAGATTGCGATCTCGGGAAGGTGAGCTGGCGGCACTGAATGGCAGTCGGCCAGTGCCCGATGACGAAGGGTGCAACTGACCCGAGGGGAAATGAGGCTCCTCCGAGACAGCCTTAGTCACAACTGGAAGCGAATGGTGAGATGCAGCGTCATCTCCGAAGGCCGAGGAATGGGAATCATGCCGAGAAGTTGGAGAAGCTTCCGCGGCTCCAGAAGGGGCGTGTGAGCTATGCTGCGAGCCCATGCGGCTGGGTAGCTCAATAGCACCGCCTGACTCAACTTCAGGTAAGTTGATTAGGGCCTCGCCGATTCGATTGTTGTCCTCGCTATCCGTATCTGGATAAGATCGATCGCTATCTGAGACTCGACGGCTGCGCCCTGGGGCGGCCTGTTCGTCAGGTTCATCCCGGTATGGCTCGTGGATATCATCTCTTTCGGGAAGCAGACCGGGCGGAGGTGCTCTCGCGCTACGAACAACCTCGAATCCTTTGCCCTTTTCCTTGGTCTTGCCTTGGAACAGGTTCCGGAAGAAGCCGGTGGCAGAAGATACAGGTCCGGTGGGATCCGCAGGGCCAGTCTTCAATTTACGTGTGCCGCTTTGCGATAGTGGTGGTCCCCTGACTCGGTAGTAGAAGTCAACCTCGCGAACAGCATAATCTTTGCGGGATTGTCGAGGATCATCGAGGTCGAGGTCGTCCTTCGGCGCAGGTATATAGGCTGGCACGGGTGTGCCCCGTCCAGACAGAGGGCCCTCAATTATATCATCATCGGCATCGCTGCCTGCGCGTTGTCGACCGCCCGTTCTGCCTTTCTCCCCGCCACACATATCCACTCTCTTATTTCGAGGCCTGGGCGGTCGGTAATACGGGTCGTTCGCTTGTATGGCAAAAAGTGGACCGCTTTTCGGAGAGTTACTTCCTGTTGTCTGGTAGCCTGCACCCTGGAAAGTAGGGTTGCTGCCAGGAGTCGTGGGTGTAAATAGACCACTGCTATTGGCCCGGCTATGAGTACCTCCATGAGCACTGCCGGACTCATAAAAGGCACTGGCTCTGCCCTCGCTCGCGCCTGCCCGGTTAAGAAGCATTGCCGAACTTCCTGAGAGGCTTCTAGGCCGTGATCCATCAAATTGAGAAGACAACCGCTCGTCGGTGTGTGCTAGCATCGCGGCCTCGGAGCCCATGCTTTGACGAGTTCCAACACTTCGTCGTGGCATACGCCGTGAGAGTTGACGCATACCGAATACCTGCACCACATGTTAATCTAACGCAAGGACGAGTAGAGCCAGTTTCGGCAATAAAAAAGATTCAAGATAATGTACGTACCTTGACGAGGCCACCGCGTGTAACACCACCTTCATAACCTCCAGCACCAGCGAGTCGAGCTATCACTTCAATTAACGTCTGCAGGGCGTTCAAGAAGAACCCAAAAACTAGAACAATCGCGTGTAAGAAGAGGACAACGTAGCCTATCCAACTGCGGGCAGCCTGTGACACCCCTAGAGACGGGACAAAAACAACGCTTAAGAGGATCGTGAGAAACCGCACGACAGAGAAACAAGAGTGATAAAGGTTCATGGAAGTCGGCGAAGGAAAGGGGCGAAAAGCGACAAGCGTTAAAATAGCAACAACTTCGCAGATTGCCAGAAGGACTATTTGGGCGATCCCTGACGGTTGGAGCGCACCGATCGCGACACCGCGTGCAAAGGATAGGAAAAGCGATACTACAGTGAAAGCGGCCGCATCATCGCAAAAAGTGTTATACAGCGGCCCATACAACAGCACGGTGGGCAAATCGTCAAAAAGGTAGGACTTGGGACGCGTGGATGCAATCAACCGAATAACCCAAATTGCAAAGGCTATCATGATAAGGATCACCACGACGGCTAGAGCCACTGAGTACACTGGAGATTGTCCAGCGATGACCAGTTGAAAAAAGGAGAGCGAAATGAGCGGCAAGAACAAATAGTTACAGACGATTCGAATGACGTTGCCAATGGTAAACGGCATGTTTTTAGAACGAAGGTCTTCCTCGGGAACGTGGGCAATTTCCCGAAGAAGCCAGCGAAACGCGAATGCAAGCTGAATGAGGAGCGTAATGGCGACAACGACCGTAAGTAACCATATCATCATTCCTGGCCAGATGTCCCGTGCCGACTCCATGCCAACATACTGCTGCAGTGCATCCAGCCCATAGGTGCCGTTGACAGTGTACACACCGTCCTTGACTGGATTCCGCTCATGTCCGGGACTCAGGAAGCTCTGGTTAAACATCAGAGTTGACCATGCAACCTGACTGACCACGGGCTGGTAGTAACCGGGATAATTTAGTGATAAGGCTCCTGTCAGGACCGCGAATTGAATGTATTGTAGGCAGTCGCCAAACCCAGGTGTCACCAGTCGGAGGACATCTTCATCACGGCCGTAATTGCTTGTCCAGTGAAATGGGTCCGTTGTGCCCCACGGACTGTAGATTGCGGCGGTTACGGTCGCGAATCCTACGAGAATTAGGATGACAAGAGGTACGTAAGCTAACGCGCTCTTCAAGGCCGATCCAAGATCCGGTGTAACATCAACCGATATACACCCCAGCTCAGTAGCTGCCGCATCACCGGACTTGATTACCAGTGTAGATGACAAGGTCGAAAAGCGGTACGACGATAGCATGTCATGTTGGACAGAGAAGGAATGTAACGAAGCCAAGTCGCTCCTGTCAGTGTTCGTAATATTCAGTTAGCTGAACGAGATAAATTTAGAAATTGCTAAAGCTTGAATACATACGCATTGGCATTAAAGACGGGGCCGATCGGGCACCCTCCTCGAACCGAGTCACAGAAGCTGGTTGGACCACTGTACGGGGAGAAGCTAACCACGTCAACAGACGTCACGAGGGTGGTTAATTTGTTGTTGGCCGTGTTCAAATCCACAATCTTTCCAACCGTCTCGTTCGGATTCGTCCACTGTGGATCATCAGGGGATGGATAGGAAGATGATTGATCAGCGGTTCCAGAAACATTGCCGTATACCGTGATATTCAAGTTATGAAGAGGGTTCTTCAAGTCGAATACCACGGACACATCAAGCGGGACGAACTGGAGTTTCTGTGGGTTCGATGCGATCGTGGGCGCAGGTAAGCAATTGTCGAAGTTCACCAGAGCAGCATAGGTCGGAGACAGCAGGACCAACAGCATCCACGTCCAAGCTATCGCCCGGTTAAAGGGCCGAATCGCACGCCATCGCGACCGTCGCAAGGTATCAAATTCATGTCGAGACCGAGACGATAGCTGTTCGTCTTCTAAAACCCAGGGTGCGCGTCGGGACGAGGATAGCGAAGGGACCCGTATCTCATGCCATCTCTCGGGTTGATCTACACACATCACGAACGTCGGGTATATGTAGGATGACCTCCTTGGGGAGGTCAGCCCCCTCGTAGACGATTTAATCCACGTTGTCCAACCAATATCCAAGGATGTCTGAAGCTATCAGCGTCTGCCGAAACAGCTCGGTAGAGCCGCAACCTTCAAGTGAGCGGAATCAGTCCGGGGGAAGGCTGGTTTGCGGGAAAGGGTGACAAATAAGGAATCGCGGTCAGAGGGTTAGATGGAATATGGGAGTAAACTACTCCTCTACCTGCCCCGAAATGGAAATGTAGGGGATGGGGACCATAACTCCGGGAGTTGGCGGCGGGGAAGGGATTTCCAGGTCCAAAAAGCTCAGGCGGGAGTAAACAGTGAAAGGGAGCCCGACAAATGACTGTAAGAAGGGACCGATTGGAATGTTTTTTTTCTACCGTCTTTTTTTCTTCCGTTATCCTCCCTTTCACACAGAAGAGCGCATTACTGGTCAGCGCAGGATTCAAAGGTCAAGAGAAGGGGGGGAAAAAAGAAAAGGGAAAAAAAAAACAAGGTTGGAAATGATTGGAATGTGAAGGCCAAAAGCCTCCGTTCGAATAGACCCGAAAACCAAATGCTGACGGAGACTGCGCCATGTTTGTTCACTTTGCTTCAATCCCAATCAATGGATTGGGTGTGTGGCTTTGATGCTAAACTTGGAAACGACTAAACCCAGCTCCAAAAAGCCCACTTCCACCAAACAACACATCCATCCCATCCCATCCTCACCACCCAACGGTCGTATAAGCCTCTTTCGCAGCCCACTCGTGTCTCAGCCATGTCACTATTATTATATACCACAATAGAGAGCTAAATCCTCTTGTTTCTTTTCTTTGTTTTTTTTTTATATATTCTATTACTGTCTCATATATATGGCCATTGCTTAAATGACAGCAAAAATAGCAGGAAATGCTCTGAGATGCCCCTGTCTACTAACTATGTATTACAGAGTTTGAGGATCAGTCGATGTATGTAGTATAAGCGATTGAACTCCCATCAGCAAAAATAACCAACCAGAAATGACGGGTTCTGGATCCTCGTATGGGGCCCCTCAACGGAGCCCACTTATTAGTCGGCCTAGTGCTCACGGTGGTAACCCCAAGAAGAGAGATTATGATAGCTGTCGGAAATTCATGCGTCAAGAAGTGCTCTTGCGCTACAGATCCTTGCTAGAGATGTAGATACCCAATCGACTATTAGTCGCTGCCCCTCGTGTTTTTCTGAGCCACGTACAACTTCACATTGACGTGAGCGATCTTGGAAATCAGCTGAAGAGTGCATAGGACCAATCTTCTCGGCGATCGTATTCTTCAAGAACAGAAGCCTTGCTGTGTTACCATATTTCGTACGGGATTGATGACAAGATATATATATTTTCCTGCCCAGACGGGGTATACCGGGCTTATTCCCAGATCAAGCAGTGTGACTATATCTTAGGATCATCCGAAAGCCATATACTTTTTAACCGGTCAAACCGCATGATAACAAACATGAATTCGTCCGTCCCGACATCTTGCGCATATCATCGACGTGCCATGGCATAGATAAGTCTCAGTGAAAGCAGACCCATCGCTCCAAAGAGTTAGTGGATTCTCCTGGTCTAGATTTAGTTACTACTACCCAGTGATTTATGTTTGATTGTCTAAGCATTGACAATCAGCCGTGCAAACATACTACGGTACCCGTTGTTGTTTACTCGTAACTATTGAACGGTACTGATCGAACCAACTCTCGGTGCCCAATCGAATCCCCTTGCTTCAACTTGCATATATAACCTTCAATTGAATGATGCTGTTCTGCACTAGCTATCGCAAACACTAGGTAGACAAAGCCCATGGCTGAGGATCCCCTCCCCCTTTTCTCTTATTAAGGAGAGGCAGAATCTCGCTGCCTACTGCGAGTATGTATCTGGCTCTCCCAGCCATTTAGCGCCCTCCGTGGACCACGTCGGGGAAAGCTATAGGCTGGACGAACCTACTGGTAATCGATCATGATAGGAGTTGGCTGTTAAAAATTGCAGCTACCGGGTGTGTACGTGTGTCTATACGTATAATCCTTAGGATGAGGAATGGAACCAAGTTACTCTTATCTTCAGGAGAGACAGATCGCGATGATGAATTACTTCATAAACAACTTATAGAAAATACACCTTCAATAATTCTTTTCCGTTACTCCAAATCTCACTGTGGCGCGTGCACCACAGTAAATAAAATAGGTCGAAGCCGATATGACAACGGTCATCAGAATAGAGGATTGTCACTAGAATCCACTCCTTGCCTTTCTAACATGTACTTTATGACCCGCCTCAAAGGTTCAAGCTATGTCAATGACACGAAAAGCGATTCAAAGTTGTGGCTAAGACCTGAGAAATGACCGGGAAAGACGGAAAAGGAGAGCCGAAGTTGCCTACCAATCTTGGCATATTTGATATCGGCTCCTTGAAGGAAATTGGGCACTAGACAAGCTACCTTTTAGGGTGCATCGTTGACGGGGAGACTTTCATAATGTAATCACAAGGACGTCGCCGTCGGCAAGGGGTCGATGACTATATATTCTTATACATTTTTTCTTCTTTCTTCCTGCTTTTTTTTTAAAAAAAATTTTTTTTGTGGGTTGACACAATCGCGGAGACTCGTAAGTAACAATGTACTTAAAAGGAGATGATCAGTTGCTCACGATACCGTGTTTGAGAGAGAATCATTTCCACTTATCCAAGGAATAATAAAATTCATGGGAATTGTCCCTGCCAAGCTTTGTCTGTCACCCATCAAAGGAATGCCTGCTGTTTCAGGTCATGATCAAGTCCGAAAATGGAGTTTCAGCATAGAACAGGGCTAGAGGGGCTTCTAGATGCTTTTGGCTGTTACTTGTAGCTGTGGCAATTTTCAGATGGTAAGACATCCTTAGTTAGGGATGACGAGGTTATAGCTTGGATGTTAAGAATAGGGAAGGGAGGGATCAAGACATAGGGGCGTTACTTGTTACTCACTTGCCGACAAAGGCTATAATAGCTCAAATTTATAATACCATTCGCTCATCAGTGGACCAGGAGACGGAGTGGAAAGTCTCTCTTTTTTTTATTTACTGCTGTGAAGAGAAAAGGAACATCAATATGGTGGAAGGGACCGTCTTTTGGATTGTAACATCGTCCCCCCGCGCGCCTCCCCCCACCATCGATCTTCTTCTCGGCCCTAGGCATCCATGATTAAACTGTTGTCGATTTTCTCAACCCTCATATTAAGTTGAATTCATTGTCTTAGGTTTGTTTTGTTTTTTAGGAAAGGTATGTAGATATATAGAGAGAGAGATATATATATATATACGTACTACTTGAGCGTATACTAGGTGTACAAGATGAGTATAGAATAAAATAAAATACAGTTAAGTTCCTTCCCCCTCGCATGGGCGCTTTTAATCCAGGGTTAGGGCGGCTTTGGGGTCGTCAGCGGTTCCACTCGTCACCTGGCAATCAGCAGCTCGGTCCCAAACGGGGTTAGGTCAATGCGGGGCCTGTTCGAAACAGGACTAGCTCTGTTTCATGATGGAGGGCTGGAGGGGTGTGGGACTGTTTCATGATTGGTCCAAAGACAGGCTGAATGGTGAATCTTGCTCAAGTGCGCTTGATACAAGTGGTAGGGGTTCTGGGTATAAAGTACTATTCTTGTCGGTTCTCATGATCCATTTTTAATCTAGTTGCACGAGCTCATAGGTAGGGGTTTCACTTGCCGCTCGTGTATGACCAATCTGTGGATAGATAGAGGATACATCTTGGTCAAGAAGAGGTCGGGAGGATCTCTTACTGAGACATAAATGACTGGCAGCTTCAGGCAGAGGCGGTGCATGATCCTGAGTGCTTATGATTAAGCGAATCATCGAACATGGTAAAAGGTAAATTCGGTACCTATCACTATTAGGTACCTTACCGCGATCAGGTAGGTACTTAACCTGGTACTGTATGTATGTACATCGATTGATCTGGTTCAAACTTCAATCTTAAGACCGATTTCTAATGTTTGCTCTGGTATGTTACTGGTAATATAATCGAGCGTTTCTTTCTCCCCAGGAGACCACGTGATTGGCATTCTGCAAACTGACAAACAATTCAGCTCTTTGTGTCTCATCTTCGTACTATCAAATTAGTGTAAGACATCCTCAATTTATGGGATCTGATTTTTACGGAGTAAATCACAAATGAACCATTGTGCGTAGAAGGATAAGGCTAAATCTATTATAGTCGGGAATTTTCCTCTAGTGTAGAATTGTGAATGGCTGGAGAGCCAGAGATTGGGGATTTCCTACTGATTGCGGAGAAGCGGCCTTAGGCCAAGTTACCGTTCATTATTACAGGAAGTTTACCCGCCTTGCGGTCGGCGACAGTTTAATAGCACGGAGTCGTACCATGTCCACTTTCATACTCCCTGCGCGGCCTTTTTATCTCTCTCTTCTCTCTCTTCCCTTCTCTCTCTTTCTCTCGGTTGCTTGTTTTCCTTCTTTTTTTCTTTGTCTTCACTTATTTTCTTCTTTTTTGCCCCTGGGGAGTGGGATTCTTCTGTTCTACGACTAGAACCAACCGAGGAACGAAGAGCTGCTGGCCCAGCTTGATACTTATCTATCGTTCCTCAACCCTCCTCCACTTTGAACTTCATAGTACCCTTTTATCGATCGTCTCTCTCCCCTCTCAATTGGGGCGCGGAGTTTAGCAAACATCTGAAATACTTTGGCCCTTAGGTTTGTTTAGCTCCATGGCCCAATTTCCACCACCCCTGAGTAACTGCTCTAATGGCGGCTTGGTCGCAAAGTCCGTCTGTGAATGGTCGTTCTAATTGATTGGTTTTGGCAGATCGCCGGTCCCCCTGCTCCACCAAACAACGAAGGGCAATCGCGCCTGTCTCCTAGCCCCCGGTAGCACCAATTCGCTAGGTAGTGACGAATTCTTGCCTTGAGCGCTATCCGGCCCTGAGCGTTTTATTATCACCTGCCCATCCTCACCTCCCCGTGCTGTCTGGATTCCCCCGATAACCCTCACACAGCATCTCCTCGAACAGGATAACGTTCTGCCAAGGTGACAATCGCTTCTGTACCCCCCGGCTGGTATCTTAATCGCAATACCTCGACCCCCCTTGGATCTTTGCGTGACTGCACCAAATCGCAACACTCGGGCTAGTTTAGTTCCCCTGTCCATCCCCTGTGTGCGTGCACAAGCACTAAAAGGCCAAACTGGGCGGGGAAACGTACACCCAAGGTCGAATAGCCCTTATCGTCTTGTCTTGCCTAACCTGCAATGCTTTGATACATATCGGTACTAGCTATCAGATACTTGGACCCCATACGAGAGACAATCAACATGTCTACAGATGACCCTTTCGCCTTCCTTGGGAACGCCACACCCGAACGGAAACCGACCACAAAGCCGCGATGGAGAGAAAAGCTGTTTTCAAAAGACAAACAAAATAAGGGTGCTGTCGGTGGCAGTGGTGGGGGTGGGGGTGCGACCGACCAGCAGATCGAGTCCTTCCTGGCTCCCGTCCGTTCGAAGTCTATATCATATGGAGCGTATGGAGCTCACTCGACAGCTGGGGCTTCGCGAGGACTTCCAACACCACGCTTGGATGTCTCGCAACGGTGGCAGTCTTCTCAGGGCACTTCCGAGGCTTCTCCCGTTACGAAACCCGCTTCAGCTACTGAGAACTATCCTCCAGTGAACTTTCCGAGGGCTCCCCGGAAAAATAGTGCTCGGAAAGGCCTGAGAGTTAGGTTTACTGAGAAGGCGCCTGAGGTGATCGGTGAAGGTGGCGACGAGTCGGATGCGCCTACGATGGTGATTTCAAAAAACCGCAATCGCCGACAAAGCCAAAGTTCGAACCAACCGGGAGATATATTGGATTCCCGTCAACCGACACTCCCCCAGCTTCAACTGGATACGGCCTTAGGGGACGGTTTGGTATCACGGCATCAGCGCACGAACACGCAAGACAAAATGAATTCCTCCGCTACCAAGCCATTATTCTTGCAAAGTCCCCAGGACGCAGACTTTCTCATGACACTAAGTCTGGGCCAGTCTGGCTCTCGCTTGTCGTTTCGAGCGTCGCCCGAATCCAGCTCGTTTGCGCAGCGAGTTCGGGACAGGATGCAAGCTGAAGAAGGTCGTGCTCTGCAGCATCGTTTTGAAGAACCCCCATCGCCGAGCAATGACAATAAGGAGGGGCAAAAGCCGGTCCCAGTGGCCCCAGTGGCTCCCGATAGCCCAAGCTCCGAGTACGAAACTCCCCCAATTTCAGACGACGAGGCCGAACCCGCAGAGAATCCTTTCCGAAACCCTGCAAGCCCACCATCGCGAGGGCCAGTTTTGCCGCCGGTTGAACGCACGTTACCTGCTGGTCTCACACCGGCTAACGTTACGAAAAGCGCTTCACCCCCGAAACAGCAACCAGCCCCCAAGGATCCTACCATGGATAGCCCTGGTCGTCCGAGCAGCAGTAGTAACCGTAATGCTCTACAAAACCCTCAATTACCCAAGGTTTCCTTACGGTCTATTGCTAACCAGTTTGGTGAGGCTGCTTTCTCAGACCTCAAGTCGTTTGTTGCACAACATGAGAGCCTCATTTTACATAATGCAGAGAGAGAAAAGTCCTTGATGGATTATTCGCTCGCGCAATGGGTGAGGGCTGCAGTGTGGTGGTTTATGCGCGGAAAGAAAACGCTTGAGGCGTACGCGCGATCTCGCCCTTCTAGCTCCGGCTCCAGGCCACAGCAATCTAATTCTACGGAAAGCGCGAAACAGGCTGTCGTTGACCTCGGTAAAGCACTGTGGATATGTGAAAGCATTGTTTCAAAACATCCCGAGTTGAATCGTTACGGCGCGATGAGCGTCGACGCCTTGTTGGCAGTGACGAGTACAACAGGAGACAAACAGTTGGCGGACCTCCTGAGCTTGCACCAAACTATCATGAATCATCTTCGCTCCTTAGCAATGTCTATCAAGAGAAATAATATTATTACTTCAATCGAGGCAGCGGGTGGTGCAGCAATCCCGGTGGACACGAGTATATGGCTGGAATATCCTGCTTTTGCTCCAGATGTCTCAGCTATTCTTTCTGGCACCGCCACGAGATCTATGCTGGTTGACAAATCTGGGCAAGGCCAGACTCTGGCACAAACAATGCCCTTGGGTGACACGAGCCGATATTTCAGCTATGGAAGCATGTTCGTGAAGGTCATGGTGAGCTCAAGCGAGGACGGTACTCACCATGACGAACCCCTGCCGTGTGTATTGTCCATTATCCGTGACCGGGCCGACTGGTACGTGTTTGCCTCAATTACCAGTCAGAGTGAATTAGTCAATGTTATGATTCAGTCGGATAAGAAAAGGGGACCCACCTGGAACGACGTGAACTGGCGCGTCCGGTCGAATTTCATGCAAGTGAAGCTTCCTCGTGGGTTCCAATTGGACGTTATGTTCCAAGAAGATGATTTCAAAAACCTGTGGAACATTGTGCAATATACACAACAAACCGAAGCTAGCCTGCAGCCGAAATCTGATGAGACTACAATCTATGAATACACCCTGAAGGTTTTCCAGTACATGGATCCAAGTCCAAGTAAGGCGTTTCCTGCAGAACCTATTGAGCGCTGCCGCGTTCGACTGTTTGAGCGCTCTATGACTGTGACCGAGGGCACTGGTAGCCGCAATATACACCAAGGATACCGAATTGCAGTTCTCACAAGTCCAAAGGTCAAGACACTCAGCAACGTAGGCCACACCATTGGACATAATGCACCGATTGTGTTTGGTCTACTTAGAGGCGAAGATGGCGCGCCAGCTCTCATGCTCAAAGTCAAACAGGATGGCAGGAGCCGGTCCATGCTAATGACGTTCCACGACGTTGAGGAGCGCAATGTGATGCATTCTCTACTACTCGGAATGGCAACCAAAGAAGGGGAGGTTAAGACTTCCGATATCCCCCTCCGCGCGTACTCTATCGAACAGCCGGCTGATCGATTCAATGGCCAGCCGGATACTACCCACCTACAGTTTCCCGCTGGCAGTGTATCGGTTATTGATCAAGAGCACACCTTTGTCGACCATCAGTATGGTCCAACCATCCTGTCAGAGCATTTACGAGCATTTGTAGCGACGGAATGGGGATCTGTGACGGATCGTATCAACCTTGGTATGTCGCATTTAATGGTGCCGCGGAACTGTCGCTAACATCTACGTTAGGGCCTGGCGAGCTGAAGTTAGGTTTGGACATCAACAACCGTACTGGCCTTAGTCTGTATAGGCCGGGACAACCGGACTTGACCGTTTCCGTCGCCGAGAATCTCACTGCCCCTGAGATGCCGGACCGCTTAGCAGATTTCATGCAGATTGCTATGGTCAAACCAATGGTTCGACGATTTGACTTTGCGACTATCAAAGGTAGTCTCTTCTTGCTAAGCAGCGTTCATTCTGTTGAGTTACTGACTTTACCAGACCTTCATAAATTCGAGGCAGCCGTTACGGGCTTCAGCGTACTATACGACGGGTATGAAGAACCTGCTTCCCTACTGGGGACTCGCCAGAAACTGACGTAAACAGTGTTGCCACTTCTTTCGCGATATCACGACGCCGCATGGTGGTTCCGATCACTAAGAAGTGGGAATCGACTAGGGCTCGGATTCAAGTTGTTCGCCATGAGAAGGTGATACAACTGCTGGCATTCTTGAATGACTTCCACCACGGCAAGTGCATGAACTTCATGCTTAAAGGCACCGATACTTTCGAGAACTTCAACCGCTCGGGGAAGTTTTGTGTTAAACTGTGTGATGCGAAATTCGCGCTACCAAAAACTGGCGATGACCCCACGACCAATTTTGTCTGCTTGGATATGCCTGATTTTGCCAGTGAGCATGACGACATCTCAATTGGCTTTGATTCTGAGGCTGGTACGTGCTCCTGCCCTATCCTATCCTATCCCAACCCACTAAATACGAGGTAATACTAACACTCTTTCGACCCAGACCGAGCCAGTTTGCTGGCCGCTCTGCCAGGATCACTTCGGGGACCCTCTCGCATGGGGACGCTCCGGCGGTAACCACATGACCTGTATCTATTGATGACCATGTATTGTATATATGAAATGAATATCACGCAATTGACGGCGGACCCGCCCGTGTCACGTGTCGCCCCACTTCTCGATTTGTCTCCAACTTCAAAAAGGCGGGCATTGAATGCCCAGTTCTTCTCGGCGACCGTCTCTTCCTTTCCTCCTTAGTTTTAGATCTCGTACTGTACAATGGCTTTAACCAATGGCAATGTTCACGCCGCTACGCATGCGCTACATGCTGATGAGGTGGTAAATGTGGTCTCCGATGTGGCCCCACCGCTGCACGTTTCTACAACATTCCGCTACCCCAATAATCCCGAGGAACTTGTGCCGGCATCGGATCTCAGTGGTGTATGTCTCGTTGATCTTGCGTCATTTGATGCGCTCCCTTGCGCAGGTTTGACAGGTTCTCTCTAGTATGACCAGGACAGAACAAAGCACGTTTACTCGCGTTTAACGTCGCCTAATTTGAACCGGTTCGAAGCTCTTCTTTCATCCCTTCTCCATGGCGAAGCGGTCAGTTATTCGTCGGGTCTATCGGCTTTGCATGCCGCGCTCGTCCTACTCAATCCCCGCCGAATTGCAGTTGGGAATGTGTATCATGGATGTAACGGTGTTATTAAGCTCTTCGGGCGTCTGACCGGTCTTCAGAAGCTGGATCTGAAATGCCCCGCCGAGCAATTAGAGTCTGGAGATGTCATTCTTCTGGAAACACCGGTCAACCCTCAAGGTACCGCTTTCAGCATCGAAGAGTACGCCAAGAAAGCGCATTCGCGTGGCGCATATCTTATTGTGGATAGCACTTTTGCTCCACCGGGCCTCCAGGACCCATTCCAATGGGGTGCAGATTTGGTTATGCATTCCGGTACGAAATATTTCGGTGGACACAGTGACCTCCTCTGTGGTGTCCTTGCTACACAGCGGAGTGACTGGGCCCGGCGGCTGTTCGAGGACCGGATGTTCTTGGGTAGTGTGATGGGCAATATGGAGAGCTGGCTGGGCGTGCGTAGTTTACGGACCCTGGAAGTCCGCGTGCAGCGACAGAGCCAAAATGCGACAAACCTTGTCTCCTGGCTGAACAACGCGCTGCAGGTGCAAAATCCAGCCCCTGGTAGCGATGAGGCGATAACTCAAGCTGCGTTGCAACAGGTATTCCACGCAAGCCTGCAGAAAGAGGATGAGTCATGGTTGCTCAAGCAGATGCCAAATGGATTTGGACCGGTGTTTTCGATCAGCATGAAGACCGAGGACTATGCACGTAAGCTCCCCAGCAAGCTCGCCTTCTTCCAACACGCCACCAGTCTCGGAGGCGTCGAGACCCTCATTGAATGGCGGACGATGAGTGATGTAACGGTGGATCGCCGATTGTTGCGGATCAGTGTAGGCTTAGAGAACTGGGAAGATCTTCGGAGAGATTTGGTAGGCGCATTCCGGGCGTTGAGCGCGGAGTAACTAGGACTGGATTTATGATATTACATGGACATATAATCTGATACGTCAATGGACATGATCCAAACTAGTACTCTTCCTGTACTGGCGTAGGATGCGTCGATAGCATCTATTAGCGATATTATCACGCTGCATGAGTTACGGGTATAGTCGGAATATATATATATATAAATATGTCGATGGATTGGGTATAGTGTCCGACCTACCTTCACGTCCAAACATTGATCTTCAGTTCAGTATCACACTTCCCATCCATACCCCAATCACTCATACTTCGATAAAAACAAAAACCAAACGAAAGAAAAGGAAGATGACACTCCCCGCCCCAACTTTCCAAATTCACTACTTCTCAACCGCAACCACCTACACCGGCAAACAGACCGAATCCCTCCCCGCCCCACTACCCCTCAACCAACTCTTTGATGTCCTGGAATCCAAGTACCCGGGCATTCAAGAGAAGGTGCTGAGTAGTTGCGGAGTGAGTTTGGGAGAGGAGTATGTTGATGTCAATGATTGCGAGGGGGTGACAATCCAGTCGGGGAATGAAGTCGCAGTTATTCCGCCTGTTAGTTCGGGATAATCGAGATTCTTCTTTCTTTTTCAATTTTGACTAGGGAACGTTTAGCGAGTGAGGTTTGGGATTGGGGGGTAAGGTCCATCCTTGGTATGCATTATAGTTGAAATTGTGAAATTGTTGGCGTTATGTTTTCAGGTTATGGATTTGGCTGACCGGAACTGACAGGTGCTACATACAATAAATGACCATGTTTGGGAAAGAAAAAAAAAAAAAAAAAAAAGAGGATAAAAAAAGAGAGGTAATTCGGCAATGGAGAGTAATTAGCGAAGACTTGACACAAAACAAATAACGAAGCGAAAGACAAAGAGCGTATTCAATAACTGGGCTCGACAATTATCCACCGACTACATTATCGTCATCATTCTTCAGAGACCCGGTTACCCTATTATCATATTGAATCTTCGTCAACCGTCCAACTTCTCCGTTCCACTTGCCTTCTTCTGCTTCCAGAGACAGATGCAGCAGATTGAGGAGAAAAAGAAGATGATACTAGCTCCTTGTCAGTACTACAGCGGATCCAAAGGGGTCCAAGTTGAAAAGACACCAAAAGGGGAAGGGAAAAGCGAGAAAAGCAAGACAAAGGACTCACCACAAAGCAATACTCAAACCCCAAATACTTTTCGCCTCCAGACAAACCCCCTTACTCGCCCCAATCAAAGTCCCATACTGCAACTTCCCATCCAGATGAGACAGGTAACTACTCAACTTTGTCGCAAACGCAAACGCGCTGGAGATATTATCCGTGACAGCGGCAATCTTGTTGCATTGCAGATATGAAAGTGGTTTCCCAATGATGACTGCGACTACGATGACGGCGATGAGGAGAAGGAAATCTGCGATGGCGGAGGCCAGGAATGGGAGGATATCGTCTAAGAAGAGGATCATGGTGATTGTGCAGTAGATTACTGCTATGCAGGTCTATGATTTTTTGGCCGCATTAGTTGGGATTGTTGCAATCTAATGGGGGTGTGACTTGGGATATAAGGGTGAAGACATACAACTGTGATTGTCCCGATAAAGACATTCGGGGGAGTAAGGTCACTGTTGACGATTTCCGCAATGAAGTTGGCTGTCAACCCAATGATCGCGATGAGACAGAAGGCTTGGATGATCCTGGCGACCATGAATGTTGCGCCGAGGGCTCCGTATTTGGGCATCTTGGATGTTTATTTTATACCTGCAGATCAACACAAGAAATACTGGTTGTATATCTGTATCTCTTCACAGAAAAGGAAAGGTAGAGAAGAGGGGACAAAGAAGTGCTAATTATACGTATATCGGTACACGGAGCGTAATCGTAAACAGAACAGGCACAATTAAGAGATATGAAAGAAAAAGGAACGTCCGTATGAAGAAATGACTGTGTTGACTGGATTGTTATGTTCACATCCCATCCCAAGACCAACGCACACTTATATATCAACCACACCACCCAGACCCTCTCACCAGTTCCAAAAACAATTATAGCACACACGCACCAAAGATCCAAAGATCTAGACCAAAACCCCATCAAAGCTCCAACTTCACTACCCGCCGACCGCCGATCTCTAGCGCCTATCTTCCAATTGAATCCTCTATCAACAAAGTGCCAAAGAAGAATCCAGACCCTGTCAAGTTTATAGCTGCAAGCTAAAACGGGGAAGAAAGTCAAGCCTCGACGCCAGCGCCTGTTGTTTAGATCTTCGGGACCATGCTGGAAATAGAAATGGAAGGAATGCCAGGTGAGGATTGGGTGTCGTGTTGAGGGATCCGCTTTGGCGCTTAGGTTGGATTCCACGGATGCGCTCTGGGCCAATTGGTGGCGGAGCTTATTTGGACCTGAGACTTTGGAGTGAGGCTTTGCTTTGAGTTTCTTGGTCTGGCTGACTATTGTTAGTGAGAGTTGTTGGTTGGTCTTTGGAGGCTGGGATTGAGACTAGGGTCTTGTCGGGTGGCTATAGAGGGGATGAGTGGTTTGGTCGGTTGAGGTTAATTAAAAGGGAGCGAGAGTATTATTAGATGAAGATGATCGATTGAAGTATTATGTAGATGATGTATAAATACAGATTACCGGAGACTTGTAACATATTCATCCAAGTCTGAACCCACCACTCGTCCGCTTCTGGAAGAACAGCTCAGGATCATACTTCTTCCTCGTCTCGCGCGCTTGCTCCGTCGAGCCCAGGCGGCCCCAAAAGTCCTGCGCGTAGTTCGCGTCGTTCAAGAACAACGGTCTGTAGACATCGGGTAGCACGCCTTCCTTGATATATCTTGAGATGATCGTATCGAACCCATTGAACAGGTTCTTGTTCGCGGCATCGATCTTGTCATCGCTCGCCGAGAAGGCATAGGAGAAGTCCAATTCCAAAATGATATAATCTTGATCCGTGGGGAAGTTGTAAAGGTCCTGGTGTTATGATACACTGTGATTAGCCGCTGTGGCTAGTGCCTAGGAGGTTACAGGACTTACTCCGCCACGGGCCTTCGCTTTGCTGGTGATGGCTTTGGGCATTGGTTGGAATGCGATGGAGCCAATCATGTTCGGCACGCCAAGAACTGTTTTTGTAACGTTGAACCAATGGTCGTAGTATGTTTGCATGACTTCTGCGCCGACCGTGTTGTTGGGAAGCGGCGTCGTCTCCGTTGCGATGGTGTACCGTTGTCCCCTAATTTGTTAGTACCTTACTTTGGGGTGGCCATATTGGTTGGCTGCCTTACTTTAAGATGAAGAAATCGTTGTGTTTGAGCTACAATGGCATGTTAGTTTGCTGGATAGTCCGGCTAGAATTAGGGTACGGACCAAATCGTAGTAGCTATCCCATGTCTTGGTCTTGTCCAGTGGCCCAATGGCTTTGAACCGGTCGAAGACGCCCTGCGGAGGCTCCGGGCCATCATAGAAGAGGAAAATAATCCATGTGTTGAGTAGCGCGGCATGCTCGGCCGTGGCGATGATGGCAGCCTTGTCATCAGGATAATTTTCGGTAAAATCTCGAACAGCTTCGAGGACTTGAGGTGTCTTGTCCGACGTGAAGATGTAGTTCCCTCCCCAAACCTGTTGTTTATTAGACAATGTTGATAGGTCTTTCATAGGGACGAGGAACCTTATGATTCTGTGGATATGTCTGGAGGGTATAAGCTGTGACAATGCCGAAGTTGCTCCCACCTCCTTTTAGGGCTGCGAAGAGGTCTGTTGGTCCACCGTCAGCTTCGACCTTGGGACTCCCAAATTGTAGCGATTTACTTACCCGTGTTTTCCTTCGAATTCGCATTCACAATGGTGCCGTTGGCAAGGATCACTTCGAAATTGACGACGTTGTTCGCTGCCCAACCGTACTGGGAGCTCAAGAAGCTCAACCCGCCTTGGATACAGCAATTAGAGAGCGACCTAAGTGTTTGGAATGAAAAGCAAAGGCGCCGTACCTCCTAAGATATATCCACCTACACCTACGCCCCCGAGACGACCACCAACAAGAGTCCGACCAGTTCCGTCCAACCCTTTCTGTGCGTCTTCCCAAGATAGACCCGGTCCAATAATGGCAGTCTGGTCGTTATCATTATAGATGACATTGTCGAGATTCTTGGTGGAGATGAGTAGTCCGTCTTGGATGCTGGCGAAGCCGTTGTTGGGCATGTGTCCACCGGACTTGACGGCGAACAACGTATCAACGCTATGGAGCTCCTTGACGATTTGAGACATCTCAAGAGCGCTCTTAGGAGTGGCGACACATTTTGGGCGGAGATCACCGCACGCGGTGGACCAATAGTCCTTTAGGATACTATGGTACGAAAGCGTGAGACGCTTCTCGATTGATATTCCTTCCTGTTCGAGCTTGGGGCATATATCCGCTGCTGCAGTGAAAGAAGTGATTGCAGCTATTGATGCCGCTAGGGCTGCTCGCCATGTTTGGCTGGGTTTCATGGTGAATGGTGCTAGAGGGAGGAATAAACAGGTGTAGATTAGATTATCCTGGCCAACAGTTTAATTCATTGTATTATAGTAACTAAAATGTGTAAGGGACAGTGCGATATATGTATTTCCTGTAGCAGTGGCCCCCACCGAAAAGGGGCTTTCGAACCACCAGGTCAACAGTATCTCCAGGCAACGACAGCCTTCTTGATGGCCTGACGGACTATCGGACGCAGTGGGGTCAGATCGACCACAGACACTGGGACCGATTTTGAACAAACGCCCGGGCTTTGGCGGACGGCTGCATTTTCCCGAGTTCCGGCACCAAATCTTTAGCAATCCTTGTGGGGGCTCGAATAACATGTCAGAAGACTCGGGTATGTCTATCCCACATTGCAATGGTGTCCACAATGATCGTCCTTGTCAACTTGGTACAGGAACTGTGGTACCGAATGGGCGAAGTAAGCACCTGATACGAGTTCCTAGGAATTGGTCCGGGACGAGGGCAGTATGTATTAAACCATCAAGTTCTGAAATATGTTGAAGAATTTGGTAATGTTGGTACGAGGTAACTCTAGATCAGCTACCTTGCGCTAGGCCATTCGTTACGTTTCAAGAGTCAATAGACGGGTGGGTGGATTCCCGGTCAATATCATGGCCGTGTTAAGAAACTTGGACAGAGAAAGTAAGTGACCAGCATCTGAGGCATGACGGCTGGGCAGCAAAGCGTGTATGGATCAGGAGTATATCCACCCCGATGTTTGTCATTCTCCCCAAGAAGGTGATTGCGAGAGGAATGATCGTCACACTAAATGCGTAGATTAACCCAGACCAGTGAAGCGAGCAGTATTCGAGAACCAAGAGGTCGTTCTTTACCACACAAGTATAACGCGGGGAAATAGACCTTTACACTAGCGACGTCGGAGCCATAATTGGGGTATCAACGGGTGAGGAATTGAGCCTGGCTCGGTTGTGCAATTCGGGAAATGATGGTCCAGCCCTAGGAGACTTAGGGTAACGCTGATTGGTCTTGGTGGACTTAATTCTTGGATATATTGTATAGTTCTGGTCCGATCGACGCAGAAAGAGATACATCGAATGCTTGGCAGTTTCCCAAAGGGGACAACTCAGATATACATCATGTCACCATTATCACATGTTATCAAGACTTGTCGATCCCGGTACGGTACCTGAAGGTTGAGAATAGTGTGGGTGTGGAGAAGCCGGAGAATTTGGTTCAGGGATTATCCATGATCCAGGGTCTGTAGCCGGAAATTGGCGAAAGTCGCACCCCTGATTGCTTTCACATTGCGATAAACAAGACGAAGGGTGTACTCCGTACATGACGGGCAATTGATGGCATTGATCCCACATCGGCGTGGTTTTCACGACCACCTCGCAGGAAGGATCATCACATAGATAAATTGCTGAGTAAAGCCAATCTAGATGAAGCTCCCCATTGACAAGGGTTGTGGGTAAAAGTGCCGACAAATCAGGTCCCGAGACTATTTTAGAAACAGGGTCAGCACTAGTCGGTACTAGTCACTGATTAGCAATATCACGACGGATTACTATTGAACAAGAAGGGCTACCAAGATGAAAAGCATTAGGTAAGTCATGCGCGAGAGGATTGGAGAGACGGATGAGTAGCAATGGAAGAGAGAAATGGATGAACGGATGGATGGATGGATGGCTGTAGAAGGAATAACATTACATTAGGTAAACAATAATTGATGGCGAGGCGGAATTGCGGCCAGCTCACCGCCTTAACGGTGAGAAATATTCTGCCGGACTTATGCAACAGGTTTTGCGGCGCGCAAGAAGAGCGTTGGCATTGAAGGTTGTTCACCACGTCTCTCTAGCCTTGAGGAGGAGATCTTACTTCGGATTCGGGCATTATAATGCTCCACCATGTCTCTAACTCTGCTAAGGGGTCGAGTGTCGCAAAGCGTGGCTGAAGTCCACATACTCAAGCGCAATCGTTCCACCAACTCGATCTGCGGAAATGTTTCTCGCTTTCGTTCCTTACACCAACGCCAGCGCAATCGGTCAGTCAGATATTTCAGCGAACTGAAGGTGTGGCACATTGAAAGTTATCATAGTCGTAACCATTCTGACCCGCGTTAGAGTCCTCCTACCCAAGACCTCCTGAGATCTCCCACGTCTATCGAGGACATCCGCCTGAAGTCGGAGTTTGAGGAAAATAAGGACATCCGGGAATATTTGCGAAAATGGCAGGAAAGCCATCCGAACGTCTTGGATCCGGTCCGGGGTCCGGGGACAACGAATACATTGGATGCGTCCGCACCTTGGATTGGAAATATGCTGAACGACCACCGGGAAGCGTTTGATGCGGGAAGTGATGCTCTGCGAGAGACCGACGAGGATGTTTCGGACTTTGAAAACCTTGCCAACGAAGGAGAGGGAATGCACGAGTTTCTCGAGCCGGGCGATCTAGTGGCTCTCTCCTCGTATGTTGCCCACCTCTTGCTGTTTTGAACTTACTGACGATGGCCGCTCAAAGTGTTGAAGGTATCCTGAGCCTCGCCATCTACGTCCGATCTGTTTCTAAGCAACAGCAGTTCTACACTGAACGAGGAAAATGGCGTATCGCCTTTGCGAAAGATCTTGATTTTGTGGTGAAGGGGTTTGCCCCTCGTGATCTGGTGGCCCCTTTGCTTCCTCATTTCCCAGATGCTGTCGCACAGCTCAGTATGGAAATGCAATCGGCTATAGAAGGAGGGGTTCCGCGACCGACTGGAGCACCTCTCTTACAGATGATTAATGAATTTCATGAACAGGTTCATGAATTCTACCAAGCAAATGCCTACCGACTGGATCATCTTCATGAGATAGTGGCGGATGAGGAGAAGAAGCTGGAATTTAATTTGGAAGACTTGACGTGCAAGGCACTTGGTATAACGCAGGATCAGCTTGATGATAGGATTTTGTTTGCGGTACACCGCGCCGTTCGTCGAAATTCGTTTCTTATTGAGAATGATCGGAGCTCTATCTTCACCAATCACTACTTCGTTCAACCTAGGCGAATCGCTACTGTACTTGACACAGTCATTACATGGGTGCATGAGCACCAAGAGTATCTCATCCGCGCTGTCACAGGAAATGATGTTCCCAATTTGAAAGATCATCCCATGCAGCAATTCATCCAGAAAGCCCAACGTCTCATAAGGCTCAGCAGAAAAGTCCGGTCCCCAACAATACTGTCTTGCGTCGGCCCAACAGCGCAGCGGTATCAGCCTGGGCAAGACGGAAAGCCCTTGGTTTACCGTGAGGTTCTGACGGAACAATTCAGCTACAATGACCGTATGATCATTGAATATCTCCAACTCTGGTGCATCCCCCCTAGACGGATGACATCTGGGATTCTTCGCTCGGCTGGATCACATATTATGCGCGCCACAGGAATGTATACATCTCTGGACACAAATGCAGGATCGGCTGCTTTATTTCTACAAGAGCTAGGAGTTATAGCCCCGTGGGAGAACTTGCGTCTACTGGATCAAAATTTAGCCCTTCCAGGCCATGGTATCTCCGGCCACTCCGACAGGATGTGGGCGGATGTACAGCAGGCTTGCGAGAAATTGAACTCCGAGGGGATTACAGATAAAATGGAGGGTATACGGACGGACTTTGGCGATTTGCCAGTTTACTGTGTGGACGACCCCGGTGCGCAGGAGATTGATGATGGTGTCTCCTTGGAGCGCATACCCGGATCAGACGACACTTTCTGGATCCGTATCCATGTCGCTAATCCTTCTGCATTCGTAAACCCTGACGAACTAATCATGGAATATGCGGCCTCCCGTGTTCAGACTCTCTATGCCCCGGAACGTACATATCCTATGCTCCCGAGTACATTAACTCAAGAACACTTCAGCTTGGCCCCTGGCCGTCCAACTTTGACATTTAGTGCAAAAATGAATTTACAGGGTGAGATTTTGGATACGAATGTTGTCAATGGCATAGTCAGAAATGTCATTTACATCACGCATGATAAGCTACGCGGTTTGTTTGAGCCAGAATCACAGGAACCTCTGGAGCCGTTGACGGTAGGAGGGAAGTTCTTCAGCGAGCCCACGCGCAATAATTTACGAGAAACTTTGTCTTCAGAGGATGAGGAGAGTTTTCACACCTTGAGAAAGTTAATGCTTGCCTTCCGTGAGCACAGACGCAGAAACGGCGCAATGGAGTGGCCGTCGCCGATGGATACACCTGTTTCGATGACTGCAGGCAACGCATCATTGAAACCATATAATATGCAAGTAACGGAAGGACGTTATATATTGGGAGATCCCATTATTCAACTCCGTCCGCGGAACGTTGATCCGCACGAAGTACCCGACCTAACGAAACGCAATCTCATCTCTACCCTGATGAATTTAGCATGCCACATTTCCGGAAAGTGGTGCGCCGACCGCAACATCCCGGTCGTGTTCGATGGAACCTTCTACCATCCTGAATACCCGAAGCTCACTAGCAGCAATATGTCGGAGTACGGAGGGAAGACATGGCTACAGCTGGCGGCTCCAAAGGGTGTTTCTTCTTCAAGCCCCTCTCATCATGCCCCTCTGGGCCTTGATACCTATGTGAAGTCCACGAGTCCTCTGCGACGATATACCGATGTCATGGCTCATTATCAGATCGAGGCTGCATTGTGCTTTGAGCACGAGCATGGTCGTCGCTTTGACGCTACCACCGACGGTTCTGTCCTCCCATTCTCTCGCGAGGATGTTGACAATTACATCTCACAATCGCGCTGGAAGCGTAGCCGTCTGAGGGATGTTGACGTGGCATCGAAGCAATTCTGGGCGTGCATGCTCCTATTCCGAGCGTTCTATTTCGGTGAATGTCGATTACCTGAGACTTTTGCCTGCTTGGTCCACAAGCCGTACAATGCCACTGCCATGGTGGGATCACAATTCGCGCAAGGCCACGCAGGGGTCATTACGTCCTTAGGAGTTCGGTGTCAGATTGTCACGCCCCCTGATATATCTAATGTGGACATTCTTAGCGTTGTTGAAGCTAAGATCACCGCCGTCGACCTATCCCGCATGCTTGTTATTATGGAAACCACACGCCTGATCAAGCCATTTGAGCGAGTAGGGGAGTGGCGGTGATGTCTGTAAAGTAGGTGGCATGTATCGGAAGGCATCCTGGGGTTATGAAAGCGCCCATATAGATATATTGTATTATACATCTTTGTATTATATACCATGCCATATCCAGTCTTTAAAGATGGAAAGTAAATAAAGAATACTAATGATAAACACATCCCATGCACAATTTCCCGGTTCTGGTGCATTTAGTCCGGTCCATTCAAACCGTCTATGCGTCGTCTACTGTTGACCACGTCAGTGTAGTGAGATCTCCGTAAAAGAAAACTCAAAAATAAAAAGAATAAAAATAAAAACACTTGACCTTTAAGGTAGTCAACAATCAGCAGCATCTTCCTTAATACTGGCTCCAGGAACACAGGGCTAGATATGTGCAGATCAACCAATGAACATACCGGCAAGAGGGTCTTTCACCGCCTATTGAGGTAATAGCCATACCTGTTCAGGCCAGAATGGGTTATCATAGTAATATCTATCTATTCAGGAAATTCATATTTGGGCGGAGGGGTGATTTTCGGTCTCCTTTGCTTAGTATACTATGGCCATCCACAAAGGTGCTAGATGGTTCGGTCGCATCAGGTAGCGCAGACATGCTTGATGACATTTCTTTTCGGTTATCAGACCAAGAGCAATCGACCATGAATAGGATGTACAGCGCCTTAATCAGGGCACCTATGGGAGACTATCTCTCGTCCGAAATTGCAATAGGCTCTGCTAACTACAACTACACAACCATCGTCTCCGACTATACACACGCAAATATTCCTGTTGAGCTGTTGATGATAGCAGGTTATGAAACAATCTGTGATGGGGACAGAGACTGGGTCCGTCAACGCTGGAAGCTGGATATATCAACTATATAGCTTAATATGAGTTGGGTTGGCTTAGGGTGATGTGATGGAAGACTGGAACTGGGGATAACCTCTTAAAATCCCTTCTCCACCAAAACCCTAGACTCTGATGATATATGCCAACCCAAATGTTGCAAATTCCATTCTGCAAGCCACGCATCTGAAAGTGCTTTCCAGTTATTGTCTGAGTTTGGGTACCACCCACAATTAGAATAGCCTAAGGCAAAGAGAAACTAGGGTCGTCCATCATACCTTTAGCATCCCTCTGTCTCGACCCACGCCAAAGCTCTTCCATAAGGATCCCTGAGGGTGTCTGGATGTTCAATCCATACTCCTGCAGAGATACAGTCTTCGCAAGGCTGCCTTTCACTACTTCTTACCACCTCCTCTTCTATAGGGTGATCGCAGATGGTCGGTGGCTCAGTCTTCCGGGCTTGAGGGCAAAGCAGAGGACGACGGGGTGCATCGCGTACTCGATGGCGACATAGGTATTTCACAACGGGAACCGGGACGAGACACATGATGATATAGGATACTTTCTCAATGATCCATTAGTCTAAAGGGGGGGGGGGTGTGTCAATAGGTTTAAAGATGAGCTCTTATCTGCGCGCGAAGCCTTGATGGCACCACAATGAGGGGCAAGAACCTGATGTAACACAGGGTCGTTTACTTAGATCACGATCACACTGGTCATTCATCCCGAAGATCTGGGCCTCGGAATGTTACATGTGGCTGTGATATCCTTACTATGGGGATAGTGATATATCTATCTACTGCCGGCCACTGTTTCATAATTCTCAGGGTACATTCGGTACTACGATATGCGGTTCAACGGGGTTGTTCAGAGGGAAGCTCTTGATTTGTCCGTACTGTAGTCGTACTACTCGAGACTATGAAGGGCTAGGCAACTTGAATGATACGTGGGCTGCGGCGCCTTGTTACCTGTTCAATTTGTGACACTTCTACGTGTGATGTGAGCCCAAGCATAGCGTATTGGGAGATTTGATTAAGAGGTCCCTCATAAATACCTGCTAATTAACTATGCTGCGGCGTCTGGTATCAGGATCCTGTGGCCCTCACCCACACATCAACAATTCTCGGCCTTTCACTTCCTTTCTGGTCTCTGGTAGATGTCAATATCCTTGGACTTTTTGGTAGTAGTGTGTATGATTAAGTATTCCATTTGAACATTTCTTCTAGTCTCGAGGCGTCTCGTAGTATTGATAGGTCTTCTATTAGACTGGAGGATACGTTTGTTATAATAACGCCGGCACCTCGTAGGACAGCTTGCTGATCCCCTTCTGCCTAGCAATCTTTCGTATAGTGATAAACCCTGTCAAGCCCGTATGTTCTACGTGCGTTCCACCACAGGGGTTCGCATCGATATCCCCTATTAGCGCAATCCGCGCCTGACCGTTCTTTCCCAGCTGCAGTCCTTCCACCATATTGAGGTCAGCTTGTTGAATACGGTCTTCATCCCACCACTCAGTAGTCACAGGAAGTTTCATGTTTACCAATTCATTGACCTTATCTTCGATAACAGACTTATGCTCATTGTACAGCAGGCCCTCAAACTCCATACAGGCTTGTCCCGGTGCATGATTCGCCTTGACTTTTTTCTTTTCCCCAAGTACAGAAGAAAGAAGTCGCATGGCCAGTCCGATGATATGCCCAGCGGTATGAAGCCGGGAATGATAGTCTCGTTTTGCGTAGTCAATGCTCTGCGAAACTAGCTGGCCATGCGTAAAACTAGGCTGATCCGTAAATTCTCCCAAATGAAGAACAGTACCATTGAGGGTTTTCCGAACAAGCATGACTTTGAAAGCAGAGCCTTGTTTTGTGCCTGCGAGTGTGATTACGCCGGTGTCGCTGGGCTGACCACCGCCCTGTGGGTAAAACACCGTTTGGCGTGTGATGAGGGCGAAGGATTTTGCATCCAGAGTTTTGGCAAGACTTCTCTCGTTTTCTGCTAGCTGCGATATCGGCTGACAAGAGAGGATTGTGGTTGTCAACTCTCGTAGGGAGGCATCATTCAGATAGACGAGTTCGGTGTGGTGGTCCTAGTTAAACTAAGTCAGTAGGTAAATTCTACGATCGAGTGTTCAACAATAGCTTGTACCATTGTACGAAAATGTCAGTTCGAAGGCAGAGAGAAAAGGGAGAGAAATTTGTGGTCCTCTTCCCCCCTCTCCTCGTATTTAATATGTTCCTTTATCTAAACCTGGCCTAGACCGAGGTTTACGATGTCGTCGCGCCCGCGAACCTTATTAGGAAGGTGGATCGACTCCACTTGATAGATGAACTACTTCCTGAGACATATCCTATAGTCAAACTTCGAAATACGAGCATACTGATGCTTGCGGATCCGGACAAGTTCGAAAACATCACACATCAGAGCAACATCTGCAGGAGCTCGCTCGGCTGATCATTCTGCCTGAATGTTCCAATGCCACGTATTCACCATAGTATGGTGAGCTATTGTCATGTCTACTATCATATCTGAGTCATACCGGGTAAATAAACCCGCAGTGTTTTGTTTTTGGTCAGATCTCCTGCGACTTAAGTTCCTACGGTGACCTCTTGAAGAATGGCGGGAAGAAGTTCAATGAGTATAGGATTCTATATATAGAAGAGTGCTCCTCCCAATGACATTCAAGCAAGGACACAGTCTTGTTCTTCCTTGCTTGCAAAGAAGCCCCGCTGCTTCTCACGTAGGGTAAAGATATCCACGCGACTAAACGATTGACGAGTACTATTACTGGTTGATCGCAGCAGCAACCAGACCAATGATCCTCATTTTCTGTCATGTCGGGGACCTGAAACTCCACCTGTAGACACCAGACCTCTACTTCCCCAGGATTACTTTCCTTCCAAGGATGGCCCAGGCAACCAACCCCAATTTCAACCCTAGCCGAACCGCAACCACATTGGACGAGATCAAAGGGAAACTCAGAAGGCTGACCACGCCTGTTAAGGCGGCCCGTCGACTTTATCATGGACACCTTGTGTAATTTGCGGGGGCTTGTAGTGACGCAAACTGGATCTATCCATACGGGTTGTGTCCAGCAGACCTAACGGTGGAACCCGATGAGCCTTATGGCAGATGCGGTGGTCCGGTCCTAGCTGGAATAATATGCCCCGTTTTCGATGGACAGACACACTAAGAAACCTGCGCATCACAACTCGTCCATGACCAGGATAGTGCTCGGTATGGCGAACCCTGGTATTCGTGCGAACTAGGTCTGTCGTCATTCATGAAGCGCCAGAGTAGGCCCTGAGCGAGAACTCCCTTGCCAAATGCCTGCTAGGTACAGGTCCGCAAAGTTGTGCTTCGCTGTGTACTCGGCCATCTCCGATGCAAGGCCGGAGAGCGCAATCCAGTAGGGTAGGTAAGGCGACAAGGGGAGAATTTGCTGATCGTAACATACCACCATTCATACATGCGGTCTAGAATAGAAAGGTCGAAAGAAGCAGGTTGAGCATCTTATCTGAGTTACCAACTCCACCGTCAGAGTATACGGTATTCGGGGTAGTACATTCTGAGGACTCCTCTAGGTCATCGTATCCCGCCGCAACAGCCTCGTTATATAGTACCATAAAATACGAAATCCCGAATGGGCCTTTACAACAATATCAGTCAACACAATTGTACACGGATAACCCCGGGAAACACCATAAAAACGGGACAAGTCGGTACCAAACCATGGTCAAGGCTCCCCAAAAGGTTGGAGTCCGTGGAGGAAGTTGGCCTCTCTAATGGCCTTTCGCCGAGCTTCGCTCGCGCTCTTTGTGCTCTCGGAGCGCTTTTCAAGGTTCTCGGCAGCCTCGGCCAGGAGATGGTCGGTCGCTTGGTCACCGCGGTTGTATGGAGCAGGAGTAATATCAGTAGCATGGTGGTGAACAGGGAGGGTTGCGGCACGAGCAGCCATTTTCTTCTCATAACGCTTGCGTTGCCTCTTGTTCAAGGCTAGAAGAGGTACCTTCGACTAGGACAAACACCCACTATGGCATTCCCAATAAATCTGATGCACCGAGAAGTATATCGCACGTTGAGCTAGGTATCGCTCTTGCATTGTCCAGCCTCTTTCATTCCAAACTGCACAGTCCACATCCAACTCCCAATTTGCACCAATTCGGTCTGTGGCCTCTAGAATAATTTCATCCTCCAGCCGGCATCTCGCTTCTCCCGGTCGACAATAAGGCATTGAGATTTGGGAATCCGTCTGCTGGTATTGAAGAAAGCGGTCTGTACACGTCTTTACTGACGTTGCTGCGATCACTGTATATGCGTTTTTGTAAACATCATTCATCTGTGCACCTTGTTCTTCCCAGTCCTCTTTCAAATTTTGGATAATATACAGCGAATCAATCAACCTAGAAGAAGCGGATCCTCAATCATCTGGCCAGAATGATGGCATCCTGAAAGTTTCGTGGCATACTAGTGCCGTTGTTAGAACTCCACAACCGGGCAGGAGGAAAGGAACTACCTCTCGAGCGAAATACTCTGAAGCCCCTCATATATATCTTCCTTTTTTGTCTTCAGTATATCGGCACCCTGACCGCAATAATGACTGAGCGCCGCGTATCTTCCTATCTCACCATTTGTTATGACTATTTTTGGCTCTGTAGTGTCTGATAATCCTAGTTCTAACACCCTTGTAGAAATAGGTGCCACTGTATCGGAACTGCATATACCATGGTGATTTGATACAGTTTGAGATCCATCCTTCAATCCTCGCGCGATGTATGAGTCCGATATGCGATCGATACTTGGCGCCTGGTGCCTGAGCCGCAAGACTTGCGCTGATGTGGACCCTACACAACACATCCATTTTGTGAATATAAAAGTGACGCCAGGTGAGCTTATGTGCTAGACATTATCACAACATACCAGCAGCAGCATAGAGCTCAAATCTCAGTGGCACTGGTTCCGCAAACCCGACCCTCACGCTAAACTTCAGCATACTGCCCATTATCTTCCTCGGGTAGATCCCAATGAGATAGGATTCGGCTAAAAACTGAGCCGGACCAATTTCTAGTAGGATCAGCTCGCCAGATTGAACTTCTCGCCGTTTCATGGTAATCCGGTCGCCGAGTGCCTTGTAGAGTAAACATCCCGTGGTTGCCGGGGAGCTATGTAGGGTCTGTTTTGCGTAAGGGACTGAGATATAATCGTCCTCAAGATTTGCAAAGACAACGTCGTGGAATAGCTGCCTACAAGGGGTACAAAGCTCTGAACTCATCCTGTTCGTGGGCTAATATGTTCCAGGAAGCCGGTTTCTGAATTGAATTGAATTATGAAGGTGATCTGGCAGAGTAAGCAGTAGTTCAGTGGGTCATGGAGTCGACGAGAGATTCTCAGTCCTGCATTACTCGGCCGCTACTCATTGGATGGTTGGGGCACAGCTAATATGTTATCACATATCTAACTTCCAAAGATATGTGCATCCTGACTAACAACACTCCGTGCTCAGAAAACCTATATGTACGGCAGCTTCTGGCCCATATTACCACCCATCTTTACATCCACCAAGGTATCATGTATCTTATACAGAAGTCGGGTATATTTAGCCATCCAGTGCCTCCCCACCTCATCTAGAAGACTCGCAAAGTCCAGAACAAGGCGCCGCGCATGACGAGCACCCGTGAAATATGTCTTCCCACAGAGAATAATCGGTCCACCGCAACGAATAAAGTTCACAGTAGGATTATCTGTTCGAAGTTGTGCCGCTCCATCTTGCGGCAAATCAGTGAGACCCTCCTCACCAACAGCTTTCCAGTCAATATCTGTTTTAGCAAGATCAAACCCATTACTATCCTGCACATCCTTCACCACGGGGCTAACCAATGTATATAATGCAAGTACAAGCGCGGAGTGAAATAAACAGCGTACAGGCTGGAATCCCGTACCATCCATCGGCTTCCAGTGGGAAAGCGTATGAAAGATTTGAGCCGCGTGTAGGCATGCTCGTCGTGCGGCGGGCGTCTGTGCCCATAGTCTAATAGCATTTCGCGCGGTCTGCATGGCTTCGGGGCCTTCACGACCCGCAGCTCGTTCCAGGAGACGTATGTCAGCCGTCAGCAGTAGGCAAAGGTTATGCCAGATGACAACGCAGTTTGGATTGGAGTTCCGAAGGATGGTATCATAAAGTTGAATGAACTGTACGACTAGCTGGGTTGTCATGGCGGCGCGTCGATCAAGGGTATAGATCTGCCAAGGTACGTATCGGTGTTTATCTTCTTGGACCAGGTCAGAATCGACAATTAGCCGATGATAATTTGCTGTAAGCCGGACGAGGATGGCAGATATTAGCCCGTACAGGCATGAGATATGCACTTGACATGGGAGATCTGGTAAGCAGATCTCGTTGCAAGACAGTCTCATCATGGGAGCAGCAAGACTGGAACCTTGATCGACGAGCTGTATCCAGTCGTGGGCGGATCGAGCACTGTAGAGATCAAAATCACAGGGAAGAGCGAGCTTCAGCGTGTTTGTTGAGATAATAGGACTCATAGAGAAGATTCCAGACAACGAGCAGTCGTATAGTATCAAGCCAATGATTAAACTAGGACCAAATTAAGAACACTCTACAGCATGAAAAGACGACACCTGAGGACCCACTTTTTCATTGATTCTACTCGACTCCACGAGCTCCATCTCCGATGGTCTTTAGGGACACTAGAGAAAAGAGCGTCTGATATTTGTGCAATATCGGAGCTGAAGAGACCGAGGTTTTGAGCTGCCTATATCCGCATCAGCCTTATATACTGAGCTACAGAAGTGAAACGAAAGGTATACCATACCGTAAGGGTGTATCTATAGAGCATCTCTGATTTGGTCGGACAGATATTCCCCTATGATGAGAACTTAAGTCGGGTCATACACAGCGGATTGGATGTAGGAGATTGAAACAAACCTCTGTCACAACGACAAGAAATAACATATGATGCGCCAAAATCAGTTCACTTAGGGCTGCTGCAGGATTTGAAATCTCGGGAGTTGTCGATATAATACGTTTATAAACTTCATCTAAGAGCGCCTAAGGAATATCGGATTCAGCTCGGTTGCGTGCTAACGGTAGCAAGGGGCAGGGCCAGCACGTACAGGGTATATATGGCAAATAAACCGCACCGCTTCCTCAGTTTTAACGAAGGCTAAACCAATCATGCAGATTGTAAATAGCAAAAGCGCCTGTACGGCCCGCGGATTAAATGTGGGTACATGTAATATCGGATAGGTCGGTTGATACTTGTCAAGATAGAGATATAGCCCTTGTTCAAAGATGTCATTGGAATTTGCACAAAAATAGTGTTGATCACAGGTGTCGCGCAGTTGGCCATCGCTCTTGGAGCAATTACACTCATTTCTCACTAGATCCCGCTTTATACTTAGAAGTTGCATCTTGACATCATGCGTTAAACATATCTCAGTGTTACTAGTAAGTCGAATGTCATTTGAAGACTCTCCCCATGTCTCGAGGTCCGGACTCGAAAATATGTTGTTCGATGAGCTAGAGACAATCTTGTGCCAGAGTTGAGTCTCAGCAGTAGGTCGTTGCGATGTTGACCATAGGTTCTGAACATTTGCCACCTTGTGGGATAAATGGGAAGGATAAGAGTCCAAACCGGCGTTACTAGAAGAACTGGTAGTCAACCTACCAGAGGTTCCATTTTCAGGCCAAGATACGGCTAGTCCATCATGCAGCAGAGTTGGTGTTTGACCACCTGGTAGAGTTAATACCATATCAAGGAAGTCAGTATTAGAATCAAACTCATTAAGCATGATCGGGCTGCTACTGTATTCCGTTCCTCTCGTAGCTGTCAGGTGGACCTGCCCGGTGGAGGCTGGGACATGCAGAGGTCCTATTCCATAAGAACGGAAGTCATCTCTTTGCTCCGCCTGCATATATAGGGAAGGAGATCCCCTAGCAGTCGAAAGAAGTACCATATCTGCGGGATCTCCACTGAATGATGTTGTTTGGGGCCTCGCAGTCATATCGTGCTTGTCATTGTCGAACGGACGCTCCGACGGCGACCCGGCCAGCAGACCTGAACGCGGCACGACAGGAATAGTATTCCTTCCAGTCTGCAGTACCACCAGAACATTGGTAAGTTAACAAGTTCAAGACTGGATAAATCATCGTAATCACCATACGTGGTCCGTGGCATAACGCCTGAATTGCGCACTTGTATTGTTGATGAGCGGTTCGGTCAATTCACGGCGTGGCGTTCTCTTTCCCATTCGGCGGGTGATGCTCTCAGTTGCGGGAGGAAATGCAGCTTCAGTATGACCTCGCTGGTGACGCAGTAAGACATCTCTATTCATAACCGTTAGCTGGTAGACCACAAGAATAGCATTCACGTGCCAAATCTTGAGGTGCCTTCACCTCCGCGAAAATGGTTTGGAGCAGATCTGACATTGGAAAGGTCGCTCTCCCGTATCTAGATATGGAATTATTTATCTCCTTTTAGCCCCTGCTCTGGTAGTCTAGATTTTGGCGATCTATTGCAGAAACAAACAAGGTCTTACGGGACAACCGGTGTCGATTTAAATGTTCTTTTTTGGAGAAAGTTTTATTGCATTGCGGGCAGGATATTCGAGTCATGTTCGCACGAGATAGAATTACAGCAACCTGTCCTCTTTAAGGATATTCAAAAATAGGGAAAGATTATGCCTATGTAGAGATTCGCTCTAGATGCAAATCGGCTATCACGGATCGATTTCCGGATAAGAATGAATAACTTTAGTCTGCGTTTTCACTCCAGTTAACTATGTTAACTAGTTAAAGCTCCACACGACCGATGGTATTATCTAACTCACGACTTTACGTTCAATGCCATATGGAAGCCTAAATATAGAAAGAATGTTTGTGTATTCTCTGACAGACAATGACGGATATTGAGGAGTATGTGAGCGCTGAAGGTCACTATTGATGATTATCAGGTAAGCCGAGGATCTCGGATGGCAATTTAATACATAAATAGCCCAATGAAGTGCCGAATGTTGCATGATCGGGAGAGGGTGCCGGACTCGGGCCGATGAGAATGTCGGACGGATTCCACATTAAATCCTTCAATGAGAATGTTCTATTTTCAAAGTAGTATTCTTCTTACTTCTTCTTACCCCCACCGTGATTAACCGTCACTGAGCGCCTATCGATAATTAACTGTGCCGAGTTCCCGCGGATCGTCAAATTGGGATTACGCTATTGACAATGGCAAAGGCCGCGCATTATGGTGTAATAAATTCCCCTTCTCTGAGTAGACTATGGGTACTCCCACATTTATATATCTATAATAGTTGTTAGGAAACGAACCTGGAAAAATGGTAGGTTCTAGAGGAATTCTAACATAAACGTAATAGTTAAATACAGCGAAAACCTGGAGACCCTTGATATATGCCTGCCACTCTTCAGGAGCTGCTCTTCATTTATCTCACCTAATTAACGAGCGACCAAAGGAGAGATAAGACGTCACAATTAATCGCCTTTAGTCCTTCGACTTGGCATTTCAAGATCACGGCGTATGCATCCACAAGTAGATCGAGAATAGTAATCCGTATAAACATTGATGAAAAGGTAAATCTGTGGCCACTTTGACAACTAGAGTGCTTTGCCTACATAATTAAACCTTTGCGATCAATTCCTCCTCTTGAGAAAGAGGAATGCCTCGGCTTCTGCATGTCATTCCTGCTCAATAGCTTTCAGCACGAGATTTGGGTGCGTATGTCTCGTACATGGCCGAAAGATCGGGCCAGAACACCGAGGAGTGGCTCTGAAGCTGTGAAGCGGTGGCGTTTGTCGAATTGAATCTTAGCCATCATTCAATAGCTCTGCAAATCCCCACATACAATGTGGCTCTCAAGCGGCTATGTACATAAGTTATGCATATGTGACTAATGTCTCACTAGGCTAGGCCTGACTTAATCCACTTACGATCAGACTAACTTGTGTGATAAGCATTGATCGGAAGATGTAAGGCTGAGTCCAAATCACTGTATGACCAAGATGAAAAAGCGCCAGTCGTCGTCTTCCTTTGAGCAAGAAGGCTCGTTGGACAATCGTCCGCGTAAGAGAGTGAGTAAGGCATGCGACCGATGTAGGTTAAAGAAATCCAAGGTGAGCATGATCGAGATTTTAAGGCCCTCGAGGTTACAATGCGCTGACTTTCACAGTGCGACGGGGAAAGCCCCTGTGGTCGCTGTACGTTGGACAAGACCAGTTGCAATTATGGGGAGAGAAAAACTGCCCGTGAAAAAGTGTACCCTAGTGGGTGAGCTTACTCTTCACATCTGAGCCTGTCATCTTTTACGCTATATGTTGCCAGTCGCTAATGAAACTTCGTTTGATGCAGATACGTCGAGATGCTCGAAGAACAGCAAGGCTGGCTCATTTACGCGCTTCAGAAATTATATCGTCACACAAGTCAAGGTGAAGGATGGCCAGGCCAACCTTTAACATGCGAAGAGGATGGGCAACCACTAACCCACGACTTGCTGTACCATCTCGGAGCACTTAATAAGCCAAAATATGAGGAGCTTGAAGAAGTGGTCGACATGAGGGAGAAGGCGAAATGCATGACAAGCAGCACTTTAATAAAAACTAAGCCGGAGATTGCGCAACCAGAGCCTTTTTCACCTGCCACTTCAGATACTTTTGCAGGGCAATATTCATCTGCACTGTCAGCTTCAACATTCTCTTCGCAGCAAGGCCCAGACTTGAGTAACGATTTGCAAATAACCGAGCTACCGTCCGGCATATTTGCGCCCTGGACAACCCTGGAAGACCGGGCGGATACTTCATGCGATCATTTGCAGCAATGGCCATATAGTTCGGGTACATCCAATAATACGGACCTCACGTTGGGTTTCGATTACTTGGCCATACCATTTGACGACCCGTTTGCCTCGCTGATCCCTAGACTTTAGGGGTAGTGATCCCCTGAATATATGCACCATTTATTATGCTGAGAACTGACAGAATCAACGCTCCGCGTGCTGAGTGACGATAGACTAGGGTCGACATGAATCATGACATCATTACGCATCTCCTTACTTCCAAAGCTCTTCTGTGACTCCTGTTATCTTTCGGTTTTCTTTAGCTCTTGTTTATTTAGGTCGGATGGCCGTACTACGGTATCTTGCCCATATGGTCTTGTATGTACAGTACTCTGATGTAAGCTTCTATAGCAAAATAGCAAGACGTCAAGAGATCACTCCGGATTCATTTGGCCAAAAGTTTATTGGATTTTGCAGGATAATGCGACGTTCAGAGTCAGAGTTGCGTGACTCCAATTATTCCCCCTAGTTATATCTAATACGAAGTTCTTGCCCGCGATTTCTTCGCACGATGCATATATAAAAGTCAAAATCCCACTTCATATATAATATGAGGTAGGCGGTAAAATGAATTAAATGCTGACTTCTTACGGCGAGCACTGCCGAGCTGGAAGGCCGATAGTGATGATTTAGAACAGATATGCCGAACAATAGGTTAATGAGCCGCGGCAGAGCCCCAAACTACGGGGTGGCTTTTATGATCACTCCATATATACAAAGTAAACAGTGCATTAGCACGACGTGAGTGGCCCCGCATAGGTATGCATCATTGCCATGTGGCTCCAATGTGGCTCCCACGATCCAATGTGGCAGATCGGCTCGACCGGGATCTGTGCCATATCCATACCCGAGAGATATGAACTGGTCTAATGGCTGCTGTGGAGCTGTCAGCGATAGTGAAACAGCTTCTAGAATACTACAACATGGAACTACAAACTGAATGGGGGTTGATCCGCAAATCAAATGGCGATCCTTGAGTGGGAGCAGTGCCCCTGGATTCGCCGAAGTGGATCTGCGTTTTATTCCCTCAAGTCTTACGAACTTCTATTTCCCATGTCCCTGACCTTCTATTCTCTCTTTGTCCGGAAACTCGGCTCCTTTCGCCGCATCTAATCGCGGATAGCAGGCCTGGAGTATGTGGGAACATAGTAAGCATGTCTTACTGGTGGGACAGGGCGAGGTGGTGACAGATACCCTTCTGCACGCAATTCCCACTACTCGATGTCTTGCCCAGAATCCCCTTAGAATTATACATATACGCACCCTCTCCAACTTTAGTTTCTTAACTTTCTCTTTGGAAAACGGGGATCTATATATTTCAGTGCGGTTATTTCGTTGATAATATTTCTCATCCTGGACCGCTTGGATGAACCAGCCTACCTCGTTTTACTGTTGCCGTCCCCAACAAACCTCCATATATGATGGAATTTCATCTCCAAGATGAAGCTCCCCCAGCTTCAGCGGCCCCGACAGTATACGGAGATCACTCTGGCGAAGAATTTGAAGAATCAGAGGAGAAACCAACCCTTGCTGTCCCAGAGATCAACGTCCGCGAAGCCCACAGTGCCGAAACCCTCGCTGTCCACGAAGATCCTTACACTGCTTCTCTCCCCGTCAAGGATGCGGAGTGGAGCATGACAGATCAAGTTAAGCGGAATAAGGAGCGCTCGGAAGCGGCTGGCTATAAAAAGCGTGAGCTGGGTGTAACATGGCAGAACCTCACGGTCGAAGTGCTTGCCGCAGAGGCAGCAGTGAAGGAAAACCAGTTGACACAATACAACATCATTCAGCTGATTCAAGAATTCCGCCGAAAGCCACCGCTTAAATCGATCTTACAGGACAGCCATGGATGCGTTAAACCGGGCGAAATGTTGCTTGTCCTGGGCCGGCCGGGGTCGGGATGCACCACGCTTCTTAAGTTGCTCGCCAACCGGCGTCAGGGATACCATGCTGTCCATGGTGAGGTATCTTTTGGAAACATGAATGCGCAGGAAGCAGCCCAGTATCGGGGTCAGATTGTCATGAATACCGAGGAGGAGCTTTTCTATCCTCGTCTAACTGTTGGTCAGACAATGGACTTTGCCACTAAACTCAAGGTTCCAGCCCATCTTCCAGCTGAAGCCAAATCAGTGGACGAATATGTAGCCGAAACCAAGCAATTTCTATTAGAGTCAATGAAAATTGCCCATACAGTTGATACAAAGGTTGGCAATGAGTTTGTCCGCGGTGTCTCCGGTGGTGAAAGAAAACGAGTGTCCATTATCGAATGCATGGCTACCAATGGCTCTATATTTACTTGGGATAATAGCACCCGTGGGCTTGATGCGAGCACCGCCCTGGAATGGGCTAAGGCCCTTAGAGCTATGACCAACGTGATGGGGCTTACTACCATCGTGACCCTTTATCAGGCAGGGAACGGAATTTACAATCTTTTCGATAAAGTCCTTGTGTTGGACGAAGGAAAGCAGATTTACTATGGCCCGACCGCTGCTGCTAAGCCCTTTATGGAGGAATTGGGGTTTGTCTATTCCGACGGTGCCAATGTTGGTATGTATCTGATCTTGATGCTGTCGATCAGCCAGAATATTCAGAATGCTCATTTAAACCCACAGGTGACTATCTGACCGGTGTGACTGTCCCTACGGAGAGAAAGATTCAATCCGGATATGAAAACCGGTTCCCCAAAAACGCCGATGCCATTTTGGCAGAATATCGAAAATCCTCATTATATCAGCATATGATTCAGGAATACGACTATCCTCGCACTGACGCTGCTCGCCGGCGCACAGAAGACTTCAAGGAGTCGGTGGCCTGGGAAAGGGCAACGCGCCTCCCCAAGAATAGCGCGCTCACCATTGGATTCTGGGATCAACTCATTGCCTGTACCATCCGCCAATATCAAATTTTGTGGGGCGAGAAATCCACCTTCTTGATTAAACAGGTCCTGTCGATTATAATGGCTCTTATTGCTGGGTCTTGTTTCTACAACTCCCCCGACACAACCGCCGGTTTGTTCACCAAGGGAGGTGCCGTCTTCTTCTCGCTCTTGTATAACTGCATCGTTGCCATGTCTGAAGTCACCGAATCATTCAAAGGTCGTCCTGTGTTAATCAAGCACAAGTCATTTGCAATGTACCACCCAGCTGCCTTCTGCCTCGCGCAGATTACCGCAGACCTACCTGTCCTGCTGGTTCAATGCTCACTGTTTGCCATCGTGATATACTGGATGACCGGGCTGAAACATACTGCGGCCGCCTTTTTTACTTTCTGGGCCATTCTCTTCACTACTACTCTGTGCATCACTGCCTTGTTCAGATGTATAGGCGCTGGCTTCAGCACTTTCGAAGCGGCGTCGAAGATTTCAGGAACTGCCGTCAAGGGTATTGTCATGTATGCCGGTTACATGATTCCCAAAGGGGACATCAAGAACTGGTTCCTGGAACTGTACTATACAAATCCTTTTGCGTACGCGTTTCAAGCAGCCTTGTCCAATGAATTCCACGGTCAAACTATTCCCTGTGTTGGAAACAACCTTGTCCCTAACGGGCCGGGCTATGAAAATGTCAGTGCTGCGAACAAGGCCTGTACAGGTGTTGGTGGTGCCCTTCCCGGGGCGGATTATGTGACAGGTGACCAATATCTTTTGTCCCTCCACTATAAGCATTCACAAATGTGGCGAAACTACGGTATCCTCTGGGCATGGTGGGGTTTCTTTGCCGTGGTGACCATTGTCTGCACTTCTTTCTGGGACGCTGGAGCTGGGTCCGGAGCATCTCTCCTTATACCTCGGGAGAAGCTCAAGGCCCACCGCGCCCATTTGGATGCAGAAGAACAAAAGGAAAGGGATCCTGCACGTGAAAAAGGGTCCGGAGATGCGCTGACCTCTGTCGATGAAGGGAACCTCACCCAAAATACCTCTATATTTACCTGGAAAAACCTTACCTACACGGTTGATACCCCAACTGGGGAGAGAGTTTTATTAGACAACATCCATGGGTGGGTCAAACCGGGCATGCTAGGCGCTCTAATGGGCTCTTCTGGGGCAGGAAAAACAACATTGCTTGATGTTCTTGCTCAGCGGAAAACCGAAGGTACAATTAAGGGTTCAATTATGGTTGACGGCCGTGAGCTGCCCGTGTCATTCCAACGGATGGCTGGATACTGCGAGCAATTGGATGTTCACGAACCATATGCAACAGTCCGAGAGGCATTGGAATTTTCTGCACTGCTGAGGCAATCCAGAGATACCCCTAGAGAAGAAAAGCTGAAGTATGTTGAAACAATTATTGACCTGCTTGAACTTCACGATCTGGCAGATACTTTGATTGGTACAGTTGGAAATGGCCTCAGTGTTGAACAGAGAAAGCGTGTCACCATCGGAGTGGAGCTTGTATCAAGGCCCAGTATCTTGATTTTCCTAGACGAACCAACCTCTGGTTTGGATGGGCAATCAGCCTATAACACAGTCAGATTCCTTCGGAAGCTTGCAGACGTCGGTCAAGCCGTCTTAGTCACAATTCATCAACCCTCTGCCCAGCTCTTTGCTCAGTTCGATACTCTGCTCCTTCTTGCAAGGGGCGGAAAGACAGTGTACTTCGGTGATATCGGTAATAATGGTGCGGCAATCAAGCATTACTTTGGCAAGTATGGTGCGCAATGTCCGATTGAGGCGAACCCTGCCGAATTCATGATTGATGTAGTGACTGGAGGTATTGAGGAGGTGAAAGACAAGGACTGGCATCAGGTTTGGCTTGATTCCCCTGAGCACGAACGGATGATGGTTGAACTCGATCGTTTGGTTGCCGACGCTGCTGCAAAGCCCCCTGGGACTCATGACGACGGCTATGAGTTCTCGATGCCTCTGTGGGAGCAAGTCAAGATCGTTACCCATCGTATGAATGTCGCTCTATTCCGGAACACCAATTACGTCAATAACAAGTTCTCGTTGCATATTATCTCGGCACTTCTCAACGGCTTCTCCTTCTGGCACACCGGTCCCAGTGTATCCGATTTGAACTTGAAGATGTTTACCATTTTCAACTTCGTGTTCGTTGCGCCAGGCGTTATCAATCAACTTCAGCCACTGTTTATACAGCGTCGTGATATCTACGATGCTCGTGAAAAGAAATCGAAGATGTATTCATGGGTTGCCTTCGTAACTGGCTTGATTGTCTCGGAATTCCCCTATCTCTGTGTCTGTGCTGTCCTCTATTTTGCCTGCTGGTATTACTGTGTGAGGCTTCCTCATGACTCAAACCGGTCGGGCGCTACCTTTTTCATCATGCTCATTTATGAGTTTATTTATACCGGCATTGGCCAGTTCATTGCAGCTTATGCGCCTAATCCTACCTTTGCCGCGCTTGTCAACCCTTTGATCATCAGCACTCTCACTCTCATGTGCGGTATCTTCGTGCCATTCACCCAACTGACCGTCTTCTGGAGATACTGGATGTACTATCTAAACCCCTTCAACTATGTCACCTCTGGAATGTTAGTATTCGGTATGTGGGGGGCCAAGGTGACGTGCAACGAAAATGAATTCGCGGTGTTTGACCCGGTCAAAGGCACTTGTGGCGAGTATCTTGCCGACTACTTGGCTGGCAGCGGCTGGAGGGCAAACCTGACCAACCCTGACGCGACCTCTGGATGCAAAGTCTGTGAGTACAGGACCGGTAGTGACTTCCTGACCAACCTCAACATCAACCATTACTATTACGGGTGGAGAGACGCGGGAATTTGCGTCATCTTCGCGATCAGTGGATACGCTTTGGTCTTTGCACTGATGAAACTGAGAACCAAGGCATCGAAGAGGGCGGAATAGAGGACGCTTGATTTCTGATCCTTTTAAATGTTGGTCTTCGTGGTTCATTTGTGCGCTGTTGTATTCTTTCACGCGGATTTCCATATCGAGAATTTATCATCCACAGTATGTCGCATTCTGACAACGCTACAGACCATTTCCTTGCTTCTGGAGCTTTGTTATAGATTGTATATAGACTATCCCTGATTCTTTGACTGTTTCATCATTCGTTCTCTGGTCACTCTTTGACCCCCAAAACGCTGTGTTGAGCCAACCTGAGTGCCATTTTACCTAATTTTTCAGCGATTAGACTAGAATGAATAGACTTCGGAAATAGACAAGAGATCTGAATATATTTGTTATCGAAATCCCTTCGATTGATAAATGAACTTATTAAAGCACTTATCTGAGCATAATCAGGGCAGCTGGAAAGGAAGGGCGCAGATGGGGCAGTAGAACATTGCTCATTTCCGTCCATGCGTGTCTTAGACAATCATTTCTCTTTAATTACACCACGGTTGTTGTTGTTGTTGTTGTTGTTGTTGTTGCTGTTGTTTTTAAATCGCCAGGGTTACTCGCTGTCAATAGATATTCTTCTATCTCTTTCCTCAGCTTGTTCAATCCCTACACTCCCCTTCACATCTTGCCATGATGAACAACCTCCCTCCAGAGATTATTTTGAAAATCTTAGATTACGCGGATTCCGAAAGGAGCTCACTGTTAAGGATCAACTCTCATTGGTTTCAGTGTGGAATTTCCGTTGTATGGCGAGATGTGCGGTGCGAACGCCTGGCTAAGATAGCGAAGAACCGTCAACAGATCTATGCCTCTGTGATCCGATCATTCTATGCCAACGGATATAAAGTGAACGCCTTCCGTCACCTCGCCTTTCCAAAACTGACCCAGCTTCAATTGATCTTCAGCTTTCAGTGGAGGTCTAGATTTGAGCCTCTAAAGATAGTAGAATCCAATCTCAAACCTCTCCTCCCCTCAGGACTTCACACGATTTCCCTTTCGGGCTACTTTGATCCAGACTTACTTGTTTACGTCCGTCTTCAGTGCCCCCAGCTACGAGGTTTGCAGATCAGCTGCCCGAATCCTCCGAGTCCTCATCTTACACCAGAATTCGTTCTCAAGTTCCTTCGGAGCAGCCCAACTCTCTCAGAAATAAGTCTCGGCATAATGATAACTGGTGACATTTTCGATCATCTAGCAGAGCGCGGGAATTTGCGCGAATTCTTTTGCACCAAGCAGATTGTTGATACATATATACTAGAGAAACTGAATACTTCATCGCCATTTCCCGTGCTGCGCAAGTTGAAAATAAGCGTCATGGAGGACGCCTTTCCGTCCCTTACGGATGCGGTACAATCAGTTAGGGAACTTGACTTGACTCTCGTACACGACGATGATACCAATGTGCAGGCGAACAATGTGTTGCGAGACGTTTTCAAATTGGCGGGACTACGCGAATTGATCTTAACTATACATTATAACCCTATGTGTTCTATAGTCATAGACAATGAGGAACTGATGTCTCTGAGAAGCCTGTCACATTTGGTCATGTTGAATATCAGTGCATCTTGGGGGTCTTTTCTCCGGGCACCCTGCTTCACGGACCGCGACTTTGCGCAACTGTTCACAAATCTTGCCCATCTGCAACACCTCCATCTCAACGTCTCTATGCCTAAGCGCACGACTGTCTCTCTTGTGGCCTTAGGGAAATGCTGCCCGTCCCTCCGAACACTACGACTCACAGATGCCCTTGATATGATGGTGCTCCAATCGGAGAAAGTGCCGTTGCTTCCGAAGCTTGAGAAGCTTACTATTGACACATTCACCAATAGTGAATCAAGGATCAGGTTCGTTCGGAAATACTCCCTTGCGTGCTCCCTCTTTGACTTTTCATGCCTCAGATCTCCGCATCAACACGCTTTTCAAATCCAAAGGTCCTTCCCAAAACTCAAACGGCTTGAGGCTATCATGATATTAGATAGCATGGACCCAAGGCTGGACTTCTCTGCACGTATCGTAGATATCTGGAAGAGTCTAAACTGACGAATTCAGAGAATGTTTCGGCCACTCCCCACAAACCGTTCCATGAAGGTGTCCGTCTACTACACCGAGGACGTTTCAAAAAGAGAACGGAAGACATACTGGGATCGCGGGGCGCTGCGCCGTGAAGCATACTGTTTCGATCCAGATAGCCAGGAATCAATTATTTTCCCCTCTACTCATATCTAGCGCTAGACAGGGATATCTTACTGAATAACTCCTGTCGTACTATCTATAGAATTAGAGAGGAGAGTGCGCACGCCTCATTAAGTGCTGATAAATCATCGCAGCACTGACTCAACCTGACCTCTCGATGTTTTTCACCCGAACACCCCCAAATCCCATGTCTCACCGATCTAACCTCTAATATTGCCAATCGTATGAATTTCCTTAGTAGCCAATCATAGATCCCATCTCCATCACGGTAGGCAGAGCAACAATCATTCCCCTCCCCCCTCAATCCAAACAGTCAGTCAATGATACGAACGCAAACTCCTAGTCTAAGACTCCACAACCCAGCATACCATGCAAAGCTCAGCTCCCCTCTACTGAGGGGTAATTGAGATCGGAACAATCAGCAAAGCGTATTGTTCCTACTTCCCCACCGATCGGCATATTGGCAGGGTGGTATCTCCAGCACGACCAATGCATTAGCACCTGTGCGCAGCCCTCACCGAGTAGGTTGGTGACTGGATACTTCGCATCTCAGCAACCAGAAGAGGATTGAGTTCTTGGCATCAGTTCAGGTGGGGAGGTGTATGAGGCTGGGAGTGTATTTCCGAGCGAGGATGTTCCCAATATAAAGAGATGGGCAGTAGGTCCGAAGTTCTGGGACAATTTTTTTTCTTAAACAGTAGTACTAGGCCTACTATTGATTGCTTTCCATCATTCCCGCCGAACAACACAACATGTCTGAGTCCAGGAAGGTAAGTGAGAGTTGTGGGGTGGGCATTTCTTTCCAGAATTGACATGAGTCTCATAGCAAACCCTGGTTCGCTTTACGCCTGAGGCCTTCAACCAGTATGACGATGAAGTCACTAAGTTGGTTAACTAAAGATCCATATGAAAAGAGACGGCTTGCTAAATTATCACTATAGGGTCATTAAAGAGGATACGGGAACCGATGAATTTATCGCACAGCCTAGCTACCCTCCAATTTATCATCCTCCGTAAGCTTTCAACTCCTTGTCTTGATGTACGATATAGGAAACCGAGGGCTAATTTGGGATTTCAAATTAGGCCATTGACTACGGAGGCTATTAACATGTTGAAGAGTTTCACTGGTGTCGAGGTGGTTATTCTCGACGATGAAGAGTGATCCCGTGCGCCTATCCTAGAGCTGTAGCATAGACTACCCTTGGAAATTCTGCTCATTATACAGCTCAAATTGATATCATGATCTATTTCAAAGTACATCAAACTACCTCAAGCCATAACGGCAAGATATCCTTAACAATATTTCCTCCTGTATGAGAGGTATCCTTTCATCATAGAGACCAACAATCAATGACTGGCTTCCGAGTGACTGGATAGGGGAAAACACCCACAGGCCCGCACCGCGATCTTGATCCACTTTCCACGCCTTGCCAATCAGAAGGTAGTGGGAAAGAGGCAGAGCCATGTGACGAACTGTCGATCGTAGCGACTGTCCTATGATGTCGTCTCTGACGTCCAAACTGCAGAAAACTTCTCCACTCAGTAGCTCGTGGGAAGTGGTGATTTGACAGGCATACAGTCAGATGGGGCCTTGATACCTACTAAAAAGGCCATTAGGGAATGTTGGTTTAGCCCCATCTATCGTCACTCCAAACCAGCAACTTTTCAATGAGCGCAGCCTAGTCGAGGGGTTTCCTGTGCCATAGCGACTGCTGGAAGTTCAACATGAACTAAGGAGGAACATCAAATGTATACGAGTAACATAAATCAATCATTTCGCCGCTGAATGCTTGCTTAACCTGACAGAGAATTAAATGCACCTCCTAGGGCCTCAGCCCCCTTTCCGAGTAGGAATATGTCGCAATATAGCTCATCAACCCTGAAACACCCTATTCGATCGAGCCAGATCATGGTATCATTGCCAAGGTGGGAGTCATTACTGTCTGCATAAGCCTCTTTTGCAGGATTCGTTTAGAAGAGTGAGGCAGGACGCAAGGTCAATGATTTCCTTTCAGCCTCATCCTTTTCGTAATCAGATAGTCAGTCTATATAGTTTGGCTGGGATCAAGTTTGCCGGCTCTTTAGCTAGCAACGTAACTTCATAGTCGGTCTTTTTGACCTCCCGATTCTTGGTCAAGCTTAGGCGCAGGGAAGGTGTAATACAGGTCGCAAAGTTAGCGGTGACCATGACACGGTACGGTGTCTCCCCAGTTCATCAGTGATGGTCTCAGGTTCCTTGGATAGACAAGCATCGGCTAGACTGATCAAGATATCGTTCCTGAAAAATATCTCGTTTTGTCCCTAGGGATGGGTTTTATCGTAGCTTGTCGACACAAGTTGTCATCACAAAGGCCCATGCAGTTGCTGGATGTTAATGACCGTAAAGGACTGCGGGAAGAGTGGTGGCAGCATTTGCCTTGGATGCAACACCCAGAGTCAACCATCAGCCAAAAGAGCTGGGTTGAACTGATAGATGGGACGGTGCGCAAATGAGCAGGGTAGAAAAGTACACCCATTGTTATAAAGTAGAGTATTGTGGCAAAACCCAGCATTGTCCGTATCATCTAGAATGCTTCTTCCAGTCATCCCATATTTCACATGACGCGGCTTGGCATGTACACTAATCCTCGATCATTTAATCGAAGAGATCTTGATATCTCTCGGCCCGGCATCATATGTTCAGGCTGAGGTCATATGATGGCATCGATAAAGTAGAAAAGCTAAAAGCAAAAGAAAAGGTGCCTAATGAGGTAGCTTCGGATCTTCTAAGGTTTATCGGCAATTTATTACGATACATAGTCTATTATAGTGCGTAGATGCTCGTATATTGGGTATATCGAAATGAGGGGGCCTTATACTATTTCGTCATGGAGTTCTGGTGAACTGTCGAGATCTTTCATAGCAGCGTACTTGTGCAGCCGATCTCCGGTCGTCGGAACAGGCTTGGCGAGTCGCAATACCCAGCAGAGACGATATTCAAGCGGTAACAGAACCACCAAGATCCGATTGCCTAGGAAGCAGATCGTGACACTAAGAACGGCTACGACGGCATCTAGCCAATAATGATTGGCCGTAGCCACAATCACACTCAGGACCAGCAGCGGGTAAATAATGCCGAGTGACACGTAGAAGAGCACCGCCAGCCGGGAGGTCCTGGTTGGCATGCCCAACAGCCGCTGCATAATGCCCGAATGGTAGATGAATGTGCAGCCGATCACAAACGCGTAGGTGAAGTGCAGACTCGGCATCGCGGCGAACTGATTGACCGACTTGGCCCCCACCCAGACACTCTCTGCATGCTCCTGCCGGACCGTGTCGAAGAAGTTATATTCCTCGGGCAGGAGTCGGGGAGGCATGCACGGGTAGAAGCAAAAGACGAGGAAGGCGGCGAGATTACCCAGCGTCATGGTTCTCCGAACAATGGCGAACGTGCGGTGATTCGGGGCGCTATAGTAGTACCAGGAGAGGAACCTAGCAAAGGGAAGGGGGTTGTTAGTATTGGAATCCGCGATCGATCCAAAAAAAAAAAAAAAAAAAGAAAAGAAAAAAAGAAAAAAGAGAAGTTCAAGTTCCAACGTACAGCACCGTTCCCGGGATGTGGACCAAGGAATAGATCCGATTGAAGAGGGTCAGCCAGAGCGGATGGTACTCCATAAAGAAGCTTTGGAATTCAGATTCCTCGACGGGGAAGAAAAACCGGAAAATGCCCTTGTGCTCGAAGGTGAGAATGTCGATGCCATGGCCCTGCGCAACTTGCACGACACTCTTATCCGCCGGCGACAGACTCTGCGAGATCGCCTTGGTGCACGCGTAGAAGAGTAGATTCATCACCCAGTAGAACATCTCCACCAGAAAGGGGAATTTCTGAATGATCCTGCTATGGATATGATGTCTCCATCTCGAAGAATCCGGCACCTTGATCACAATCCCACAGAAGCGGTATGTTTCGGCATTCGAGGTTTCCAGCCACGTATTCTCCGTACTCCTGAGCACATCGTCTGGGTTCCCGAGTTGTATATAATCGGAGGGGCGTGAGATGCTGAAGTTCCGTCGTCGATTGATTATCAAAGAGCCGATCATAATACTTAGCACGATCTGTAGATCTGTCCGTTAGCATGTCGGCCCATATCGACGACAACCCCAAAAGGCAAGACCCTCCACCTACGATAGGTTCCACCCATTTGTGCGACTCAAACTGAGGTTTTCCCAGGTCGGTATGATCGGGCGCCGCCATGGTGTGTATAATGAAGGGAAGGCCGGGATCTGTGCGGCCTTTGAAGGGAGAGCAATAAATAGTAAGGAAGGAGTAGGAGTGGTCTCGTGAGCCATGCACTGAGCTCTCCCCGCAATCGGCAATGTAGAAAGATCGATAGTGTCCGTCTCTTTTAAGGGACACGAACAGGAAGAAAGGGCCACGTTGACATCGAAAGTACACGAGAGGGGTAAGAAACCTGAAGGGTGGTCCAGGTGGAAGGAAGACGGTCTATCCGCAATGTGCTTTTTTCCTCCCCCCCCTTGGTCGCAAGCTGAAGGATTCTTTAACATCCCTTGGGTGTGTGTTTTATTCTTTTTTTATGTAAGCGGGCCGTACCAGAAATGTGATCCATCTTGCCCCTTATTTTGACAAATAAGGATCCGCATCTTGTCGGAACTTCTGGAGACCCGACCAGCGTTTCGGAGGTTCTCAAATCGTTGGTCTGCCGAAATCTCGGGGCATCGGAGATCAAGAACTTGCCTAGGGTATCGATTAGTGCTTAGTTTCTTCATAGGGAGGGAAAATCCTATTCATAAAGGTGAAACATCCATGCAACGTTCTGGAAAGTTCAGATTTTGTGGAACGAGTACGAAGGAATGATTAGAAAAAAAAATATTTTTATTCAAATTGATTTTTTCCTCCGAGGTACAGTTAAGTCACTTGTTGTTTTTGGAAGGTCACGCTATCCGATTATTCCTCGGGATCACTCTTACTCTTACTCTTACTCTTTTTCTTTTTTGTCAGTGTATCCAGAACAAGGAAATAAACGGCATTGTCCACATAACTCCACGATTTCTCTCTGAGAGACTAACTTTATCATACATCTGCAAGCTCATTGTTTCGCCAAAGCCTGACATTACTCATATCCTTTCTATTTTCAAAATTGAAAGGTGGGGTGGTCCTTTTTGGCCCTATTGCCGTTCCTATTTGACACTATAGAAGATAGTCTTGGAGATAAATTTAATTGTGAAGACCGTTTTTTTTAACACCCTATCAGGACAACTACGTATGATACTCCACCCGTACTCGTATTGAACTATCGACTATCGAGTACGATACACGATACGATACAAGCCAATCCACAACCGGCAATGATTCACGTGAACCACGTACTGTAAAAGATTGCCCTAAAAATAAATCAAATCAAATCAAATCTCACCTCATCCTCTCTGTCCCCTCAACTGAATGAACATCTCGCGTCAGTACAAACTAGCCACGCACGCTCTCTCTCACACAGCTCGTCCAGACCTATATTACGTCAGTGTCTTCAAACCATCATCAGAAAACAAACCCTCAATCATTATTCTTTTTTGACCCTGGAGGGGTACATTCTCCGAGGTGATATTGCATCGGACGTAAAGCCTGACATAGAATAGCAGGTTTCCCTTTATCGGGGTCATTAGTATACAGTACTGAATAGATGGGACCAGTGGTCCGTTGAGAACATGAGGACTTGTAGGGTTATATTGCATGATACCTGTCGACAAGCAGCGATCGCCTCCCGTCCCAGCGTATCCGACTCAAAAGACAATAAAAATCGCACAGGTCAGAAACTTCACGATGCCGTATATCCCCGCCGTAAAAGCCACCCAACAGACGGGGACGACAGACCGAGACTTGCAAAAATAGTCGGAGAATACTTGTTCAATGCGGCTGTTTCCAGTATTTTACTGCGGTATTACCTTTGGAGTATATATATCCCGATTAGCAGGGTAGTAGTGAATAGTACTGACAAAAAACTAAGGAACAAAAAAGCCAATAAATAGAGAGGTCGCCTAGAGCAGGTATTTAAGCAGACATAATCCCTAGATGGTTCAGAGAAATAAGATAACCGTCCTCATACTTTTCATGAATAATATGTCACCGCGTTTCGTACCCCGTCATGGTACTTCACGTCATCAGTGTGACACACAGAGTGAACCGTCGACGGTAGGACTTCTTCGAAAACGGCTCCTTTAGGAGAGCCCTGTTGAGGAGAGCGAATGTTGTGCCTCCATCACATATGAGTGGTCTTCTGCTGGTAAGTTGCGCAATTGCCCAAGGACGCGTGGTGCTTTGTCCGGTTGCTGCATCGCGAGATATCGAAACGACTCGTTGCGAGAAGCATACCGACCCAGAGAATCACCGCGGGGTATGCCTGCAGGGAAAGAGGAATAATGACAGCCATATAATTCTCGTCGTATGTAGGTGGATATACTACTGAAAAGGGCGAGGTACAAAACTCACAGCGAGGCCAAAGACTAGGGCTAGCTGGTAGAAGCCCGTCCCTAGTCCACGGATTCCTCGCGGTGCATTCTCAGCGATATATATTGGAAGTACGGAAGAGGCTATGTTGATTGAGAGTCTACCAATGAACTTATAGATGCTTTTTGTCTGTAAGGCACACATCGAGCCAAATTATCGCCTTACATACAAAACTCCAAGAATAACACTCGCTCCCGCTTGCAGAGCAACCCCAACGAACAATACCAGTGCAGCAAGTATGAGCGACCATTGTCGTCTGATGGCGTTGGCAATGTATGTCGAGACTAGTGCCCCAAGAAAATATCCTGCTTGGATGCTGGAGACAATGGTCGACCCGAGGTTTGCCAGAACAGTGACTTGCTTGCCTAATAGCCCATATTGCCTTTCAAACGGGTGGGCTTTGGCGCAATGATCCTACTTCTAGGAGAGGATCTCACTGCTTGAACGAATTCATGGTGGGGACGCCCCCAATGACACCCATGTCAAAGCTGAAAAGCATGGAAGCTCCACATGCCGAGATGGCATCAGATGTCATGGAAGGCTGAGACATTGTGGAGCTAGTGGGCAGGAGAAGCATAGATAGTCCTACCCCTCATCATCACAGTTGTCGCCCAATTTTTTTTTTCAACTCTCTTCTATCCAAGTCCAAGTCTCTTGTCCCGAGATATAACTGGCTAGCGGATGTGCAATCCAAAAAAGACATTACAATGGTCGTCTACAGCCGCGCTCTTGGCCAAGGTAAACACAGTTCCATTCCACAGATACTTAAAGGAGCCATCAACGTCGAATTATGTAGCAGTTCGTTTCTGTAGGATAGAGCCCCATAATTCCAAATGACCTTCTTTTAGATAATTATTCGAAATGATACTGGCAAATCAGATCTTCCAGAGGTCTACAATTTCCGGGCAATCTTCATTAGTCTGACAGTATAGCCTGAATTGGAATCCGGGGTAAAAGCAGGAGATTTTCGGGGAAATTAGAGTCGGCTATAGATATAGATACCCAGCTCAGAAAGATAGGCTACTACTTTATTCCTTAATTCTAGTAACAGTCGAACCAGGTGTCATCTCTTACAAAATCCATTAGAAGTTGGCCTACTCCTTGGTTATCTGGGTCGGGAAACCGGCCACGAAGAAACGGCAAGTTTGATAGGAAGGCGTCAGGGCATTCCTGGGCCTCCGGGGACTCTAGAAATGGGAATGCTTGCGGGTCCGGGAAGTCCTATGGGAAGTGCGGGTGAGACTCTGTGCTCTCAATAATGCTGGAATTCATGATATCGTCGAGGTCTATGGGGGTCGACAAGGGATTTTGCGTAAGGTCTCGTGACTGAAAATTCACCTACTGTTTTCCGGGCGGAGTTGCCGTTAGAACCAAAGGCCCGTGAGTAGCCTTCCGTATCTTGAAGCGATGTGAGATGGGCTTGTGGCTGCATTTTAAGCATGGAGATGAATAGACGAACGAGGGTGGGACAGCTCTGTTGTTCCTTGGGGCTTAGTGCCCCAGCCATGAAAGCTTTGAACAGGAAAACGGAAACATGTATCTCACACCTGTAGGCAAATTAGCTTCGTAATCATGCTCTTGAAGCGGATGTGCCAATCTTACAATAGAACCTGACACGCATATACCTGAGGTGTTTTGTCGCGTTCAATCGCTCCACAAGATACTTAAGAACTCTCTTGGCAGCATCAATGGCGATATATATATGTTTGCCATCAGCGCTAGCCATCAATCACTACATGGAAAATAAGATGACTTCGCGTTGTCGGATCTAGTAGCGCTTTTGGGCCACGGATAAAGGACTGTCTGGAAAGCGAACGCGTTGATATAGAGGCGAAGGTATCCAAACTGAAGAAATAGCAGGTCACTTAAGTGAGGAGGTAGGTCAATATTAACCCAGGTTTCCTTCCACATGGCCTATGCCTTGGAGCTGTCATCGAGGTATTTGGTGTAGTCCCCAATGAGCGTCAGCTGCACTGTCCGGGTTTTGGATGCGTATAATATATCACGGATATTCCCAAATATGGTAGTTAACTCGACTTGTGCCTGGATATAACTCGCATATTTTACCCATTTGGCTTCTGAGGCCGTAAATACAGGTAGTCATCGATTGTGAACCGAGTAGATAAACCCGGTCCGCGACACCAAAAGGACTGTCCCATCTGGATCCAAATTTGACTGTTGGCGAGGAATTTAACTGGGCATATTAGCTGACATTAATGGCATGTGGAGCACGTCCTTACATATCCATGCTAGCCTATTACGATGGAGGTCCAACCTGTCCTCGATTCTTGTCCTTGCACTCGCCCCGAAACGAATATAGTTCCAGGTGTAACAAGTAGGGTTGTCGGAGAGCCAACCCAATGAGGCTCCATGCCACACTGTCTTCTGCTGTCGCCTGAACCTGGTGCGACGGGCCGTTACTATCTGCAGCTTCCCTTGCGCATTCCTTGGACCTGATATGTGGAACCCATTCGGCAAGGAGTAGCAACCCTTCCATGACACCGACATGCCGAACACTGGCAGCACCCAAAATGACTCGAAGTAGCAACTTCTCCATATACTCTGATATTCTTCTATGTAAGCCTTCGAGGCCGACTCTATCTTTGGTTGCGATAGTTAGCACAGCTGTTAGGAGGAATGTCTCTCAGGCCCGTGACTGCTGAATATGGTGCACAGCAAACAAATCGCTGGGCAAAATTGGAAGATAGGGATGGAAATTTTGCAGTAGCTAGCTCAACTTGTCAGTCTAGAAAGGATAAAATCAGATATTTTACCTACTATTGAGGTAGTGGTTCCAACAATGGAATGTCCAAAATGCCATTTCGCATGAGTTCACTGGTAAGAGGAGTATAGGTAGTCCTCGACGCTTAGGGGAGAGCGCTACGGTTTGCCTCTCTCGCTGGCATTGGATCGGTAGGGATTTCAGTTATTCGTGGCTTTCTCCTTTCCGCGCCCCTTTCGCTCGAGGCTGTTTATGCTAGAATCTGGAGGGCCTCAAGCCGATTTTGAATACCGCCGAGGCTGTAATCTGCTACAGCCGTTCTCGAACTAGTGGTGTTTGCACCATCCACTCCGACCCTGTCAGCCGGTAACTCACGTTCTTGAAAATCTCATTCTTGGTGTTGTTGGCCCTTGCGCCCAGGAAACCGAGAGTAATGGCTGCCTCGCCGTGGTGTAGCCACGACAAATCGGTGGCCGTCCGAGGAGCATTTCGAGCACGGATGGTGATCGTATTCATTGTTATATTGTCTTTGCCTAGTCAATCACTTGTTATGTCCGGGACGGGACACCCCTTCTAAGTCACATTTTGTTTTCCGCTATCTGCAGTGAATGCAGGCTCAGTAGAGACGCTCCCCTTTACTTTTCGTCATAATTGACTTTAGGTGATTCGATCCGGATCAAACGACAGTGGGGGAGGATTGAAATTATTGCGGGGAATATCTGGTTGATCGGCTTTAGATTCTTGCCCACGGCGTAGATCAATCAAATCGGCTATACGTGGCAACGGCATTTGATTGGCTGACCCCTAGGGTTCGGTCTATGTTCTAAGAAGAACCTACATTCCTTCAATGTAGTCTAGTTGCTGTATGGGTTCAAGCTCTATTATATTTATTATTGTTTATCTCAAATAGATTCCCACAGAAATACTTCAAAATGGCTACAATGGTTGAATCCGAGGTTTTGACCTCACTACCCACCAAACAACAACCAAATCTTCCGAAGGATGACATCTACGGCAAATACTATCCCACCGACCCCAAGAACCAGAGACTGGTGTCGAACTTCGGGCCCACGATCCCGGAGCAAGTTGGTTTACCTACAACCGACTTCCAAGGACACACCCCATTGGAAATTGTGCGAGAGCGGTTGAACCGCGATTGGTATCTTTTTCTAAACCTCACTATACCCCTCCTTTGTGATTATACCTCTATGACAATGCTGACCACAAGTAGGTAAAAGGCCTTCTCCCAAAAGAGCTCGTTCTCAAATGTCGCCGCGAACACTCCAACTACATGTCTCCATCTGGCCTCTTCACAACGGGCACCGACCCAATCGAAGGAATCTTCAGTGAAAAGGACAGCCGCAAGGTTCCTCCCACCTGGAAACATTCGACGACTATTCGGACTGAAAGATGACGAAGAGGAGTCGGAGAAATACCTAGAATTTATGATCAGTGCACACGAAGCACAATCCTACCTTAACTTCTGTGAGATAAAAGAGCTTTGAGAATTCGTCCGCTGGTTCGCGGTGGGCTGATGTATCTGGAAGGGTCAACTGATATCGGCCAGAAGATGGAAGAGGAGCTTAGCCGGAATGCGGGCTATCTCACGGATGAGGGGCGCGTTTCCGCGTTCAATCAGAAAATGAATGATGGGGGGTTCTTGAACTGGGACACGGTCGAATACGGGCAGAAAGTAAATCGAAAGTGGTTGATTGGGAAGTATGATGTCGGAGACGTCATCTTCCATAATCCTTGGATGGTTCATGCCAGTTGCAAGAATAAGTATCCACAGAGACGTATGAGATTGGTGACTGATCCGAGATTTGTGGATTCTACAAAGCCGTGTGATGAGGTAAGTTAGTATTTTATTAGGGCTTACACCATATTGCTGACCTCTACCTTTAGCCCTGGATGAAAGTTTTTCGACCACTTGATGGGTTGTGATGGCTCAATGGCTCCCACTGCGTCACGCAGTAAGGTGGAAGGCTGCAATCTTTCCCTCAGTCATTTGATATATTATGAATATTGCCTCTCTAACGCACTTTACATCTTGGCCAGAGAGACCAACCAGCGGCTAGTACAGCCTTGTAAATAAGATTTACACCAACAGCTATAAGGGCTGGTTGAATTTAGTAGGCCATGAACCAGACCTGTACGGCATTGCGGCGTCGATATACCTAGTGGGATCCACCGTAAACAGTAGGTAATTGTAGCACAGGAGTGATGCGTAGCAAGGTGACAGACCATCTCGCATCCGAAGGGTTCGAACTTTGTATAATTAAATATCCAAGAGCGGCCTAGGATCATCCCTACAATGGTATCAGCTGACCTAGATCGACTTGGGGTACATCCTTCACCTGACTGCCTTCAAGCCCTAATTGAGCCGTATCAACACATCACATATATAATATTATCTCGTCACCGGTAGATATCATCCCTGATGGCCTGTTGCCGACCGTAATCCAGAACGTCCAGACGCTGGTAGATGGCGCATGGTGCACTTCTACGTTGCAGTCGCATTATGGCGTCACATATCATTTACATCCCGTCCAGCAGGTCTTTCCATTCCTTGCCAAAGATAGCAGTCCGAAGTAGATCAACAAGCTGATTGGGTAAACTGCAGCGGTGGTACACGAAGACGAACAGGCTAACTCGGCTTCAGCAACTCTAAAGACCTCATAGATGATGGATGTTACGCGTGGGGCGTCTGTGGGCTTGTCAAGGGTCTTCCTCTCTCTTCGCCCATAATATGGTAGCGGAATGGGGGCCTGGTGGTCACAATTGGTATTGTGAGTCGTACTGAAAAGGCCAAGCGCTGTTTTGGTGTTCTATCGGAGGTGTACCATCAAGGCAACGCAGTCACCGCTCCTTTTATTAGAACTGGAGGCCGAATATTGGCTCAGCTCGGGGGCCAGGGTCCATAATTAGTTGTATTGTACATGAGACAATTTTAAAGTCGGGTTGCGGGTCTAGTGAAATGTATATGCATACATAAGCCTAAATACAAATCCGGTGAGTATGTATACCTATGACCTATGCGCGTATGTGCTACGCGGGCACTACATGGATGTAGAGAAGTAAAAGCTGAACTAGCTCAGCATTGGCGAGGAAAGAACTAACGGATACAAGCATCAGGTATACGCATACGTATAAACTTGGATGCATGCATGGTGGCGCATTACTGTATTGGCATATGTAGGTGTGGAGCTGATCCAGGTCATAGAGCGGATATTGATCCCAACTCTGTATACAAAATTCGCCCCCAACATTCACACAGCCTACCTTGTACGCTGTCAACAAATTAAATTGCATGTCATAGTCAGCGCTCATTCTAGCTTGCACGCTACTATAGTTTCATCAGATTGGCATGCCGGTCTACAAGTATGGAACCTACCACCCAATGCCTATCAGCTTTAGGATTCCACCCACATTAATGCTTGGAGTAAGTAAACTTGAATCGAAGGTCTTAATGTAGATAAACCGTGTACCAATGGGAGATTTATGAGAGTTGACAAGATCCGGTTATAAAGAAAAGGTTATATATCCCAAACCCCTCACTGGTGGTTTACAAGTATCCGTAATCGTGTTGGCATTAGGACAGAGTAGCTTACTGGGCACGTTGATTGGATGAGTGATATTTCTGTCCATCAAAGCCGACAAATATAGTTTGGTTACACTTAGGGGCTGTTTGACATCAAGTCAAAGTAAGATTAAAACGACAACTTCGCAAACGTTGATTGTGGATGTTTCATTTCCAGCTCCCATGAGCAACATGGTATTTTGTACCATGCTCGGCGGTGAGATTAGGCTTGCCCGAGTCCTGTCATGAACGGATTCCAGCAAGAAAGCATCATCAAGGATCTTCGGTCAACCCTGATATGAGGTGCTTATCTTGGGTCTTGCGAAAACAGTGGCATTCTCCCATGGTGTCCGTAATACCCGCATGGCACAGGATAGAAAGGTATCTCCGCGGGAACCGGTAATCCATTTATTGATGTTGGATGGTGTAACGCATGTTGTAGATCTCCTTTTAGTATAGAGGAATCATCAAAAGTGCTAGATTGACTTGAGATATCCTTGGTCAAACCTGGCGCAGCTGACCACCAAGACGGGCATCTCTGCAAGGGAGATTTAGTGAAGTTTGAGATGTGATAGCTGAGAGTGACGTCTCCCTATCACATTGGGAATATAACCTAATCTTGCATTGGCCAATTATTGCTGGTACAACCACCTATAGCTGCACGTTCCCGAGCCCTATTCGATGGGTCTACGACGGCACAATGTAAGGGAGTCAATAATACGCTGAGCCGCAGGAATGCCAAGCAGTTGTGTCTCGTGTTCCCTTTTAAGTACAGAGTCCACAGATTTGCATGTTGTGTAACGTGGTGCGCCTGCACCCTGCACCTGATTGCCCATGCCCTAGATATTTGCATCCTCACTTGCTCCGTAGAAATGGCTAGATTGGGCGTCCCATGCAACTTGATGCGAGCTATCTTCTTCATTGGACGTGTATAAGCCTAGTTGCCTGTCTTAGGCTTAGGCCGTCTCGTAAACTCAAGTGACTCGTATAGACTGGCTTCTGATTTTGGCCGAATGTTTAATCCTTTTCCTCCCCAGGAATCAATGTCTCAGCCCATATCGCTGGAGAAGAAAATTGATTGGATAGACCTGTCCCTTGTATAGGAAGCCACATGAGGGATTTTCTAGTCGGGTGTGAGAGTTTTGTTTCTGGGCGGGTTACTATGGAGAGGCATAAATATAAATAAGTGTAATTTGCCTGACGTGTTCTTCATTCATAACTAACCAGAACCAACCAGACTCACTGATCTCAGATTTCCCTCTTAAACTAGAAAGAAGGCTGAAAGGTTTCAATTGTTCATTCCGCATTTCACAATGATCAAGTCCGTTGCACTCCTCGCTCTTATATTCTCTGCAGCAATCGCTGTACCAACCCCAACGGAACTTGTGCCTCGGGCCTGCACTACTCTGGCTCCTTCTATCATTGATGTCCTGGATGCCGCAAACCCAAACACTCCGAGCCCCGGCCAGCAATTTACCCTCGAGCGCAGCGGCTCTCCTCTGAAGAACAACAAGATCGCTGCGCTGACCTTCAACAACATCCCAGCCGGCGCAACAGGCTGTAGACTTGAGCTTGGATTTCCCCCGCTGAGCGAAGGCCAAATCGCCCCCAGAGACATCCAAGCAGACATCTGGTCGACCGATCCTTGGGACAGCAGCTCGTTGCCCACCTATAACCATCAGCCAAATAAGAGGGAAATGGTCGCAACCACTACCTTCCTGAAGGGACCAACCCCACAGGCCAGCCATACTGTGTTGGCATCGAACACATGCTCATCCACCATGAGCTGGCTGGCACTGTTGAGTGAATGGCAGAACTTCCCCGGGAGTGTCAACTTCCAGAATTCCATTGGTAACGGGGCAGAATTTGGGTTTAGTTTGGTCTTCAATTGTTGAGTGTTGGCTGGCCAAAGTTGAATATTGCCTTGCGTGAACAGGAATGCTAATCTGTCCCTGGTGCTGCTTGAGCAACTCTTGGCTTACATTCGTACGCGGACGTTGTACATGTTTTCTGTAATCTTGGCTCTCAATATGTTTTCTCTTCTTGATTGGCGACAGTATAAGCTTGCTGTTAGTTGTAGTCGCTCATTTATCTTTTAGGCCTTTGGAATACTATCTTCGATTTCTCTTGCCAATTTGGTGCGTAGATTAGAAGTCAATAGCCCCCTGTAAAATGTAGCCAGCTATAGGAACCAGGAGCCCAGGTGCTGACCAAACTCTGCCAGTTGTAGATAATTTTATTCGAGCAAAGCATGCAGCGGCATTTGATTATCAGTTTGAGGGGTAGCTCGAAGCGAGATTACTTATCACACCGCGGAGGTTTTCACACACATCATGATAAATGGCTTCCATTGTTGTAGAAATGGCAATCAATCTGGTAGGAAATATCAGCTCCCCTACTTTCGGTTGTCCAACGCGTTTCATTCTTCCTCTGGGATACGTATTTGGGTCTTACGGCTCATTACCCCTGAAAGATGTTGGTCTACAAGAAGGAGTATCAATTGACCATATGTGTCAGATTGCCCTGAAGGATCCCGGCCAACAATGACCACCTTCGCGATCGTCCGCTCAACATCTTTCCAGTTAGAAGTTTGGCCCCTGTCACTATGGGTTTCCACTCCTTGATGATATATGGTAAATTCTGGACGGCCAAGGGCCCTATGCGCCGTAAAGTCCGGTCCAGATGTGCTACACCAAAATATCAGCAGGCTTGGCCACATAGTGTCAGCAAGCAGGCTGTCAGGAATATCCGAGACACTGATTTCTTTGTTGCTGTCAGCTCTCCATAATAGCTCGGTCTTCTCTAATTAAAGATCTAGGGGATCTGAATCTCTGCGAAACTCGGTGTTTTGATGAATTCGAAGCACCCTTCCGTCCTCGGACCGCATATGAAACTCAAGCCAGGCGTGGTTTGAATCAAGATAATATTCGTGTCGCTGCGGGTGATTTCCACCAATCCACCCAACCCATGACTAGCTTGGAAACATAACTTTCACAATATGCCCGTCAGATAAACGAAATGGACAAAGTTCTATCCTTCGTGCAGCATAGGTACAAAATCCAAGAAAACACCATGCCTAGAAACGGTTTAGGTATTCACCCGTAAATTCTACACTTGTGGATCGCTCGAACGCTCGTAGAACGCCACTGAAGGCATCTAGACCTTCGCTGGGATATCTCAGATTTCTCCGAGAATAAAGCTGCGAAAGACAGCCGTACGCCGTATCGAACTTTCTTACAGAAGATGACCAAAGCCTGTCAAATTCGATCTGCTTGAAGGCCGAGTGCCATTGCACAATAACAGAAGCTCTTGGCAGCTATCTTCACACCACCTAGCTTCTCTGCATTCCCCGTACACCTAATCCGATGTGAAGATGAGCAGGCGTTGCTAGAGAACGGCTTCTTGAAATGCCCATACACGGACGCACCACGTCGAGCCTTGTAGAAAGCCGTTTCGTGTTGGAGATTCAATAAGGGGTTCTAAGTTCAGTAACATCCATTCCCCATTTACTTTAAAGGGCTGCTGCATTTTATGGAGGGTTCCAGGTCGAACACCGGGAAGACCGCTAAAGGTATCACTACCAGCAGCGCCCACGATTGTGGGTGTTGCCAAACCAAACATAGAATCCGTTCTGGGTATAAGATCCATCTTATCGGCCAGGGAGTCTTGTATAATGCAAAAGCTGTCCACTCATAGGTATTTTTCACAAATTGCTCTCGTTATAGACAGGGCATCTGCAATGGTGGGCGGCACTACATCATGCGAAAGAGCCCTAGCTCCTTGAACCTGGCTAATATATCAAACTGAAGCGATGGAAAGGGTCTGTTTCCCCAGACATAACTTAGAGCGATCCAAGAAGCTTCGCTGACACTCTCAAAAATGTAGAACGCTCAACATCAATGAGGCGAATAACGGGTGGCCTTGGGCTAGCATATCTATGGCAACGATCCCCATTCTTGGTAGCACAATATTCTTTTCATCCTTGAAAGAGGCGGCTGTCTGCAGGTAAGGGTAGGCCCCTTCTCGTGTAGGGCTCATGATGTGGCCACACGACTGGACGAGTTTCAGATATCTCCGAAATGGTGGGAGGTTTCCCGTCGCATCTCTGAAATCTAAACCTGGGCCCTATCAACCAGAGATGTTGTCCGAGTTGCGTGAGATGAAGCTAATTTCACAGTACCAGAAATTGAATACCATGTTCATTCCTGCATATTCTTTCAATGTTTTATAAGGGACAAGCACATGGTATATATAAATTCTCGTATTATCTAGTGAGAGTCTCGCCGATGGCCCATATCTCTGTCTTGTCCAGGCCATAAAGAGGTCAAGGAGCATGCGACAAGAGCAGCGACGCTTGGACTGTACAACCAACTCTTGAAGTCTAAAGTCCATAAGCTCCGACATCGATTCAGGTGCGGATACTATCAATGTGGAGAATTCATGGCAAAAAGAGCATTACATGACACTACGTTGATGTGTGTCATGAATAGACGTGTGGATAGGTTCAATACTGAGGTGAGCCCGGTGGAGGGGCTGTTTGTGAGCTGGCATGTATTGCTTCCCGCCTCGGGAAGACAATCCACCCGCCGCAAGACCACCCCACCGGTGAAGCGTGAGACAACATGGTCCTCCAGTCCTGAACTCGTTCCCCAAGAATATAACGCCCACACTTCTCCTCAACCGGCTCCCACATCGCCGCCTGCAGCTTTGCCTTGGCCCCCACGATTATAGCAGATTGGTCTAGAGTAGCATACATGGCGATGTTCGTCCACTCGATTTGACGATAAACACAGCTCCAAAATCAACCGTCCAGTTCATGATTACATGACTCGGGCTTACTTATATGGAGGATTCGCCAAGGCACTGTAGTCCGTAGATTCGTCCATTGCCGCTTAGGGACACAATAGCTGGAAATCTACTTATCTTGCTTTCGTCAGTTAGTGTCGCCTTCATTTGCTCTCTTCCTTTCTTTCCACTCATTTGGCCTTATTCAGAGAGTAGTAATATGTTCCGTCTGGTTTCATAACGCTGTCAATAGCTTGTCGACGCGGCAATTAAAGTGAAATTAAGTGGGCATTTGGCCGTAGCAGCAACACTTTACCAAAGTAATAGCCAATGCGAATAAACAGGCCCCAAACCTGTTATATGGCGCAAGAAATACGCCGATGATAATCACCTATCCGCTCTGAAGAATGCAAAAGCACACCTGACCAGTACTAACCACCCTTGTCTTGATAAGCTATTTTAAACGTAGTCCATCTTGCAAAACAAGCCAAGGGAAGCATTAGCACTAAAATCGTTGCCAAGACCACCGTTCGCCCCAGAGATTTTATTCCCAAGCCTTCCATAGGCAGCCTACTCTATTCAATATAAGGTTCAGTAATGACTACCTATAAAATCGAAAGTTGTTATGTTACCGACGCGGCGCGTAACAACATGGCCGCTTTCTTGGGGACCCGACGTGGATCCTGCTGTGGCCGAAGGACATTACACAGGGGTTTATCATTGAGCAGGCGACGAAGCGTCAGCCGCGTAACCTCCTGCGCGACCTTGAGAAAGTTCGGCATGAGAAGGCTGATGATCCTGTCACTGGTACTATTGTCGGATACGCGCGTTGGATACTTCCGTCTGGCATGGCCGGCAGCACAGGTGCCGGATATGAGTGCGGACGAGAGCAAACGGTATCAGGAACCGGCGGAATCAGCCCGGTGGGAATGAGAGGCGATATGGATGCTCTCGAAGACAGGAATTATGGGGTGATAGACCGCATATTAGCGGAGAAGCCACACATCAGTAAGTGCACAATGTTGAGCTGTAGTACATGGATCACAGTACACGGAGCGGTTTCTGACCCCATAGTTAGAGCTTGATTATATGGCTGCTCATCCCGGAAATAAGGGCAAATGGATCGGTACGGCGCTTGTCACCAGCGGGATGAGGTATGCTGAGATGGCCAGAGCTCCTATTTTCTGCATGGCTTTCAAAGCAGAATGCGGCGTCTATGCGCGGCTTGGTCGAGATACTTATACAAGATGATTCGCAGTACGGAGGGGCTGGAGAATATGGAGCGTACTTTATGATGTATGATGTCCCTCAGAAGGTTTGAGCTACGGTTAGCGGTGGTGATTTATATTGGTCTACTTCTTAAGACTCCCGTCATTGAGCCTCCCTATAATCTACAGTTAAGAGGTAATATTGTCCCGTATAGGGGTGAACTTTCAGGGCTATTAGATTGCTCAGCAGTCGGCGTTGTTTCTAACAACTATGCTTTTGCGAGATTTTTTCGTTAGAATATGGATTGACTCACGACTCAGTAGACACCAATGCTGCTCCCCAAGTCTTCCCTCATCAGTATTGTTTGTGGTTGAGTATTATCCATCAGTTCAACCATGAATCAACTCTATAACGCTATGGACTATGGTCAACCGGCACCGGGATTGGTTACCCCAATAGCGATATAGAACATTTCGATAATTCAGCGGTGATAGTGGAGAATCCTGACAATCTAGGTCAAATTCTTGAATTTACTACCGATAACCATATGTATAGTACCCTGAATATAATCAGAGTATGCCACAAGGGATTGTTAATAGAGGAGATTGTAGAAAGCACAGCAAAAGCAACAACAGCCGGGACATCCCAGCCCAAAATAGCAACCTTACAACGGTTGGACTATTTTTCCCAACTAGTGTGCCCAGTCCAGAGGCCTTGTCCTGTATCAAAACAGGAGGCATTTATCTACAAGACATTAGTTGGTATTGACACCTCACATTACACGTCCGATTGAGGCCGCTTCCATGCAAAAGGAATAAGTTTATATCTAAGCACAGGATTTCTACTCGCCGCTGACCATCCTGGTCAAGCCAATTACAGCCGAGTTTTGTCCAGGCAACTATCTCCGATTCTCGCTAAATTGATCTCTATGTTACGCTCTGTACTCTCCACGGTGACTTTTCTCAGCTTGCGACAGACCAGGCAAGATTTCTCCAAAAGATAACCATAGTTATGGATATCGTCCGAGGCCGCTCGCACCCTTAGTACATGCCCCTTCGGGATTTCATTCCCTACCTGATTCATGGTGGAGACATGAATCATGTCCTCTATGATTGGTTTGCAAGAGTCCATTAGCGACGTAATCGGCGACTTGGCAATTGCGATGAGGCATCACAGTATGTAACATGAATTGGGTAGGTTCAAATTAAGGGCACAAACTGTCAGTTATTGTAGGTTATCCTGATGACTATATTTCAAGAGCACTAGCAAGTGTTTTATGGTCATCCTTCTAGAAAAGCACCCAGACAAGAGCCAGACTAGGAATTCTGCACTGCACTCCCGTTTGAGATCCCGTCCGCAATCCTGTTCGGATTCGGTTCCACATAGTCTACAACATTGTACTAGTTCATCAAACTATAAGCACCTTGCTTAGAGGGATACAGCGGCAAAAAGTGGTTCTAGAAGGGGCCGGCAGTTTTGCGTGCTCAATGGCACCATTAGGTGCTTGGCAATGGTACTAGTGATATATTAAAACCAGCGGATAATTGGAAACAATGATCTCTTATATGCCGAGGCTTGATACTGCACCAGAAGGATCGCAGGAGAGGATATAAATTGCTGTACTATGTTTTCATAGGTGTAGCATTGGACTATTGATGCAATTTCTCAAGGCCAGTTCTTTTGGACTCGGAAAAACTAGCAGGAGAAGTGCATAGCATTAGTTATCATATATCTATCAACATTAATGACCTCACTGTGGATCCCCCGCCTTGACTCCGCACTTCAGGGATAAATCAGCCGTACTATTCTATTCCTTGCCAAGGTCTCAACAGACTGACACAAACGACTCACATGGATGGCTGATACTTACGTTGGTATTCGTAATAATCTGTAGTCTCCGCGCAATAACATGCTCAGTGCCATAGAGCTCCCAGAGAAAAGATCGATGCCATGAAGGAGCGGTGTATGAAAAATAATGGAGTAATGATCGTCAGACAATGAGGGACTCTGAAACAAGTTTATATAGTCCCAGGATTGACCATCCAATCGGACTGGGACAATCAGAGACAGAGGCGAGAGGTTGAGATACTTCCTCTTCAGGGTAAAACAATGTTTCTCCCTAAAATAGCATGCTGAACAATATATAACCCGGCCAAACCACGCCTTCCATTGAAAACCATTCTCTCCGTCAAGCTTCAATCCATTCTACCTACAAACCCTTGACTCTCTTTGCTCTCAGGTTTCCTACCACCGTCACAATGAAGTTCTCCATTGCTGCTGCTGCTGCTGCCGCCGGTCTCCTCAGCGCCGTTAGCGCTGCCTCTCTCCCTGCTGCCTTCACCCTCGTTGCTGAGGGCGGTTTTACCGTTCTGACTGACGGCGGTATGTTCGTTTACTTGGTTTGCCACCACAGTCAATAGTTCACTAATATTTCCTAAGAGTACCTCTACTACGGTTTCAACAGTACCGACGCCAACCACAAGATCGCCATCTGTAAGCTCTCTCATCAAAAGATCAACAACAGTCTACTAACACCCTATTCAGTCCACGCCACCCCCGACACCGGGGCTGTTTCCTACACTGCGGAGGACCAGACACCTACCGGCTGGCAGAACCTGTACGTCGTCGAGAAGGACACCGCTCCTGTCGGCCTTACTCGTCCTCACTCCGGTGCCGTCCCCGAGGGCGCCAGCACCGTCGACTTCAGCGTCAACGACAAGGGCCTCTTCGCCCACGGCGGTAACGCTTATTTCGCCGTTGAGGGTTACGGTGACAACCCCGTCAAGACCGTCTACTGGTACGGTCGCCACAGCTCGACCTACCGCGCTGCCGACCTCTATGTTAAGGAGTTCAAATAGACGACTCCTCTGACATGAGCTTGGGCCATGAGACTGCGAAGTGGATTCGTCTTGCGACTGTGTTGATCCGGTGATTGTGCTGCAAGCGTTTCATTATTCGATCCTTTCTGAGTACTTAATATATTAGTATCTACTTTTTACCACAGATATACATATCATCATTCCGTCCAATTGACACATTCCAGGAATACTGGGCTCCACTTGGTAAAATATAATGAGATCATGACTTGGACCCGAGGAGTATCATAGGCAATATTCCCAAGGGAGAATGGCGTTTTATATGGGGAAGACTTGAAGCCATGCTTTAGCATCCAAGTTACTTATGTACAAGCATTATCAATTGGACCGAGCAACTAAAAATATCGTCTAGAAGTCATTCGTGACTGGTCAACAGTACCGCAAGACCAAACCCCTTGTACTAATCGACAGCTCCTATTGCGTAATTGTCTGCTAGTTCGGTTAAATAGAGGCTTGGCATGGATGAAATTCACTCATCCGGATGTTCCGAGTATATATATAACCCAGCCCGGAAAAATAGATGTGCAAAAATTGATGACCAGACTGGGGCTCGATCCCAGGACCTTATGCGTGTTAAGCATACGTGATAACCAACTACACCATCCGGCCGCCTGTTATGGTTCTTACTTTACCTTTTGTTATATAAGCAGTTCAAATTGGTTTGAAACAGTTTCCCTCCAAAGGATGTAGTTTTTGTTTCTATACAGAGTAACTTATGATTAAGCGCAATTATTAATTAGGATATGCATATTTCAGATTTTGCCACCTATAATTTGATGACATTGGGTAATCTATGAGTGGCTTGCAGCCAATCTATATAAACAGTGTAAACTGCACGTAATTTCTGACCGTGGAACTCTTGTGCTCTGGCGGTTGAGACTATTCAAAGATGTCTAGGTTGACATTCCACCCTCCCCAAGCTAGCATGTTGGAAATTTATATCTGTACTATGTATACACCATCCATCCTATTAAAGTAAAAGACGAATATGTGCTGCAATAATTCGCAAGGTGATGGCTGAAAGGTTCTTGTTCTCTTTTAGTATCAGGCATGTAGGGTAGAGATATAGTCTAAACAATAGGAAAATTTGCTAAAGAAACTTGAAACGAGACGAAATTTACCATAGCTCATCGTACACCAGCGTCTTCAAATAGTTAAATGAATAGGGCCCGAGCGGCCTTGTCCCTGATTGAGGCCAGGATCTACTTTCGCACCACACGTTAATGACCGATAGCCATGGTTGGTGGAGATACCCAGCTCCAGAGTGATTCATTCGTCAAGTCCTCATTGGTGTGCTTTTCAAGATTATCATATCTCATTGCTATAGGCGCGCGGAGATCTCAGAGAACATGGAAACCTCACCGGCTTAGACATGCTATCTAATTACCTTGTACGTGAAGGGTTACTGGAAAGCCAGTCGTAGGATGGAATAGAACAGGATTTCATCACTACTACCGGTCATGAACTATGTATGTACTGGTCGGCAATAGAGCAATTACATATGCTTGACCTTACAAGCACTACCAGCGATGTCCAACCTACAAGGCCATTAGTGGAGATATTCCAGCAACAACCCTCCCTCGGCTACCGAGCCAGACATGTAAGTGCCAGTCACAACGTAGATTTGCTCTACACAGCCACATGCTATCGACTAGCGCTGGGTTAGTTTCGGCAGTGCCGAGATTCGGTAATTCAATTTATGCAGAAAGTGGAGGAGTATCAAGTTATCAGCGGACGCTGCTCCGCCGCCAAGAACCTGGGCAGGGTTAGTCTGCGTCCGGAAATTGCTGGTTTCCGAGTCTTGGATATTACTCCCAAGAGCTGTTATTATGTGAGGGATGCATTGATTGGCGGAATACACTCAACCTGGGCCTTGATATAGGACCGACTGTCTTCAGGCTGAGACCATGGATGAATGTCAAACGAGTGTCTATCAAGTTTTTGTCTCGCCGCCGGCGAATTACCGCTATAGGATTAGGCCTTGATAGCAGGGAAGAAAAAGACACGGCTATATAAGGATCCCTTATCTAAATCATTGCTCGTTCACTCATCTCATCGATACTTACTCTACGACAGTAAAGATTAATCAGCCATGCTCTCGCAGATTGCTCTCCTTCCTGCCTTCCTCCCCATGGCTCTGGCCTGTCTGGGCTACGAAGGGGGAGTTCCGACACCAACGGCTCACCACTCTAACAGCGCGGTGATTGAGATTGCAGCCGGCGAGGTCTTCGATGCTGGCTGGGCCAAGTATGATCGTGGATCTGGTGCGTGCGGCGGTCAAACCGAGGGAGACTGGAAAGACGCAGTCTTCTACCTCCACTCCGGCGCCACCCTGAAGAACGTTATTATAGGCGCCGATCAATCTGAGGGTGTTCACTGCGATGGTCCTTGTACCCTTGAATACGTCTGGTTCGAAGATGTCTGCGAGGATGCGATTAGCATAGTATGTCCTTGAATCTATGAGTACGCCTCGGTTGCCTCCTAATAAGATATATAGAAAAACGACAAAGCGGGACAAGAGACGTGGATTATCGGTGGTGGAGCATACCACGCTTCTGACAAAATTGTTCAGCACAACGGTTGCGGTACGGTGAATGTAAGGACGCTCTGTGATTATTATCCTTTGCCGGAACTGTCACTGACAGCCAAAGATTATCAACTTCTATGCCGAAGACTACGGCAAGGTGTACCGGTCTTGCGGAAACTGCTCCAGCCAGTGCAAGCGGAATATCTATGTCGAAGGAACCACCGCTCGGGATGGTGGTGAGGTTGTTGGTATTAACCAGAGCTTTGGTGACACTGCTACCCTGGTTAATGTTTGCACTGATGCTGATCACCCTTGTGTTATGTATGATGGGTGCGAGGGTAACTGCGAGCCCAGCAAGGTTGGATATTGCTCTGGGTAAAAGAGGTTAAGAGATAGTGATACTCGGCATAACATGGACGGGTAGAAGCGCGATGTCTACAAAGTATTAGAGATAGCCTTCACCAGGAAGATGTACAGTGTTTGCGTCTATTTCACTTGTTGGTTTAAAAATATGCAGTTCACTATTATATAACAATTGTACCATTGCCTTCAGAACACGATATGTTTGCTCTCGCCATACTAATTGCGAATCAAATTGGCTTAACATATCATAGATGGTTGCGAGAAAAATCAGCCGAAACTTGCCGCAGTTGAAACCAGACTTTACTCAACACATGCACCCGAGGATTGTTGGTTGTCGTTCGGTTGCCGAGATGAGAGCTTCGAGCGTTAGATGCAAGTACGCTCAACACGGTGTGACGGATCATCCATAGCTGATACCTCTACTCTTTAATGTCCACGGCAAAATGAGCCGATCGTATTTGATCTATTACGCTGCTCACAAAAGCCTAAGAGAGAAAGGGAAAGCGTGAGTCATGTTATCTAGTGCGATCAATATAGACTGTGACTATGCTCTGATACCAAGACACCAGTACCTCACTAACAATATCGTCTGCCCAATTGGAAGTGATGGGCTAGAACCTAGTTGAGATTTATGCTCTTTAAAGAGTATCTCAAGAACCTATGGGCTTCCACGACTGACTGTCATTAGAGATGTCTTTACAAAGCTTTAGTACTTGTTGCCAACAATAACACGGCGATATAGCCCAAATCGACTGTCTGTTCATTCTAGTTTGCCAAAAAAAAAAAGAAAAAAAAAAAAAGAAAAAAAAGAAAAGGTATCCATATGAACTAATATATTGAGTGATGCGAAATGTATAGATAGTATGTCCTTTGAGGCTCGTGCCTAGTAAATAACTGGGCAAGCACTAACAATCAGGCTAAGGAATGCGCATCATCCCGTTGCCATCCTCTCCGACATAACCTTTCCCTCATCCTCCACCACCATTTTCTTCACTTTCTTGCACACATTAAGCCACATCAAGCCAGGCCGGCTGTAGTGGCCCGTTACATCGGACCCAGCCAGGGTAGCCAGGGATCCATCATTTGGGAAAGGCAATGAGTTTCGCTCTGTTCGTGGCTGCCTCAGCAACTAGCGCGCATGATTTTCTGATGCCTAGGTGCTGGTCCACCCACGCTGGCTCGGCTTGAGCCACGGCGACACGGACAGTATCTGTCAACATACTTGGGGCGTTACAGAGTGAATATAAGTTGTGTTTACAGTCTACCACATCAGGTTACTTCCCCGCAATCAGAAGTGGTCGAGCTTGGATCAGTGTTAGATAAGATACCGGAACTTACTTAGTTTTAATCAATCCCACTAGTCCTACTTAGTAGTACTGTATGTACTTTACAGAATCATAGCAATGAAAATCACAAGAAATCAAGGATCAAGTCCTTTCAGAAATGTACTAAGACTAGCCTGGAAAAACTTTTGACGACAAGCCCTTGCAGATGTGGTAGCACCTCGACGGACTATCACTGGCCCGGCTACCTAATTGTGGAACTAGTCCGTACAGAGATACTTGGCCCTTTGGGGGTCTTCTTTGGTGTGGCTCTCTCCAATTGAAATGCTCGGGACACAATGTCCCATAATATGCGGATGATGGTTTCATGCTCCCCTGAGACCCACGACTTATGTGTTGAGGTATACTAGAGATAACGACGGATTGGCCACTGTGACGCGTGCATGCATGTTGGGATGGTTGATATGGAATAAACAATGGCCTTTCGAAATCCATGGATTTAGCTTCAATACTGGCCGAAGAAGTCAATACAGATGGGAAAAGGGAGGGAGGAGATCTCCACAAGAATGCAGCACTATATGAATATAAATGAATTAAGGCTTGTGATCATCTTTTCCCAAGTTATATCTCGAGACGGTCATGCACTCTCCGAATCGACCCCAGTAAAGTGCGTTTAACTTCCTGAAATACGATATCGTTGTCAAGCCGGTAAACTCCAAACGCATCATCAATCAAAACTTCCCAACATTCGTACCCGGTGGAAGTGAAGGCTCGAGAGCGACGATCATATACGAATTTATCATAGAGGACATTATCAGCAAGGTGTGCTAAATGCGCCCGCAGCTCCCATGGATACTGAAATGGGCCGGGAATTTCAATGTAGACCCAAAATTTTATCATTCTGGTGGTCTGCTCGATTTGATTGATAAAACTGTTGGTGTAGGTAGTTGATAAAGTCAGTATTGTGGTGATATGACAAGCTCGAGATGATTTGAGAAAGGTAGTGAGTGAGTAGCTGAGATTATAGTTGAACAGGATTTGGAAGGGATTTAAGACTGGAACCCTTACGAAGATATGTCTTGTCAAAGAATGTGAAGTTCTGTATTCTCATATATGCTCTGAAAATATTTGCCCTAGGAGGGGAGGTAAGTCCCTATTGGGGCGGTTGTTTATTCCTAGCATGGTCTGGTCTTTCTGGAAGTTACGTGTTTGGACGTACGATGGTATACAAACCACCGCTTTTCTCCTAATGTCTGTTTACATTGTGGAAGTAGTGGCTCTTTCGGAATCTTCTTCTCCTTATGGGGTTGACTCTCCGGGTTTTCCTCGTGCTCAGTTTGTTGTGCCCCTTCGTGTGGCAGCATGTATGTAAACAATAGATGCGCATAAAGATGTCAATGAATGGCATTTAAGGCCATTCTTGGATAAATACTCGCCGATCTTCACCTCTGCACGTAGATTGTCTCCCTTATGTATTCCTCGGCACACATCTGTATGCTGCTCCTTTTTTGCATCTACGGAGGATACGTCTTGTGCTCAGCCAACTAGACGGTACCTCCTTTGCCCCGTTACCATGATTGCAATGAATACAACCACGTCAATGATCTCATTATCAGCTTTCCAGGAAATGTCAAGGGGCGGCGGGCAAAGTTGATTAAGCGGTACTGTATGTTGCGAGCTGGTTACCAGGGAGCCGTTGGTAATCTACTAGCGCGATAAAGACAGAGCTATTACTCGCCTCTTCTTGGATACCGCAGGATTTACGCGTTTATCGTAGGCCCTGATTGAGCTGCAGCAGGAGGCCACTTATTTTTAGTTTTTGATTCTGAGTCGTCACAAGCTTTATCTCAAGACGGCCCACGGCGATGAAAGTAGGAAGCTGGTTGAATGAAACCGTTATTATACAAAACTATGTAGAGACGTCTTGTTGTTTCATTCAATCAGTTTGACCAAGAATGAACGAACTGTTTAGATCAATGAACGTGCTTTATCTGACTGTATCACAGAGAGGAAGTAGTTTGGACCACAAAGCCCCGAGGCAGCTTCCGAAGACATCTTGTTTTAGGTCTGTTTCGATCCAAAAAGGATTGACTATTGGGACTTGTCAACAAGAGACTTATAATGAAAGTATCCTCTCTCCGGAGGAGCTACTTGACTTGTTAAGCTGTCACCTCTGTGAAGGTCCTCATGAAGACTTCTATGGACATTTATCCTCATTCAAGGCATTTAGTGCCACCCCTCAATCGATTCCACCTTTGAAAATTCCATGTATTCCATCGACGACCATAGCAATTATCGAATCATCGTCTCGCCCATACCGACTAATGTTTACTGCATAAAGCATGTTCTCCAGACTCCTTTTCATTACCACGGTCTGCTTCTATTGATTCAAGCTGCGGTGGCAGCCTCCTCTCGTCGCTCGTATAATCTGTGATATGGTTATGTTAGTCTCCTGCGTATTTGCCGATCGGCCTATCGCGAACCCAAAGAGCAAAGTCCTCAATCTTCGGGTTATCGGCCTCAAGACGGAGACCCGGGTGAATAAGTATGCTGCCCGTGACGTCTACCTTAGATTATCTTTAATAGTTCATGAGGCCCGACTATTCCGCATGAAGGCCTCGTCGACACATCGAAAAATGATGTGGTGAGATTAGTAGTGTGGAGGTTGATGGCTGTTAGGGCTTACTCTAGGCTTGTGCTTGATAAGTTAGATCTAGAATTTGCCCAAGGATATCATAGACTTTTGCCCGAATATACGGTAGAATGGCTTAAAAAAAAAAGACGGAGAATGCAGTCCATCATAACCGTGAACGACTCTACACCATCGCCGTCTTTTCCCTTTTGGGCGTTTCAAAATCATTTCCATATTAAGCTCTATAGTTTCGTTTATATCTATGGGGTATATTTAGGAGGACCATCAGTATGTCCCTTCTTTGGCGCCGGGCCATCTTCTTCATCTGAACTCTCCGTAACCTTCGAAGATAACGAAACAGCAATACTCGACCGAGTTTCAGAATGCCGTGAAGAGTGCCTTTTCTCATCCCTTCCAGCCACATAATCCGCGTAACTTATAAAAGACGGTCCAGCATCCAGCTCAGCCGGCCCAGATCCCGGCAGCTCAAACACAGCATGAGAGGTATCCGACGCCATTTCATACCGATGTTCACCATCGCCATAGAGCTCGCCTGGCCCATGAGACGGAGAACCGAAGCTACTTGCAGTATCCTCTAATCTAGTACTCTTTTTTTCGCTTACCGACCGACGCTTTCGTAAAAATACGAATACCCCGGCCCCGATGACTAGGATGGCCCCAACTGCCGTACCCACCCCAATTCCCACTTTGGCTGCCGTCGAGAGCCCCTTTTTCCCAAACAGTTCGTCAAATGACTTGTCAAGGTAGGAGTCAATGCGGACAATATCCTTGCTGTCATCGGAAAGAAGATTCTCGTCAAATTTGGCTTGGTAGAGAGAGAACTGCTTCTTCTCGTAGTCGACTGCTAGGTACGCTTCTTGGAAGAAGACTCGGCCGATTCGTTGTTTTTCGTTTGTGGACGTCCTCTTGATGGGGATATAGGGGAGTGAAGACTTGGAATATTTGGATGGCAGATTTGGGAATGGATAGGTGAGGGAATGGTCGAAGGCTTGGAAGGGGAGGGTTATATTCACACTTTGGGAGGCATCGGGGAAGTCGGAGATTGAGAATGTGATTGACAAGTCCATGGATAGAAGACGCTGTCGAAGTGATGTATCGTTTCCATACGTATAAAAGCCTAGATCATCATCATAGGTAAGATTGAAAGCCTGACCAAAGGCATCAAAGGCGTTTCCCGGCAGCCATATATAGCTGGTCGAGGAGTCGAGGGTGTACAGAGCATTGCCCCCCGGTTGGGAAGGTGTGATTTGGTGGTTTGTAAGAGTGCCCTTGTCATCACCTTCTGTTCCGGACGAGATTGAGATGGTATTCAGTGAGACAACAGGAGTCAAGCTCCTGGTCAGATGAAACGTCGCATTGTTCGCACTATATCGCTCCTGATCTACACCCCCAATCGTAAGAGATGCCGGAACGCCTTTCAATCCTGGGTTTGTGCATTAGCGAGAATCTCACAAATGCCCTCTGTTGGGGTTGCATACGATAGTGGGCGCCAGCAGTGTAACCATAGGTCCCACTGGGAGAAATACTGGTGTTGAGATACGCCTGTTCCATCAAGGAGAAGGTGGAGAGGTCAGCATGGTCACTTGAGCCTACGGCGAGTCCGAGCAATCCGATCCACGTATCCGTATCATTAACAACGGCAAGTTGGTTCTCGTATATCTCTGTAAAATATGCGACTATCGTATCTGTGCCGTAGTTTGCTTGGATGGAAGAATCCCTCGAGCTAGGGCGTTGACCTTGACTGAACCATGTCGAGGATTCATTGGTGCGAAAGAGCCCGCCTCGTTTTTTCGAACAATCCGATAATGAAGCTGGCCTTTCCTGTCAGGTGATGATGATTTGAATCGTCTCCAAGGAAGAGGAGTGTTGAGGTAGGGAAGCACGAATGAGAGTACGTACAGTTTTCGCAACCCTTTCCTCCGATAAGCCACGTATTCCTGTCTACAGTACTTGGAAACAAGGATACTGTTGTGAGGTCTGTACCGACCCAGACGTTCACGCTGAATAATTGTCAGTTTATCGGGGACAGGAATGCCCAAAAGTACCCCAGCTTACGCGCTCCAAGTTCCATCATTGCCGTACCTGCGCCGAATCCGTGATTAGCACGAGGAGGCAATCGGTATATGTAGCATAAAATAGAAACATACCAGTCCACACCGGGTTCGAACGAGAGAGGGGTGGATTCCGGTGCTGCCTGAACTAGACAAAGAGGCAGTCCGACTAGAAGAGCTACGCCGGGAAAGCTCTTCATACTAATTGCAAATCAGGACATTGATTGCAGGCAACTCTCCGAGACGGTGCTTGATTAGTGATCAAGATGCTCTAGCTCAGATTGAGAGCTAAAGAACAGCGTAATGGGGATCTTGGGCCCTAAAAGAAAGGGGTCTGGGCAAAGGGTGGGGTTGGAACCGCGGATCCAGACCATCTCGCCAAGCATTTATCGACTGAAATTTCCTAACCACAGCCCTATTAGGAAGGTCGATACCTGGGAACTAGCAAGTCGATGTCATTCGGGGGAATGGTTAAATCGAAAAGTCCCAAGACTGTCGGGGACCTCGACCCCCCTTTTGACCACTTGCAGGTCTTGAAGAGCTTCGAGTGCGGTGTTGCGTTGCTTAGACTAGATAGCAATCTTTAAGTGCTTACTGTCGTCTTCCACCTTGAACCCTTTTCTATGGTCACTGTGGCTGAGAAATGGCGTATATCTCCTAAGCCGACTCCAGGTAGGCAGCAAGCCTTTTCCAGGATCATTTACGTTTCGAGATGATGAAGGCCCACTTCTGCATGGATCAAAGGCCACTGAACAATCAAGAAAATCTAAGCCAAGGCTGAGTAGCCATTTATATGATCCCTCAGCCACGGAATTAGACCATGGTTTGCCAAGATTCAGCTCGCCACGATCGTTCAAATCTCCACAGTAAGTTTATGACCGCTACGATATGCGCTCGTATATCATATCATATACGGAGAAGCATCAACGTGATAATCTCTACTCGCCGTTGAACCACATAGAAAGTCTTTCACCCGCCAAATTCGTTGGCTACCTAGGAACTACTTACTAACAATCATTGGCCGTGGTTAATGTGGAGGAAATCTTAAAAGGGATTGATTCGCTACTCTTGGCCTCGATAATTAAAATTGTTCTCGTCTTGTTCCGCATGCCGTAAGAATCCTAGGAAGTCATATATTGTATCTCGGTAAAAACCGCCGGAATCGTACAATCAACAACACCCACAATCTTCCTTGCCTTACATTGTAAATATGTTCATACTACCTCATTTTATTCCCCCTGCCTGGCCTGATTGTATACTCTCCATTTCCTTCAAGGACCGGAGTCGGAGCATCTTATTGTACTGTACCAACCACGAGCCGCAGTGGCTGATCTGGTTGACGGGAAAATGTTGGCTTCCTCATTTTCACTCAATCCCGATAGCACTAGTAGGTGCAAGGCGATTTTTCACACCATCTCAGAACTGACATTCCCGTAGTCTCGTTACTGTAACTGCGCTAAGGGGATGACCCCATTAAGTATATATGCGCTGGCAACATCTGGATCTACCGTGTCTGGTGTCTGATAGCGGTATTTGGCCTTGAGTGGTTCAAGTATGGACTTTCTGACGTTGCGCAGTCTGATATCTTTCAAAATGTATATGGAATGCCAATCATCTCTCATCCAAGGCAGAGAAGGTTTCTCATCTTGGTATTGTACTCTATCGCTCTGACTCTGTTGTTTCTCATTTGGGCAACGAGTAGTTGTCATCCTTGGCTTCGGAAATACGCTCCGTTGGCGATGGTACGGCAATTTTACACTGTTAGATTCTGTTCTTCCTCAGAGTTTACTTGGTTAGTAGGGTAGGAGATGATACTGCCCCCCCCCCCCCACAGGACGATCCGAGTCGTTGAAAGACACCTAGGACGGAGGTCAATAAAGCCAAGGATTGAAAAGCGACTGGCCTTGTCCGCTGTAAGGCTATTAAAAGTTCATGAAACTGATACTCTACATTATACCCTATATCTGTCGTGATGAGGAAAAATATCTGTATATCTATGTAAAGCAAGGGTATCAGTCACCGTCTCACAATCTTCCTAGGAAACGGAATACATACATCCCCAAGCTTAGCAATAATCGGATACGACGCAATACACGTAATATTCATCACTACTCGAACCGCGCTCATGGCAGTGTTTCTTAAACGAACTTGTAGTGTATGGAACATAGACCTGGGTGGAATAATCGCCAAAGTTAATCGCAAGCGTTGCTATAAAGAAACTGAAGACGGTATACCATTAAGTCAGTAACAGCGCTATTTTTCTGTAATCTACCTCGTCCACCACATACCCAACAAAAGCCATATAGAGACCTTTCTTCGTCCATCCTTTGCGCAGTATTTCTGCGCTTTGCACACCCGCCTGAAGGCTTTGCAAGACTGACTGCTTTTCAACATCATCTGCGGAGGTAGGCCGTTCGATAACGTGGTCGCCAAACTTGCTCAGGTTACCGGGCTCTGACATTATATGAGAGGTGTGAGACGAGATAGAATCCTCTGTCTTTTTAGAGACGCCTGTGACGTCTCCCATAGCCCAGACTTTCAATGGAAAGCAGACTACGTTAAAGTAAAACCAGTAGCCGATAAGAAGGAAAAAATACATAGGGCCGAATGATACAAGACAAAACATCACATTATGTGCGCAGATCCTTCATTTAATGAGTCTGTCTACCTAACAAGGCTTCCATCTAGATCGATAAAATAAGCCACCCCACCAAGGCATCGTGTTATAGCATGGCAAGCATGTAGGGCTGCATCGTAAGACGTTCCCACCCCCAGTTCACATTGGGAAACAACCCACGAGGTTTCAATGAAAGGGGGGAATTATGGGGCTCTTCGGATCTAATCAGATTTATCTGGCACTGATAACCGAGTCATGATCACAAATTCGAACGGCCCGAAAATGCCGAAATAGGATGTTCTTCTCTTGAGCTATACGCTAGAACTCAATGTTTCAGAATGACGGGGAAATAGTTCATTCCCATGGCCAATGCCGCAGCTTTGAGCAGAGCTGCGGAGGAAGTCCCATTCCTGTTTGTCCGATACAGAGAAGATCAGGATCAGATAATAAATGCCAAGAGCCTCCGCGCGGATTGTGGCGCTGTTCCATATTGAAGTTGAAGCGGTTATTGGATAGATGGTCGTAATAGTGGATACGGAGAAACGTCTAAAGGTCAAGGAATTTCAAGCTTGCGCCGTTCAATTTACTTTGCGAGCAATCCTGGCCCCGCAATGCTCGGGATACTGCCTGGCTAACTGAGTCAGTATAATTGAACGATATCCGCCGAGCTATCGCCGATGGTCTGACCTTCATTCAACAGATTTTGCTTACAGTGAAGATTCTGGTGTTAAGATACCGCATCACAATGCGAAAGAGTTGGACATTCAATCCTTCCCAGTGCGGCTCTGGCCGTAACATGGCCTCCTGGGAGGTCTCGGGCGGCGAACACGCCACGTACTTGATAGATGTCTCGTGGCCACTGGACTGGCAAGGAACAAATATATCGTCGGTCGCAAATGCAGTGTGCGTTGCCGAAGATTGTATGTTTCACCCGTGCTAATCTAACCACGTACAGATATCTCGTGGATGGCAATGCCATGTTTCTCTCAGCAACAGATGTTACTCGCCGGCAGGAGTCCCTTCGCCCTAATAAGCCCAGCACAATCGTTGTAGGGATTGGATATCCCTTAAAAGATAGCGTCTATGGTCCTGGGCGATCTTTGGACCTCACCCCACCATGCGATCACTATACCCCGCCAGATGGCCCCGATGGCAAGCCTCGACCAGAACCTCATGGCGGCGCAGATCGATTTCTTTCTTTCATCAACCATATACTACGTCCGTTTATTGCAACTGTATTCCCTAACGTCAGTTTCGCTCGAACCGCATTGTTCGGCCACTCATACGGTGGATTGTTTGTGTTGAATACTCTTTTCACCAATCCGACCAGCTTCGATACATACCTTGTAGCCAGTCCATCTATATGGTGGAACGAGAAATTCATTATGACTAAGGTAGCACAGTTCCTCCAGGGGCCAAGACAAAGTACGCGACCTACGGTTAGACTATCGTACGGCACCTGGGAGCAGTATCCTGTACGCCGCAGAGGGGAGCCATTAGAAAAGTACGAACGAAGAGTATGCATAGCAGCAAAGCGTCGTATGGCAGACAACTGCAACGAGATGTATCTACGGCTTGTTGGTAGCCAGCAATTGCAGTCGGTGGAGAAAAGAGAGTATCTCGATGAAGATCATGGGAGTGTCATTAGTCCCGCCCTCAGTGGGGCGGTTCTTCATTTTCTAGATTTAGAAAATGAAGCTGACTCGTGAAAATCTTTCTTGTTAAATTCAACCTCTTCTTCCAGTAGTGTCTAACGGACGTGTCATGGCCAAGGTCATGCTTCATGTACGGGGTTGTTCCCTATGCAGATATGTATCTGATAGGCTATTTGCCCTCTACTAATGTTTAACAAATCAGCATAGTATCACATAAAACCGCCTCTTTCTGCGCCGATAAGACTCCTTCCGATTTTTCCCATGGTATTCTTCTGGTGTTTGCCACTCCCCGTTCTTGGGAAGTCATCTGCAACACCCGTGTCTCCAATCCAGAACACATGGACCGGTGTCTTATGCCAGGCTAAGGATTGCCTCACCCACTCTTGTATCCCCTCATCTGACAGTTTGTTCGTATGTGGGGCGGCCTTGACAAAACATCCCACGATCTCTCCGTACTTTGCGTCTAGTAGCCCTAGCACACTAGCTTCGATAATTGATGGATGCGACACAAGTCGTTCCTCAACTTCCAAAGGAGAGATATTATCCCCACTTGCTTAAGGCAGTTAGTAAAATTAGCAGGAACCGCAGTACTATTTTTACCTTTGATAATCATATCTTTGATTCTTTTCGTGATGCAACAGTGCCCATTCTCATCAATGACGCCTCATCGCCCGTGCTAGGAACGCCCACAAAGACAGTGGGGACTTGTTCTTGTAGTGCATCAAGGATTGCGTGAGAATCGAAACGATCATAAGGGAAGATAACAGAGCTACCGTTCGCCATAGACGAAATAACCCTTTAGTAATATCTATTCCATGGAATAGCAGGGCTGGGAAACACACAATGTCCCTGGAAGTGAGGTTTATGCTGTCACCCGCTAGATGACCACTGCCGAGTAGATTGCTTGCGTGACATCAGTGAAAAGCCAAGGGGAGTTGTTAGAACACGTACATGGCTGTTAGCATTGCTGCCTTGGGCTCTCCTGTCGTATTTATTGGCTGGTTAACTAGAGCAACCAGGGATAAGTAGTTTAGCGCTGACCAAATGTAAATTCTAGATTGACCATATCATCCGGTGTAATCGTTTTCTCTGCATCTTTTGACATAATTCGTGCGTCAATATCAGGATCAGTCGCTCTAGACATGACCCCGTATCCTAGTGCTTCATGGGCATGCAAGATATCGATATATCTAGCATAGTCCGTATGGCCCATATGACAACTCCTTGTAGCTCCGACAGGGTGCTAGATGATATACAGCTACGTGTGTGCTCAGCTATATCAGTGGTCGATGAATGCAAGGTCTGTAACGAAAGTAGCTCACAGGTTTCTTGTAGAGCTGTTCTCAGCTCTTCTGGTGTGTATATGCTATGCAGAGATACGATAGAATATCCGATGCGCGCTCCTCCCAAGAATACTTCGATGTGCTGGCAAGAGTTATTAGCCCACGATGCCCACACAGTCACCGTGCCTTAAACCCATCCCTCAATAGATCACTAGCTATGTGCCTACTTCACTACGCTGCTTGACGGTAGGACAGGCCCATTCCCTACCCTACCATAGTCATAGTATGGCAGGCTTCATAGTGGCTCGTTCGCCGATAATATGTGCGAAGGATTTTGAACATGGAAATGGCTATGTTAGGCTACAGACAAGCGCTTGCTGAATTGTTTTCGCTCCCATACAGTAAAAGCCAAATGTGTCAGTCGTAACAAAATAAAAAACTATATGTAGCTTTAGTTCCAGCTCCAGTTTTACATACTTGATTTGTAGGGCAAGCTGAACATTACCTTTATGGATCCGTGGCTTGATCGCCCCAGGTTCTATTGTTATTAATTCAACTTAATAGGTTGATTACTCTCCGATGTTCCTGCTATACCCGCGGCCACGAGATTTTATGACATACTGTATAGTTAGCTGATTCAAATAAGGCGATACCTTATTTTGCAGCCCTAATTAGGAGAGAAGTACGCCCATGCGTGAGATATTGCATCATCCCGAGTCCTGTGTACCCTTCTTGTCCTCGGAGCATGGGCAGTTTAGGTGTATGACATATATCCGTTTTCTTTGATCATCTGGAGTTCCCCTGTAAAGGCTCGGTCGCGATCACAATTAACAGCGCTTGTCGGGGAGTTTAACGGACATTACGCACGCCATTGCTGTGTCGTGCGTACGCACCTCCTGCCCCGGTTTCGACTGCTCACTTTCCAGAAGGTTGAGGCTTGACAAACACGTTCGGCGAACATTGTCAAACGGAATCGCCTGTGCTACCAGTCTAGCAGCCCTTCGCACAGGATACGAGCTTCTGCTTGGTGCCGCATACGAAGGAAGGCCGGCCCGTGCGCTTGTCATCTCAGTCGAGGCTTCGTCTATTTACATGCGAGGTTGGCTAGAAAACATAGTAAAAGAAGTGACTCCGAATCTTGGACCGCATTGTTCGGCGATGGCTCCAGCGCACTTATGCTGAGGAACGGGATCGGTCTTCGGAGAAGTCAGGGATCACCAGTATGGAACACCCACACCGCTCAATCGACATTGGTGGATAGACCTGGCTGTAGTGGAATCCGGCACATTCGGTTAGGGAAGTAGCTGATATACACCTTGGACAGATAACCAAACACACAGGCAGCAGGCTTTATGCCGTTGATCTCAAAGGATGTCCTTATGACTATCCAGTCGCTCTTACCAACTGCATTCGAAGAACTCATTGATTCCTCTCCATCGCACCGCTTCAAAGCTTCCAATTATAACCCTAACTGCTTATGACTGGGCCTTGCATCCGGGCGGTCTTTTTATCCTTCGGAATGCCGAGCAAGCACTGGAACTTTCATCCGATCACCTACGTAATAGCTACGAGTGTTACAGGACGGCGGGCAATGCTAGCTCAGCGACTGTCCTTAGCATCTGCACCAGCTGTCGCGTAAATATCGACCAGGGCGACCAGGGCGACCAGGGCGTGCGAAAGTTATTGGAACGGCGTTTGGCGCTGATGTTACTGTAGAGATGCTGCTCAAAGCCATCGTGTAGTCGCTTGTCTCAAAATGGAAGATCACTGTAGGCCGGGGTATCCTTTCCGAGCAAAATAATCGTGGTTGTTTCCATCATGGAATATATATGGAATGTTCATTCCGACCATAGACGAGGGAATGAGGGCTTGAAGTAGTTGCAGATGACGAGGCCTCGTTTTTCAGGTTACAGGCCAGCCGCCCCCGTTCAAACAGTCGCGCGCCCTGAAACTGGTCATGTGACATACCTAGCGGTGCATATGCCCATTACCGCTCAGGGTTTATGTTACGAGGCTTGTAAACTTTTCATTACATGACATCTTTATTTTCGGCCCCACTGCCAAGACGCCAATTTTAGAAATGGGTGCGTCTGAATGGGCTTTGATTCATTACGTCATAAGCCCTCTCCCATCACAGACTTCAAATGATCGCCCGGGAGGGAGTCAAAAACATACAGTAACACTATGCATACCCTGTACTCTCTTTCAGAAGCTGCTAATGGCATTCCACCCCCAGTCGGTGGCTAAATATTGATCCCTCATCTATCAGAAAACATTACAATAAAGATAACATTATAGCTAAACTCGATATAAAGCCTCCAAATATAGAGATATATACTTCAGATATTTGATATATCCATAATCATTCCTCCTTAACTTCAATGCTTGCATGTCAAAAATGCCCTTGTGCACTGTCTTTCCTAGGCCCCACGATATCCAGACCCCATTCAAGGAATTCTTTGAAATCTTGACCTGTATGTTTCTGCCAATTTCGTCTCACAAATGCTTTGAGCTCTGCAAAGAATTCTTCGATCGGGTTTAGATCAGGTGAATATGGTGGTAAGTACAGCAACTTTACACCGGCATTTGAACATAGCTCCGTTATTCGGTCAGTATGGTGAAAGGACGCGTTGTCCATAATGAGAACAGACTTCGGTTGAGGCCATCTACCACAATGGTGAAGAAGCTGTTCAACAAAATCCTCAAACAGATTTGTATCAGTCAATCGTTGGAAGGCACGTGACATCAAAATGCCATCCTGGCAGTATGCTGGGAGAATCTGGTATCGCTGACCCCGCTGGAAATGGGACACCTGGACAGGTGCCACACCGCGGGGAGACCAGCCTGTCCTCCTGAAGCCAGCCCGTTTGTCACAACCTGATTCATCTATAAAGACCAAGTGATACGAGCGGAAATCTGACACCTGGTGTAAATAGTGATCACATAGCGCTTCGAGCATAGCGGGTGAAATGATACGAGAACGGCCGCCGGGGATCAAGGGCGCTCGGACATCGCCCAAACATTTGAAGGTTGGCACTGATGGTTATGATCGAACGTTTGCTGCAGCCCGCCACTTCTGCCATTTGAGAAGTAGTCAGCGATTTACTATTGATCATATCATGGATCATCACCAGCTGGGATGGGGCAAGTTGTGGCGACATAATGGTCGTGTCGCGCTGTCATAAAGTTGATCAGGTGGCCAGGACAAGGACAAGATAGGTCTGGGTCGGTTCGGGCCGAGAGTCGACCGACGATCAGCACCCGTTCGGCCAGTCATAGCATTTGCTGACTATGAAGAAGTATAATTAGTTAGTTATAGGGGCATATGAGGTGCATGGACCTTCACAGCCTTATCAGCGGAAGATGACATACCCCGCTTTTGCTCGCCAGAAATGCCCAACATGTCTTCGAACCCATTTCCTTACTCCTGGTTCGCTATTGTACTCGTCTGCGAGAAGATCTGATTTTTATGGTGTGTCTGTCAACATGGATGGTCTATCCTCGGCGGCGAGCGTTATCGCCGTTATTCAACTGACCGGAGGCCTCGTGAAGCTTTGCGGAGGCTATATCCAAGAGGTAGGAAATGCACGGGAAGAAATTCTCACCCTGCAGCGGGCAATTACAGGTCTTCAAGATACACTTCAAGACCTGCAGAACAATCTGCAAGAGAATAAGGCAAAAGGCCTATCTACGTCCTCACGACTACCTAGCAATATTACTGCTTGCCTCTCGGATCTCCAAGCATTAGAAGCGAGACTCGATCCAGGAAAGGGAAAAACGCTGATGAGGAAAATGGGCTTACGAGCCTTGAAATGGCCCTTGAAACACACGGAGGTGGAGGGCCTAACACAGAACCTCGAGAGATATAAGTCATTATTCCTCTTATCTTTACAGGTGGACCAGACGTACATATATCAAGCATGATTCTCTGACTCTGTATAATTAACTGAAGGACTGTATAGTTCCCTGATGATTAGTTTGGCCCAAAATACGGATCGGATCAATCAACATATTGATCTTGGGAAGTTGGAAGGCGCAATAGATGCAGGATTTGAGTCATTCTCCGATCGCGACGAAGTCGAATGTCTCCCAGGCACAAGAACCGAACTCCTCCGGGAAATAACAGAGTGGGCTTTTTCGCCATCCTCGAAAAGTATGTTCTGGTTGCAGGGGATGGCTGGAACAGGGAAATCCACAATCTCCCGGACGGTGGCAAGGTCGGCCAAGAATCGTAATCATCTGGGTGCCAGTTTCTTTTTTAAGAGAGGCGAGGCGGACCGAGGGAATGCAAAGAAGTTTTTCCCAACGTTGACCAGGCAACTGATACTGTGGAAACCAGAGTTAAGAGCTGGCGTGCAAAAGGCACTTAACGATGACCCTGACATCACGTTGAAATCACTCAGGGAGCAATTTGAGAAGCTACTCCTTCATCCATTGCTCGGTCTTGACCAACGCGATCAACTGCCTCAGAATACTGTGATTGTTATAGATGCTTTGGACGAATGTGAGCATGACCAAGATGTTCAAAATATTATTCGATTGCTCTCTCGTCTGCAGGAGGTAAAATCACTTTGCCTTCAGGTCTTCCTGACCAGCTGGCCAGAGCTCCCCATCAGCCTTGGGTTTTCAGAGATCGGGAACCATGTATATCGGGACCTAGCCCTTCATGAGATACCTGAAGAGGTGACAGAACACGACATACAGTTATTTCTACAACATCAATTTATGAAAATCCAGCATGATAGAAAAGTCCCTCAGGACTGGCCTGGCAACAATATTATCCAAGAGTTAGTTAGGGTATCTGTTCCACTGTTTATTTCGGCTGCCACCGTGTGTCGCTATATTGAGAATCCAAAATGGGAACCAAGATTACGTCTCGCAGAGCTTCTCAAGAACCAAGCCAAATATGTGTCTAAAATGGACAAGACATATCTGCCAATTCTGACACGACTCCTTGATGACCAAGAGAGTGATGAGAGAGAACAACAGCAACTTCTACAAGAGTTTCAGGACATTATAGGAGTTATCATTCTTCTTGCTGTTCCGCTTTCTGTAAACACACTATCTCCATTTCTTGAGATAGAAGTGGACCAGATCAGCAACCGATTGGATTTCTTTCGGTCGGTTCTTAACATCCCCAACAACGAAAATCAGCCTGTTAGGATTCTGCATCTCTCATTTCCGGAATTTTTGGTCCAGACAACAACCAAGTTTCGTGTGGATGCGCCAACCAAGCACAAAGATGTTGCAAAATCCTGTCTGAGAACTATGCGGCGTCTTCTACAGAGAGATATCTGCAATCTAGCAGACCCTGGAGCGCGTAGAGCAGAGATCAACTCTCTGGATATCCACCAATATCTACCATCGGAATTGCAATACTCCTGTCAGTACTGGGTACATCATCTCAAAAATAGCCACGCTTTATCTTCTGACATAGAAGCGGTGCGGCTGTTCCTCCAGAAACATTTTCTTCACTGGATGGAAGCGATGAGCCTGCTGGGTCTTATATCAGAGATGATGGGTATGCTCGATATTCTCCGAACGATGGTGTCAGTAAGTATATAGTAGACAGTTATCCACGAGTCATACTAATAAGGATAGGACCATAATAAGAATTCTAGTCTGGCCGCCTTTCTATATGATGCAAAGCGGTTTGTTCTGAAAAGTCGACAGATAGCTGATGAAGTGCCACTTCAAATTTATTATGCAGGGTTGGTATTTGCACCTCGAACAGCAATAATTTGTGAGCAGTTCCAATCAGAGCTTCCTGATTGGATCTGCCGCTTCCCACAAGTTCATGAGAACTGGAGTGCAGAATTGCAGACGCTCGAGAGCCATACAAGCTCAGTCCGATCTGTGGCCTTCTCACCCGATGGCCGGCTACTGGCGTCTGGCTCAGTGGATAACACAGTACGGCTCTGGGATCCGGCCACAGACGCTCCCCAACAGACGCTCAAGGGCCATACAAGCTGGGTTCGGTCCATGGCCTTCTCACC